TGAAGATGAGCAGATGTGAAGATGAGCAGATGTGAGAGAAGATGTGAAGATGAGCAGATGTGAAGATGAGAAGATGTGAAAGAAGGTGTGAAGATGAGCAGATGTGAAGATGAGCAGATGTGAAGATGAGCAGATGTGAAGATGAACAGATGTGAAGATGAGAAGATGTGAAAGAAGGTGTGAAGATGAGCAGATGTGAAGATGAGCAGATGTGAAGATGAGCAGGTGTGAAGATGAGAAGATGTGAAGATGAGCAGATGTGAAGATGAGCAGATGTGAAGATGAACAGATGTGAAGATGAGAAGATGTGAAGATGAGCAGATGTGAAGATGAGCAGACCCCCACTATTGGAAGAACCCTGCGCTCAGACGCTCTCGGGAAAAAGGTGCTGCTTATATTTTCTGGAAAAGGTGGGCCTGACGCAGCCTTAAAATAATCCTTCAAAACCAGAAAAACCCAAAACATTATGATGACCGGAACCGCGCAATGCGTACGGGAGGACAAAAATTGTGGGCAAATGAAATGCAAAGTTTTGCTTTAAATAATAACAAGGAGATTACCCCCAAAAAAACGTGTCAATTTTCCATGATTTTATGGCTTGGAGGAGCAAGATTTTAGAACCCCACCAGCCGTACACTTCGGGGTTCTAGTTTGTTTCCGCTGAGGTTTCTTGAAGGCATACCATTCTAGAACCCAGATTTGGGGTTCTAATTTGCCGGACTGTTTGATCTTGACGGTATCCATTTTCCATCTGCGTTACGTATGTCGTAACATGTCGTCACTGTGTCAGATGATCCATTCAGTTGCAGGTCTTGTCCCTGCGTGGCTCAAATCAACTGCTCAAATAAAACGTTTCTCAGCCACTGACACTTGGCAACATCCTGAACTGATCTAGTTAGTGTTGATCACCGTCCAGACTGTATTGGGCTTTTTGATGTCATGTGAATATTTGAATTGATTTTGTGTATTTGGCTTCTCCTTACGAGTTGCTGGCCGTTGGCCAGGAAAAGGAGATGATTTTCGAGACGGAATGTCGCAACTTGAAATGAAAAGGACTGCCTCGGAATAGGAGTAGGGTAGGACGAGTAGGACAGGGATTGTTGGGTGGTGATGTTGACATTTGATGAAATTTTCATCACCGGCTCATGGACAGGCGTGCTTCCGCAGCTCAGTTTTTTCTTCTATGGTGCCATGAATGTGTATTATATAATGTGGCCTCTCTTGGGCGTTCAACCGAATGACTCACTGGGATGATCGCATTCAACACATTGACCGACAGTGGTGGAGTTTCCCAACACGTACATGCACGAATTGCCAAGTAACAGCCTCAGTGTCCGTGGCTTCGCAAATCCCTTTGACAAGGGCCCGCAGATGCTTGCAGCGCAATGCTGATCTCACTTTGTGTAATGCGGTTACATGGCAAGAGGCGGGTTATATAATCGCAAATGCCTCGCATGAAAGAAATGATGAAAACAACCACACTGTACAGATAGAATTGTACATATATCTTCAGATCGTTCTCACACAAACAGGCATTGGTGTATACGCACATGTGCAATCATGTGCAAATATATCCCGGCATGCAGAGGAAACCAGTCAGAATTATAGTGGTACCATGGCAGAGGTACCGGTTTGAAAGACATGAGTACACACGTGCATGTACGGAGATGTGATGATTGACAGGCAAAATGCGCACACATACACATGCACACATGCTGACATGCGCGCGTCCATGAAAGTAAAGATCACAAACACATTTTCCAACTCTGGTATCTTTTGATTCCAGGAGGCGCGCATCGAAGCGATGGTCGTATTCGATCACCTATCTTTGGTGGATTTCCCATGCGCCATGACCATGAGACCGGATGAGACAGCCGCATCCACTACAAGAGTCGCCGGAAAAGATCCGTGCATTTGATTGGCAGCTTCCTTCACCAACACACCCGTTGAGGCGGATGCTGGTAGATGCTGGTAGTTCGTAAAAGTCGGGATATTCAATGATTACATGATTCGATTTGCCTGTGGTCGTTGGAGAATGCGCAGGCAAGTAACATTTGGTAACACCAGCTGAGTGTTTGATGCGGCTCGAGCGCTTGAATAGGACGCTTTGTGCAACCTTTTTGAAAGTGGATTTCTGCAGCTCCCGGTGTACCCGTTGGACCTTCACAACAAGGCGCAGGCTTCATGCTCTCCTCTGTGAACCATGTACTGTTTGTTTTTGGGTATTTCCCGATATTTTATTGATGTGCAGGCTGCATGAACTGAACATGACACGGTGAGGTTATCACTAAACGGCCTGCGGTGTCCGATCAGCCAGGAATCATGCCAACGCTCTTCCCGGGCCGTGTTGGCTTGCCAATGGCCCAGATGTTCTTTTGGTTTCTTTGGCGCTCACGGCTCATTTCATTGTTTCACATTTCAGCTGTTGCCAGGAACTGCACTTTCAAAAGGTCCACCTGGCTTGATGGTGCTTCTTAGGCCTGATGGTGCTCTAAAACGAGCCCCATCTGAGATGCTGGCGGCCTTTGAAGCAGGGCAGCGCCACGAGGACACAGCCCCAGAGAACTTCTTTTCAGCTGCCCGCAGAGACTCCTTAGGTGCCTGTCCTGTTTCACTGCCTGCAGGACATGTGGCTTGTCGTCTGTGCGGCAGCCGTTCCGCTGGCCTGTTCATTGAAGCCCTTTGTCGTTACTTTTCCAAAGATGGAGCTGCAATGAGTTGCGAAGCAAAGATGACAGCAAATAGTTGTTGCTGTTCCAAGCTGACGGTCATTTCGCGGACGACAAAGTGCATTTTTTGAGTCTGGTATTTTGTTTGCTTTCTATTTGGCTGCGTTCTTCCTTTGATGTCTGCTGTTTGTTTGGTTGTTTTTTGTTATTTGTTTGTGTCTTTGTTTCTTTGTTTGTTTGCTTTTGGGCTCCTCTGCCTTTCGGTCGCATTTCTTTGCTTTTCGGCCTTTCGCTTCCGTATGCTTCGGTTCATTGGCTTGCAACCTCAGCCTCGACAACAGCAGCAGCACCATCGCTCAAACAACATGGGCAACAGCACTGTGTAGCTACAGGGTGCGCGGCTGATAGAATACCGCCTTGTTTTTTCATCTTCTTCGAAGCAAATTACGTGGTATTTACAAGGGCGTTTTCGGGCATGTCAAAAACCTGACTTGTAATTTGCGTTTTTGCAGCTCTTTTTTTCACCCCATTTGCTTCACGAGCTCTTTCTAGAAGTTCTGTGGGCCTGGCTGCACACTCCAACGTATTACCGCATATACAAATACATTTTTATATACCAGTACTTTGTAATCATTCTGAACAGTCTGAACATATGGGAAAATCCAGTGGAGGTTATAATAGAATAGAAAACTAAACTATAATCTGGTAAACCCAACATTTACACAAATTGACCAGCATGTTTTTTGGCAAGAATTCACCCTGTAGGTCAATATTCACCATACATGGAGCATATGGGAATTGTAATCATCCTGAAGTAGATAGAATATCAATGGGATGTCCAAACATATTCCCATTTGAGTAGTTGTTTTTTTGATATCCACAGTCTATCTACTCCAGGATGACTATATATATATATATAATATAATTTAGCTGAATCCCAAAAGCCTCCAGGGCTTCTGTCTATAGGAGCTGACGAGGGGGCACGTATACATATCCTAAGTGGCCGCGCATGCAAAACATATGTAAAACTCATATGAAACATAATTTTTTACGTTGGTGGAATGTATGTGATGCGTATGTGAAGCGTATGTGCAGCGCAAGTGAAAACATATGTGAGCCGTATGTGAAATATATGTGAAACATGCGAAATACATGTGACATATTAACGTATTTTGGGACTGGATTGCGTTGTGTTTATGTTTTACTTATGTATACGTTTGTGAATTTATGTGTTTTTTTAATGTCGGAGGAAAAATAAGACCTTATTTTGTGCAAATCACGCAAAATAAGGCCTTATTTTGGAACGCACGTAAAGAGAACATAAACAAAACGCAAACGAGAACGCAAACACATTTTGTAACGTTTTTGTATGTACATGTGTATATGGTTTATGTTTTATTTATGTCGGGAGAAAAATAAGACCTTATTTTGGGCAAATAAGGCCTTATTTTATCGCTTACGTAAAAGAAACGCAAACGAAACATAAAGAAAACAACTAATAGCCGCAAATTCTGGATATGTCGGGAATATGCGTTTTGTTTGCGTATTTGAAGCCGTTTATGTATGCGTATGCGCAGGCCAGTCCAAGACGGGCTCTATTGTGAAAGCCTTTGAAACCCTGCTAAAATATAATATAATTTACTACAATATAATATAATATAATATCATATAATATAATATAACCGGTGCTTCTTTCACTGGACGCGGATCCTCAGGATTCCCAAGGGTCAAAGGGTTGCATCCAGCGGTTGTATTTTCCAGATAGGCAGGCGGATCGCCTCATGATCTCCGTGCTTTGTTTAACATAGCGGCCGCGATGATGCAGCCCTAATTACCATGTTTTTTTTGTTGAATGCTTTAGATTTACCCGGCCTGGTAAACTAACATATATGGCTATTGAACATGGCCATATTTATAGTGGATTTACCCATTACCCATTAAAAATGGTGATTTTCCATTACCCGGCGTGGTAAACTGTTACAGTTTGCGAACTTGAACATGGTCCAGTCGAAATAGTGGATTTACTACCCAGCTATAAAATGGTGAGATTTTCCATAGTTACGTTAGTTTACCAGAGGGTATATAGATTTTGGTATCTTTTCTCTGAAAACACTAGATCTTGTCTATCCCAAGCCTTCCAGTTACCACTGAGACAGGTTTTTTGTTCGGGTAATTTTACCTGAGATGATTTTGGGATTGCTAGCCTATCTCACAGGTAGCTGGAAATTTTGAGGGTGACCATGAAAACATATCAAAATCCAAGAATATCAATGAACATCCATTTAAAAACCATTTAAACATCCGGCGGTACCTTAGTGCACAAGCACCGAGGTCACACCGGAAGCGTCACATGCGCAGCTGCTGCGCACTCTGGTGTCCAAGCACTTCGCGACGCCGGCGCCGGCGTCGCGTTTCGGCGCCTCGAAACCGATGGATTTTACATGCAACATCTTGGAAAATCATGAGAACATATAGGAAAATCCACTATAGATGGAACTTTTGATCGGAAAATCAACTGTAATCTTAGATTTGCTGAAGATGTTGTGTTCTTTATTGTGGAAAATCCACGACTTGGGGCATCTATGTGGGATATGTTTTGTAATATTGTGTGGGTTCCGGAGGCAAATCCAAGTTTATAAACAGTTGCCCAAACATTGATCCAGTATGTAGGTGAATGTTCCATACATGGGAGCTATGGCTTTGTCACCTTTGTAAACCTGGATCAATGGAACATTCGGATAATCCGAGAAATCTTTGGGTTCAGTATAGAAACATATAGAAACTATATAGAGATTTCAATTTAAATCCTATGGTTCGGGGTGAAAATTGAAGCTCCAGAGAATCCAGACAGTTTTTGGCGGCGACCGACCAGGACCATTGATTTTTCACATCTTTTTTTTCAGCGAGTTGGACAGCAATAAGATAGAGCCTATTTCACTGAAAAGTTTGGGGGGTGAGACCCCAATGGGGTGAGAAAAAACCCTTTAAAAATATGAGGACATGTTAGATACCAAATAGATTTGTTGTTATACTGTTGTACCATTGTGATGGTTCAATAGGTACTCACTGAATGGACAACACCAGGAAGGGTATAGCATTTGGATGGCCCTGGGACCCTGAGGCAACATCTTTGCCACGGCCCAAAGCGGTCCTTCCCCGAAGCCGGCGGAGCCAGGTGGCCGAACTTCAACCAGGGAAGGGACTCATGTTCCTTTAGGGACCATGAGATTTAGTTGATTTAGTAGGATTATTATGGATTAATGATTTACAGCGATCTGAAAGGATATATGTAACAAGCTTAATTTGGCATGTTTTTTAATAGTGATTTGCTAGGATTTATTGTATAGTCATCAGACATCATTAGACTATTCACTGCTTCGGATAAGTAATCTAACAACAGTCTGGTAGAACTTGATGATAAACTTCTGGGATTGAGATGGATTCTTCTTAAATTGGATTTAAATCATCACATGTCATCACCCATTTGCATATCATCCATGTTTCCTTAAGACACCCAAACTGGCAGTGGCACTCCACATGCGTGTTGCGTCTGTAGAATTCGACATCTCAAAACCCGCGACAAAGCTGGGACCAAGATTGCCAAAGTCCCACTGGTTGATTTTTTCGAGGATTTCTTGCATGTTGTGGTCACCAACCAATAGGGAGATCAGATCACCAAGCGGCAGATCACCTGACCCTAGCAGGTCGAAGTGGACCAGCTCCTTCGGCTGGCTATGGCGACGGTTCCAAGGTTGGGCTTCAAGCCTGCGGAGCCTGCAGAAGCCATGGACCAATGGACCTCACGAAAAAATCGTTATTTGAAATTTTCGGAACCTAGCTTGGCTGTCCGAGGTTCAAAACCCCTGTTGATGATTAGTTCGGGGGTTTTACTATGTTTTACTACCCTTCATCACTGGGTATTCATTGTAGCATCATCATCATCATCATCATCATCATCATCATCCATGAACTGGAAATCCCGTTCTTGGTCAGCCTAGTAGTTAAATCCCCGCTCTTAGTGAACTGTTTGGTGGATTAAAATACGGGTTGATCATCACATGTTTCTATAATAGTAAGAATTTATTCATCATTAAGAGTACTCTCTATCTAATTATATATTATATATATATAGTTATATATATATATAATACTATCATTAAACCATTAAATACTTAAATAAGTATATAAATTAAATATATATATATATATATTTACTGTATTTGAACATGATTATGTGAAGATTTTCTCCAGACACCCACGCGGCAGGCCTTCCGTGCGAACTTGGCGGCGCAGGGCATTCCGCAGCGGCCAAACGCTGCCGCGCCCAGCGTGGCCGCGGCCGGACGCCACGTGCCACCGAGCGCCTCGATTTTTGGCCCCCAAGCGAGGGGTGAGAAGACAGGCAAATTCACCATACATAGATAATCTGATTGGTGGTTTCAAACATTTTTTATTTTCCATAATATCTGGGATAATCCTTCCCATTGACGAATATTTTTCAAGATGGTTGAAACCACCAACCAGTAATTTAACATTAAATAGTATAATTATACCATATATCAATATTCATATGGGAAATTCACCAATTATAGATATTCACTATATTTCTACAATGTGGGCCCCCCCAGTTATAAGTTGGTTTAGATTCGCCCCAGTAACTAGTTCGTTATAAGTACCATAAACCATAGTGAAATTGGAGTTATGTTCACCAACTGAACGCTATCTTGGGGGCCTCACATTGTATATATTGGGAACGTAGTGGAGATGTAATGAGGATCTATGTAACGGAGTAATTGCCATCAATAGATGTGAAACCACCAATTAAATTCACCAACTATGGATATTTCTATAATTAATATTAACTTATTTATTATAGATCTCTAGAAGTCAGTGGACTTTTTGAGGTCGGAATTTCATGGAAACGTTTTTTTTGGGGTCGTTGACACCTTGACTCCACCAACCATAGGGGAATCAAGATCCACCAGCCAGCTATGACTTAGGATAGCTAGGTACAATGGTTTTATTCCGTACCCATAGAAAAAAATAGTTCTTTTTCCTTGAGTGATGAACTATGCGACAGTAAAAACACCTTGATGCGACAGTTCTGCATTCTTTCCCCAATATTTATTAGGGGCTTGAGCAAAAAGAAATTGGGGAAAGCCTCAAACATCCACTGGCTGATCATGGTTGATCGTCAGTTTCATGTAATTTATACGCGTATCTCACGGTATCTCCCATTTTGAGACACATCCAGATCAGGTTTCACTGAGAATGAGGGTTCAGCAGCGTAAATGTTGTGACTTCACCAGAGACAGGGCTTTGAAGCAACCGTAACATGTTATGGTGACCACAAATGGGGTAGCAATGAACCCCAAAAAATGTGGTGTCTGGTACCAAACAATGTCCGTTTTTTTTTGGGGGGGAAGGGGGGAGTTTTTGGGGGTGTTTTGGGGTGGATCATTTATGCCAAACCCTGATCCAAGGAAATGTCAAAATGTCACTTGTTTGCTCCCCCTGGGGTCGGGCTGAAATTATGTGATTTTCTGATGTGGCTCAGGATTTTAACTATAGTGCCCTCTAGTTTGCATCAACATCGCTGGTTGTGTTTCAACCACAAATCGATGTTAAGCTACACAGTGGATGTCAATGTTTTTGGAATCTGTGTGAATCATTCTTTGACTGGTCGTACTTTATCATACACCGAATTTTGATTCTGGAGACACAATCTTGAAGAAATCGGGATATCAAGCACTGAATCTTGACAGTCTTTCAACATGGCCTGGCAGGCCCCTTGAAGGAAGTTCAACCATGGTCTTAGCAATTCGTGGAAGTCCATGGGGGTGGGGCATAATGCATATGAGAAAAAAAACAAAAAAATATATATATATATATATCAGTTTATACCAAGATACATGCCAGTTTTCAGGCAGTACATCCCTGAATTTCTCGCCATTTGACAACGTTTTCAGTGAGTGGAAAGTCATTTTCTTGCAACAATCATCACTTACGATATCATGATATCCCAGTTCCCTGGCCCCAAGTCCCCACATTTCTATGATTTCTATAGCTTTCAGGAACTAGCTCTGCCTCTGCCAAGCCTAAAGCTGCAGTTCCACCAGAGGCGGGTGAAGATATGGAACCAATGGCCATAGCATGCTATGGCAACATCATCCAACCAGAAAAAGAGGTTCCGTTTTTTTTGTTTCATGACATAGTAACATATGTATCATCCAACATCATCCAACCCATTTCCAAGCTGATCTGGTTGGTGGTTTGGAACATGACTTTTATTTTTTCATATACTGGGAATAATGATCCCAACTGACTTTCATATTTTTCAGATGGGTTCAAACCACCAACCAGTGATTGTTTGGGGTTAATTTTTGTAAATCTTAGATTTCACAGGGGCTGTAAGAATTGGAGACCTTCCACAGAGGGTGATGACAGCATTCTCAACTGCGGCGATGTAGACAGCAATCATGGAGACACATGACCAATACCGCTTGATGGTTTGTTTGAGAGATATGTCTATTATTTCTGTTCCCAGCTGACTAGATTGTATCGTGATCCCTTGAACACTTAAGACTAATCATAATATACAATTTTTGTTTCCCGGCAGTCGGCCGGCACCGGCCGGCAACCCGCACCGGCCAGCGGCCGGCAACCGGCCGGCTCTCTTTCGGCATGCCACGCGGGCCACCCGCTATGGAAACAAGCTATACTTGGTGGATGATTTTGCTCTAAAGCATTCGCAAGTAACATGCAATCTAGCTGTAAAGTATTTACAACTTAGTGTAAGTTAAGTTAAGTAAGCTAAGTTTTTATCTTATTTTACGGTAGTTGTAAGTATTTACCAAAGATAAACTTGATAGTTAAGTTTTGTAAGTTTTTTGGAGTTAACAAAAAACCAACCAAAATAACTTATAAGTAACTTAGGAAACTTAACTTCTTTTGAAATTTAAGAGCTATTTTGTTTGGTCTTGGAACAAAAACATCTAAAAAACAAGGTTTGGGTTGGAAACGAATTGAAAACTTTCTTTTATTTCTGATATATTTTTTGTAGGAAGGCGGCTCTATGAGAAGCCTATTGGGAAAAGTTTTGTGATGCTGAGTCTTTGTTGATATGTTATCCTCTTCTCGTTTGGACAACAGGGTGGACACGAAGTAAAAAGCGTTTGGGCTCTTGGAAAGATCATGAGGCCACAGCCTGAGAGAAAATGCGTATATGACTGCAAAAGCATATCATTTTTTTTTTAAAATGCAACACACATTTTTACGCATTCTTACACATTTTGACTCATTTTTACTTATTTTTACACATTTCTACACATGTGTAAGTGGATTTGTTTTGGGTTTACACATGTGTCAGTTGATTTTTTGGTTTACACATGTGTAAATGATTTTTTTCTTTCCAAAGATATTCTTGTACGGTTGTCTTTTATTAACAAGGAGGAATATAGTTTAAAGATATGTGCTCGGGCTTTCGCCCTGTCTGCCAAGCATGATCCCGACGGCAGTTCATCATGAGCATTACCATATACTTTACGACAACCGATCTCATTCGCATTTCGAATGTTGTCCCTTCCCCGGACGTTGCCTGGCAACGATTTCGCGGCTGAGTTTCTGCGGGCTGCTTCGCATGGAGGTGCGCCAACCGTTGACTGGTGCCGAGAATGCTGTGCCGTCAGCCTTCGCAGCCAGCCCGGACCTTTGCTGCCGCAGCCGCTTTAGCAAGCGCAAGTCTAGAATACCTAGCGAGATTCCGCGCTCTCTTTGGACCGGATGCCGGTTTTCGTTTCTTTTGGGGGGCACTTCGGTTGCTCAAGCAATATTATCTCGGCTAACGGGCCCTTTGTTCTTCCCATTCATGTCAGACTGCTCCGATCAATCTGCTGCGGCACCTGGACCCGACCTGGATGAGCTTTCAGAGGCGGAAGCAGGAGGCTTTCACCGAGCAACACTGCTGGCGTCTCAGTCATCTGTTGCCGAACCACCGCGCCCAACTGGCTGTGAAATCCCAAACATCTTTTTGCTCGGGCTTTGGCTTACGCAGTTCCTCTTTGAGCAACCACATCCGGGTCCTCCACAAACATCCATTGCCACAGCCGCATCTTCCCTGGATCACATGTGGGTTCGCCTTCTTCGACATCCACAACCGGGCACGGTTGGCAGCCTTATTCGCTGCTTCTTACCGCATGCTCAGCCGCGCATGCTGCGTCTCTTGCTGCTCAATGGCTCTGCTGTAGCTTTTGCAGATGCGCTCCCACACCGCTGCAGCTTGGTGTTGCAGTTTGGGGTGGTCAAGATGCCTTGCCTCGTGCTGTTCCGCATGGACAAGGCTTACTTCTTGATAGATATCACAACTACAGTCCAAGACTTGCTAGTGCAGGTTGCATCTCACTGGAACATACAAGTGCAAGGCTTGTCCTTGACTTGGCGGTCTCTTAGCGTGTCGCCTGATGATTTTGTTTTAGGGCGGGACCGTCTGCTCTTCGAAGTTTCTTGGCAACCCACGATTCTCCCCGGCGTCCCAAACTTGCAGTGGCATGAGTAGAGCAGAGCATGAAAAGGTGCGGTCCAGTTGAGTCACACATACTTTTTTGGCGCGATGCTCTAGACAGCTTACAAATGCCATTCGTTACCGCGACAGCTTCACCCCTCAAACCCACACATAGCCACTTTCTTCTTCAAGGCTCTTCGTGCCACGTCTTAATGACAAGACTTAGTTATGATGAGCGCAGGTGCCCCCCCTCTTCGTGCAGCCGCGTTGCAGATGATTTTGGCTGCCGGCAGCAGGCCTGATGCTTGAATTGCAAGCACCATTATCTGTGGACATGCGCCTCTTCCACTTCAGCGAAGATAAATTCCCCTGTGCGGCTTCGGCCTTCTTTTGATCGTTTCTGCTCTTGGCCAGGTACAGTGCAGGCTCGCCTGGCAAGACTTGCCTCGGTTTGTGCCTCAGTCGCTGAGTTGACTTGAAAGCACGGCAAGATTGACTGTCTTGGAAAACCACCCCATTCCCCTGAAAAATGATACTTGTGTAAATTGTTCCTTGCTTAGCGAAAAGGTTTCTCCGTGTAACTGTAGCACTGCTCAAGCATCCAACCAGTGCCCCAGACCAACACCGAACTCAGCTGAACTGTCTGCCTGTCTACCTTCCCTATCCCTGGCTTGAAAAGCTGGTTCTACTTTTGTTCGGCTTTCTTGGCCGCCTAAGACATTTGAACTTGTCTGTTGGTTTCTATTGAGAAACAATATATATATATATAATTTTCATTCTCTTGAGTTGCCCGATTCCCACATCTGCCATGTTGCAGCTAGATCCGCTATCACTTCTTTTGATGTTGTATTCAATCTGTTTGTTGAACATGCCAAAAGTTAGGCCAGCTTCTCCGAAATTGCAACAACTTCTGCGAAACGCAACACTACTTTGAAGACGTTGACGAACCATTTCAATTGCTTCTAGAGGTTACTTCCACCTAAGCCCACATTCAACATTCACTGAACTCCTTGCCCCTTTCGAACTCATTGTATGTCGTCCAACTGCGATTCTGTACCAACCCGATTGTAAATACGCAACTCCCCGTATTGCGCAACTCCGCTTGTGCAACGCGGGTCTCCGGGTTGCGCAACTCCGCACACCCTCCCTATATGATCGCATGCCGACCCTTGGGAAACCCCATGAAATTCAAATTGACCTTGAATGTGTACAAGGGCAAGAAGATATCCAAATCCCACCCCCATGGAATTTCAAATTGACCTTGAATGTGTACAATTTTATAAGAAGATATCAAAAATCCCACCCCGTGGAACTTCAGATAAACCTTTGAGTGTGTACAATGGCAAGAAGATATAAAAATTCCCACCCCCATGGACCTTCAAATTGACATTGAGTGTGTGCACCAGAAAGAAGATATCAAATTTCCCACCCCCATGGAACTTCAAATTGACCTTTGAGTGTGCAATGGTCGGAAGATAACAAAATTCCCACCCCCATGAAACTTCAATTTGACCTTCAGTTTGTAGAACGGTAAGAAGATACAAAAAAATCACCCCCATGGACCTTCAAATTGACCTTTGCGTGGCTGCAATGGTAATTAAGAAGACGTCGAAATTCCCACCCCCATGGAACTTCAAATTGACATTGAGTGTGTGCACCAGTAAGACGATATCAAATTCCCACCCCATGGAACTTCAAATTCACCTTTGAGTGTGTACAATGGTCGGAAGAAGATATCAAAAAATTCTCACACTCATGGGAGTAACTTCAAACTGACCTTTGAGTGTGTGCAATGTTCAGAAGATATCAAAATTCCCACCCCCATGGAACTTCAAATTGACCTTGAATGTGTACAAGGTTAAGAAGATATCAAAATTTCCACCCCCGTGGAACTTCAAATTGACCTTGAGTGTGTACAATGGCAAGAAGATATCAAAAACCCCACCCCCATGGAACTTCAGATAGACCTTTGAGTGTGTACAATGGCAAGAAGATATCAAAATTCCCATGTACAATGGTCGGAAGATATCAAAATTCCCACCCCCATGGAACTTCAAATTGACCTTGAATGTGTACAAGGTTAAGAAGATATCAAAATTTCCACCCCCGTGGAACTTCAAATTGACCTTGAGTGTGTGCAATGGTTAGAAGATATCAAAACTCCCGACCCTATTGACCTTGAATGTGTGCAATGGTAATGAAAAAGATATACAAATTCCCACCCCATGGCATTTGAATTTGATATTGAGTGTGTACAGTGGTAACTAAGAAGATATCAAAATTCCCACCCCCACCAAAATTGAAATTGACCTTGAGTGTGTACAATAGGGTTTGCTTTTTCAACTTTGACATGGCATGCAAGTGTCAACGTCGGCCTGTGGCACTTGGAGATCGGATTGATACTTTCTGTTGTTTTCTACATGATATGAGCTTCTCCTGCATGGACTTTTATATTTTCGCGCCCCTACGAGCCACCTATAACAGTACATAGTTTCGCGCCCGACAATGTTTTCACACGCAAATTCAGATGCTGCCAGGTTTTATCATTCTTTAACTATTCCATGCAGGGTGGGGGTTGACATGATGTCCATGTCAAACATGACTACCGCCCCTTATTTGGAAATTTCCTAATTACTTAAATTTCCCAACCGGCACCGGCCGGCCACCGGCACCGGCCGAGCGGCGCACCTTTTGCGGCCACCGGCACCGGCCGGCAACCGGACGCGGTATAGGCCCGGCACAGGCCGGCAGCTGCCGGCCACCGGGTGCACCCGGCACCGGCCGGCACCGCCGGCACCGGCCGGCACCGGCCGGCCACCGGCACCGGCTGGCCACCGGGTGCACCTTCCATAGACGTACGGCCCGGCACCGGCCGGCACTGGCCGGCAACCGGCAGCGACAAAAAAAGTATATACTCAGACTAATACCTTTGATGTTGATTTCAAGCGCCAAACAGAAAAACACCAGTTTCTAAATTTGGAGGCCATGTTTGTGTAGATAGTCCAAGAGGCGAACAAACCTTCACCTTCACCTTCACCACCATCAGCACCACTGCCACCACCAGAACCAGCACCAGCACCAGCAGCGCCAGCAGCAGTAGAGTAGCAGCAGCACTAGCTTCTTGCTGATTTGTAGAGACCTCAAACGACCTTACCTCAAAGGATGGTAAACATATCAACTATAAACCAACCTATATAATGATCACTGCGAAGTTCATCCAAGCAATGCGGGAAGGCCTTAGTTTATCCTAATTCTTCACTACCGGGCCTGGTGTTTCACCAGGTGGTGGCTGCCTTCAAGATGCTTCTCTTGGACGTGACAGCCACGGAGGAGCAGGCTGGCAAAATCATCGAACTACAGGAAGGGGATGTTTTTTTTGGATGTCCCATGGTCACCTTTGAGGACACCGGAGGGTATTGAAATTTCTGCTGCTTGGTGGTTGGGAACATGTCTGGATTATGGCTTTCCATTCAGTTGGGAATTTCATAATCCCAACTGACGAACTCATATTTTTCAGAGGGGTACGTATACCACCAACCAGTATGGTAGTTCATGGTATTTCTGATGGTAATTTTGTGTTGAAAAGGGGCATCCCGGGGCAAAAATGACCAAATGACCAGTCCATTGGCTACCTCAACGACTTGACCCGTCATGGTTTCTGAGTGAGGTGAACCGAACGGTGAATGCTTGTTTTTTGCCTGTTGGATTGACACATGACACAGGGATATCACCAACATACAGCCGGAGATATGTGGTTGAAGCTGAACGCTTTGCGATTGCTAATTGTTCACTTTTTTTGCTACATGTCATAACCCCTCAAACAGATACTATTACTTGAGAGCTGTCCTAAATGCTGGCCATGCACCTTTTTTCTTGAGGCCATGGATCAAGAACTCAGATACCATTCGAATGACCCACACGGCGATATGGCCAGGTGAAGAAATCCTATCGAAGGCTGCGACCTGGGAGTCATAGCAGGGTGGGTCATAATTCTTGGCGCTTCAACAGCAGCATACAGTATAAGAATTATATAGTTTAACTGAACTGATTATATCAATTACCATCTGCCAAAAGATGAATCTTCCGGACCTGTGATTGGAGTATGCAAATCCAGTTGGGTACGGTTTGGGCCCTTTGATCTGTAAAAACTCTTGTTCAACATCCTTAAGAAGACTAGGCAATCTGAAAGTTGGCTTTCGATTTCTACCCCATCAGATCATCATTCCATAGATGCCATAGCTCTTGCCACGCACTGATTGCGTGCCAAACGCCCGGACAGGCTGGCCTTACGCTACCATCCGGAGCCTCTGTCAAAGCTGGACTTCTGTACTCATTCCCTCACCATCCGTTCACGGCTCTCTCTTTCTCTTAAACAGAGCTGCTTTCACACAGTTTCTCTTCCCTTTTAGTGTCGAGCTTGTCAGCCAAATTTTCCAGGTGGTTTTCTGTGGCATTGTTTTCTGTCGCTCTCCTTAGTTGCTTGGTGGTTAGTTTTAAAATGTTACTTATGAATTTATAAACGTTGTTCATCTTCAACATCATGTATGACCGTCACAAAGAAACCTTCAACCAGTTGTCGATTGATCATTCTTGTTGGCTCATCTTTCCTGCAATGTAGTCAGGCAGAAACTCCAAGATATAATGAAGAAAAGAAGAGTTAGATACAACCATAAATAATAAATGAAACCATTCGGCCCAGTTTTGGACTGCAGGTACCGCTTCATGGGAATTCAACCCGCTCCGAGTCGGCGAGTCCCTCAATACTAGTATGGTTTATTTATGTCTTGGGGTTTACCAAGTACCAAGCATCAATTTTACCACTGAGATGTCTAGGCAAAGTTTAATCTGTTTCTTCCAGGTTCTATCCTGATGCCGTTGTGAATCTACCGCCATTGTTTGCTGATTAAACTCATCACTTGAAGCATACCCTCCGGTGATTTAACATAGTAGTGGAAAATCACTATGTGCAATATCTAAAATCTAAATCATATGTGTGTATATATATATACACATTATATATATATACACATTATATATATACACATATTATATATATATATAAGTGTATATAATTATATATATAGGTTATATCGCAGTTTTCATTCATGTTCCATAGCTATTATGTTAATTTCCCAGAAGCTGCGGTTTTTCATCGCTTGAATTGATCCATGACCTCCCAAGGACAAGAACTCCCATGACGACAGCGAGCAGCAGAGTGAGCGCTTCCGTCGTGTGTCGGCGGCTTACGAGACGTGCGTCGCGTTTTTTTCGGCAGAGAAAAAGGCGGCAGAGATGGCACGGGAGAGCACCATAGAGCACCACTGTGAGAGATGTTTTAGGGATCCACAAGTACAATCCATATCTGTTTGGTGGTTTGGAACATGAATTTTGTTTTTCCATTCAGTTGGGAATTTTATCATCCCAACTGACTAACTCATATTTTTCAGAGGTGTTGAATGGGGGTTACCCCTAAATGATTCCAGTCATGGATGATGACTTAGTATTGAAACAACTAAAATGTAGTGAGTTGGGGATCACCCATTTTAAGAAAGCCCTACTATGCTCCATGAACATTCCATACATGGAGCATTGGGGTAAACCATTCCCTAATTCCTAATCTTGTGCTTTGTTACCCATCATCCCAAGTATAGGGATGATAAGCGTCGCACTGAAACACAATGATACGCCACAATTGTGAGGTGCTTCATTATGGATTCTCGATGAACAAATCATGTCATGTGGTAAACCCAATGCCATAAACCTACCCTCTGGTAATTTAACATAGCTATTGAACATACCCAATTTATACAGTAGTTGATTTACCTATTCAAAATGGAGATTTTCTATAGTTTTTTGTATGTTTACCAGAGGGTATCTAAACCTGTCATGTAGGGATGTTTGGAAGCCCACAGAAAAATGGTGAGGCGATGTGCAGATGACTGGGTTGCACCTGGTCATAGTTGAACCCTCCGCCGAGGTCTCTCGCAGCCCTTCAAGCCGGGGGGCCATGGTGAAGCCTGGCCCTGGGTGAAGGTCTGAAGTGTCCACATTTTGAGATCTTCGAGGTATGTATATAATGTAGATTGAGTAGCCCCAGATTGAATCTTTTAACACATGTGTGTATATATATATATATATATATACATATGTATGTGTATATACACATTATATTTATATATTTGAATATCACTAACAAAGACAACCACCTGTGGTTATGTGTGTTTGTTTTACCCGTAGCCATCATAGCACCTTGGTCGATGCTTGGTCAGACTGCCCCCTGGTGGTTAGGTCAGACTTCCATTCAAGAAGGAGGGTTCCCAGGAACAAACATGATGAAATAACCGACATGAATCTAGCTACAAGCCACAGATTAATCCCATTTATATACCGAAAATATCCTAGAACTAGATACCACCCAAAAAACACAGAGAGTATTGGATGTATTCATTTGGGAGGCCATATGGGGTGAGGTATATATATATATACATACATACATACATATTACATATTATATCTATAGTATATCAGGGGGAGTGGATGAGTTGCTAGCAAAGTGCTATGAGACACCATGCATCAAACAGGTGTAGGTATAGTAATATTAAAAAATAAAATAAAACATAAATCAATCAGTTCCGGATGATTAGATAAGTTCCCTTCATGTGGCCCCCCAAATGAATAGATTGCATACGGAACCCTATCAACTGGGAGGCCATGGGATATGACCAGGGAAGTGGACGGATGTCAATGGAAATTGATGGTAATTGATGTGTTCGGATTATAGAGGTATGACTGTGTGAATTAGAACGACCTTAAACTGCAACCTCACCAGGAAGTTGATGCTTTGTAAGGGGATTCTACTCCCCCCAGTACCTTGTTGCAGGTGAATTACTGGATAGAATTCAACGAGAGAGTCTTAGAGGTTTGGGATGCCAAAGGTTTTGCCAAAGTTGGAAAAAGAACCTGCAACAATCACAGATCAAGAAGAAGTTGTGCATCAATCCTTTGTGATGATTTAACATAAAGCTACGGTATATACGTGGAACACCATTTTCAAAAACGGTAAATCATCGAACTAAATGGGCTATGGTTTCCATGATTTTTTTTACCCGACGGGCTGGGTATTTACCATGAACTCCAAACAAAGATTGTTCATGTTGTGTTGTCCATGAATCCAGCCATTTTCATCCATTGAATTTCACCATGATTACTTGACTGTTTCATCATCCATTTTTGGAGGTTTCATCCATTTTCATCAATTTGTTCACCATCCAAATTTGACATGGCATGGCAAAATCTATGGCCATTTCATCCATTTTCACCCATGTTTTGTTCCATGAACCCAGCATTTTTTACCCATTTTCACCATGATTTACTTGATGGTTTCATCATCCATCTTTTATTGGTTTTCATCCATTTTCATCATTTTTTTTCTATGAACCTAGCCATTTTCATCCATTGTCATCCATTTTCCATGGGTTTTCATCTGGGGATGGGTCAAAACCCTGGTACCTAGTGAACCCCAAAATAGCTGGGAAATGGATGTTCATCCCACTAAAAATGTATCTATAGGTATTGATCCATACCCATATATAAAAATGTATCTATTATTTTTCCATGAATCTAGCCATGTTCATCCATTTTCCATGGATTTTCCATGGGTTTTCATCTCATCCATTTTTGTCTGTTGGTTTTTCACCACGTCCAACACATCCAGGTCCAAGATGAAACGCTTCGCTGCCAGTACTCCGGGCTCGCCGGGGATGCCCAGCGGATGCGGAGTCGTGGCGTCGGTGTTTCATGAAGCCCCAAGAAACAACCGGGAAAGAAATCAAGATGAGAACTATAGTAATTACTAGTAATTACTAGTAATATCTAGGAATCTTGTTTTTGATATCTAGGAATCTAGTTTTTGATATCTAGTAATTAGTTTTTGAATGAATCTATGTACTAGATTGTGCACTATTTTAGCGACACAAAAACACTGTAGTATTTTTTTTAACATCAACCAACAAAGATAACCTGGGGGCCCCGCAGTGTCCCATCCTGGGCATCTCGAGGTGAGATGATTGTTTCCATAGTCATGGGGGTACCCCTTTATCGCTGGATGGTTTATTTCAGGGACAAGCCTATTTTTCAATGGATGAGAACTGGGGGTACCCCCATGACAAAACGGAAACCCCCAGTTCTGAGTGATGAATGGAATCCGATGTTCAGTTTCGTTGAAGGCCATGTCAGCCATTGCTGTTGAAAGGGACCATGAGACATGCGTCAACGGATGTGTTGCAGCGGCCCTTGGTGACAATTCCAGCTCAATTCGTAACAAAATAGCTAAGTAATTGTACTAGCCTGATAGTTAGCTCATACTTAATATAGGTATATGGGAGAGTGGAAGGTTTTGCAACAACCTATACCCTATAGATGTCACAGTTGTTCCACGAGCTTTCATCCCACTTGTGTTCAATTTGTTAATGTGTTTGTCACACCGTGGTCACAGAATCATGAATTTTCGGCATTCAGGGTAGCAGTGGAATTACTGGGTATGACATTTTTTTCATATTTTTTCCTGCTTCTGCGTTCATGCTGAAATTTGAAATGAGGAAGCTGCGCGAGGTGTATTTGCAAAGCCCAGGCATTTGTCAAGTTGGTGGCGCTTGCCCGATGTCCCTGACGTAGATCTCCAAATTGCGGGTGGAAAAAAACGTTGGGCTTTGGCTCTCGCCAAGTTACATGGAGGAGATGGCGAAGCCCAGAACTTGGGGCTACTTTGAAGCTTTCTTGCGTGGAAGGTCTCAGTTCCGCTCCTCGGCCATCAAGTTTTTCAGTGCACGTGCGTCGATTTTCATTCCCCACCTGCCAGGTGAGGGTTGTTAGATTTTTTCAGAGTTGTTCTCCTCCTTCTTCTTCTCCTCCTCCTCCTTCTCCTCCTCCTCCTTCTCCTCCACCTCCTCCTCGTGCTCCTCCTTCTCCTCCACCACCTCTGCCTCCACTTCCATGTTCACTTCCGCCTTGCCAACTCTTCGCCAAGCTCTTCGCCAACTTCCGCACGCAGTGGGCACTGCTGGACCTCAACTGCAAGGGTCTGAACGCACTGGGCACCGCTGGACCTCAACCTGGGACCTTCCGAGCTCGCTGGACCTCAACCTGGGACCCTCCAAGCTCAGTGAGCACTGCTGGACCTCAACCTGGGACCCTCCGAGCTCAGTGAGCACCCCTGGACCTCAACCTGGGACCCTCCGAGCTCAGTGAGCACCGCTGGCCCTCAACGGCCAGATAGAAAGCCAGAAGATATGCCAGATAGAACGCCAGATAGAATGTCAGAAAGAATGCCAGAAGATATGCCAGATAAAGTGCTAGAATGTTTGCCAGATAGAATGCCAGAAGATATGCCAGATAGAATGCCAGAAGGTATGCCAGATAGAATGTCAGATAAAATGCCAGAAGGTATGCCAGATAAAGTGCCAGAATGTTTGCCAGAACATATGCCAGAAGATTTGCCAGATAGAATGCCAGATAGAATGTCAGAAGATATGCCAGAAGATATGCCAGATAGAGTGCCAGAAGATATGCCAGAACATATTGCAGAAGAATGCAGAAGATATGCCAGGTAGAATGCCAGAAGATATGCCAGATAGAATGCCAGAAGATATGCCAGATAAAATGCCAGAAGATATGTCAGATAGAATGCCAGAAGATTTGCCAGTAACAAAACGTATAGATGTCATAACTCCAAATAAAGTATTTTTTCTCAAATAAAAGTGTCATTGACACGTATGCTTGAAGACAGTATCATTCGAACTAAAAACGACATTCGGAGGTACCTCCCTGTTCTAACTCAAAGATTCCAGCTAATTATTAACCCATAGGATCCATGGTGCTGGCATATATGCTAACATGACTGGGGTATATTGATGGGATCCATGGCACACCATATATAGCAGCACCGTTAGGATCCGTCATGGGTAACTGATCATCCATGGTCATCCTATGCGGAACCTGCTGCGAAATCAACTGGGATTCACGTATGGAATGTCTCCAATGCTCCATGTATGGAATGTGTATAAACATCTAGGTAAATTATAACGACCTCAGTGTTCTCCCTCACTGGAATCATGGTTTATTTTAGAGGAATCATCCCCAAATGGCTGAACTATTCAGGTTAGTGAAATATTATAATTTACCCAGAAACATGTACCCAAACGTTGACCCAAACGTATGTAGTTTGTGTACACGCAATACATGGAGCAGATGGGTATACTTCTTGAACCCCCATTCCCAGAATTGTGAATCAAAGGGACAATCTGCATGGAACCCATTGATTATTTTGTGTGGTGATTAGATTAACTCCCTCTTGTTGATGATTATAAAATCCCATTATATATATAATATATATATATCCCATTAGATGACCATTGATTAAATTCCATTGTGCCCCATTAAATCCCATTAGAATCCAGTTAAAACCCCACTAGATCACTATTATATTCCATTAAAATCCCATTAAACCCATTAAATATGCCATCAAAAATCCCATTAAAACATCGGACGAAATCCAGTTGAAAATCGGCCGTTAGGACGATTTTCACCGAGTCAACCATTGCCAAGAATCCAGGCACAGAGAACAACGGGAACGGCTGTAGACTGCTATCGCAACAAACAGATAGAAAGATATAGTAAGGTCAAATTTGTACCATACTTTATTACCCAAATAGTGTTCAAAAAATAACCAGAATAAGCCAAATTTAAAGTTTTCTGGGATTGAATACCATCAAACATATAGACTTTTTAAAGGAAGGATTCAGAATGTCAGTAAGCTACGGGGTCATCCATCCCATTTGGTTTAACCGTTTTACCACCAGCTGGACAATTGACCACGTGCCAAAAAACCATCCATGTTTGAATGGTTGCTACCCAAACTGAAGAAAATCTGCGCGGTTTTTGTGGGGCTTAAACAAAATTTTTATCCATAGCCCAATAGTCATTTTTTTATCCTTTCTTGGCAGATCCCACATAGAAAGTGGTTAATTAATAACCCTACTTTGAAAGTCCCCGTTTCGTGAGGCTATCCCATATGTAACTGGGTTATGAATGCGCTTACCCCAAATATAATGGAATTGTTTAAGCATCAACAAACCATATATCCATCAATAATGGTATGTTAAATGGGACGATAACCATCAATACTGGGATATTAAATTTATTGGATACCAACCATCATTAATGGGATAATCGGGCATGTAATTGATTTAATAGGCATGTAATTGAATATATATATATATATATGATGTAATCACGATAATTCCACCCCCCCCCAGAAACCATGGTTTAGGGGATGAAACCACATGTTTGTGACCATGTGGTGTTCAATAAGGATGGGATGACCGTTCTTTTTGTGTGGTTAAAACATAGAAACCAGAACACGTACTAAATATTGTTATGCTATGCAATTGTCTATTTGTTTGATGCTTAGTAAACGTGTAATGAGTTGTGCTTTCTGCAATCCCGGGGTAAAGTGGCAAACCCTTGCGATTATTATTCACAAACCATCCCAGTAACCAAGCAGTTTGGACTCATGTTACATTTGTCCTGGAATTCATCTTGTGTGGCCTAGGCGCGCAGCCCAGACAGCCCATTCACAAACATTGACAAACCATTTACTGTGCTAGTTCCAAACAAAGCCTTCAAGTAGTGTGGCAAATGCAACGTAAACAACTGGTTGATGGTTGGGAACATGAATTTCATTTTTCCACTCAGTTGAGAATTTTATCATCCCAACTGACTAACTCATATTTTTCAGAGGGGTAGGTATACCACCAACCAGACAAAAAACGGTCCTAATTCTGGTGGAAATGGGCGAATTATAGACCTTCCTGTTGGTTTATTGGGTGAATTACACTACCTAAATTTGAAGGTATATCCTGCACGGATAAGGTCTTTAAGGTGGTAAAAAAAAACTCATAGAATTCACCCAGTGATTTGCAGCAACTTAGCTACTGTCACTCCTATTGTGTCTCATCAGTCTCATCATGTCTCAAACATCCCATTCTGAATCACCATCATAAATCCCATGAAGTCCCATTAAAATCACCAATCCCCTTATTTTTACAATTTCCATTAAGACACACAGCATTATATATCCAATCTCCCATATTAATAGTGGTATTTTAGTGGTATGTATAGTTCCAGTAGTGGATGATTTGTTCACTAAAAACGCAGCATGTTTTTTTGGTTGGGTACCATCGCCCCACCTTTCCAATGGCCGAGTTTCGGCAAACTGGTCAGGTCCTGGGACATACCAACCCAAGCAGCGGCCGCATGGCACTGTGGCGGAGCTGCAGTCCGGACGACCCAGACGGCCCAAGAGGTAGGTGGGCGTGAGCTTTGCCGAAATTCTTGGGGAAGATTAGCCATCAATAAGCCATTAGAAATAGAATATTGGAAGATACAAAAATCATTGAAGTTGGGAATCTGGGAGATTACCACATATTTTTGCAAGTTGATTTGGGAGCAACCACAAGTGTTGAGGGATATATCCTGAAGTTGGGAATCTCAACCGTTTTTTTGTTGATCTGACATATTTGATTCGCAGGTGTGCAAGTTGCCCGGTTCTACAAGCATCAAAACCCTGAAAAAAAGGGTTCTAGTATTATTGGGTTTACCATATGAGTTGCCTAATTTGACTGTAGAGTTTTGTTATGTTTTGCTACTTGGGGTGTAGAATAAACCTCGAAAGATTGGGTTTGATGATTGATTAGAGGTTTCACTGAATCAAATTGTATTGCGGTTTATCACTGGGAGTTAGCTAGCTCCTGGCACCACAGATGCTCTAGAGGAAGTGAAATCCAACTATTTCCAAGCGGTAAATCTTGATTTCCAACAGCTATTTTCTACCCAAAAGAAAACGGGCCTTTCAACACCTGTGTGACCGAAACCATGGTGTCACGACTGTTATTGCGTCCAGGAAAAGATCCGGGTTTACGATGCTTCATGATGTATGCCAGAAGATACCATGAGATTTCATCAGATTTAGCATCCCGCCCCAAAAGGATAGAAAAGTCATATCCCACTGCGACAGAAACACCGACAGGTTGGATGTGCAACCACCAGTCAAACCGGTCCTACAGGAACGTGGGCGCTAGGGATGGCCGAGGCTGAAGATAAGGATAGTGGTGGTTTTGGTGATTGCTAGTTTCATGGTATTGTGGTGATTGGGAAGTGAAGGTTGATGGTTCCTGAATGTTTGCTTTTATGTGACGGGTAGTCCTGTGATCAGTAGCGCTTAGCAACCATTGGCAGTCGTTGTAGATTCTCATCATTAGGATTTTTCAGCTCGAATTTAAGTTTGGAACGGATCACGGCCTTCTGCAAAAAAACATCTGATGATTGACTAGGATCACTGCGATTCACTATTTAGGGATGAAATCCTACCATATCCTACCAAAATATACAATTTGTCGATTTTTTCTTATGCTCTTTCATGTCCTGTGAATCTTCTGCTTAAACTCCTTGCACATGTTACTCTAGGGCGCCTCTGTTTCGCCAAAATATGGGGGGGATTCTCAAGTCATGGGGAGTCCTCAAGTCACCATGGTTGTTTCAATACTTCTCATGGTCATCCATGACTTGGATAATTTGGAGCTACCCCCATTCTCTCTCTCATATTGTATAATATCCTGTGATAAAACATCAATTAGCGGATGATTAGTAACTAATTAAAACATATTATAACTATGATCTATAGAATCTATAGTATAATATCATATAATATCCTATAAATGGTTTATTTTGGGCTACCTTCCATCCTCATGTGCTTTCATCCCCTCCAGGACCAGGTGAAGACCACTCCCTCGGTGCCACCTATGAGGTGCCTCGACATGTTTTTTGTCGTTTTTTAATATCTTTAGGGAAGGGGGATTACTATGGATGTTATCATGATTATACATATGTTATACTTTAATAGCAATCTCAATTAGATGTTATCATCTATAGTTGTTGGGACTATGGTACTATAGATGTTATTATAGATGGTGGGATAGATGGTACTATCATTGATGTTACTATAAATGATGTTACTGTAGATGTTACTATAGATGGTACTATAGATAAGAATCATTAATGTAGACCCAATGATCTTCCCATGTGTGTTGGAGATGGCGAGCTGCTCCAGGTATCTACCAGGTCAAGTGCCCCAGACGGAGGCGGCGACCGCGGACATTGAGAAGCTGTCGTTTGGCTGTGGAGGGAAGTTTGATTTGGAGGTGAGGCCCTATAGATTCGATGGTTCCTACTGGTTGGTGGTTAATATCTGGTTCATAGTGATGGTTAATAGTGGTTTTCATAGGGTAATTATAAACCAACAACAATGAGAATATGATGGTTATATATCTGGTTGGTGGTTTTGAACCGTGGATTTTTATGACTTTCCAGAAACAGCTGGGAATGGAACAATCATCCCAACTGACGAAGTCCATCATTTTTCAGAGGGGTAGGTATTACGGTATACCACCAACCAGTAATTATTTGGTGGGCCCCTACTATTATAATGGGGATTAATTACTAGGAATCAATCATCCCATTGTAGAACAATCCCACTCGATGGAGGTTTCCTAAAATGAGGGTATCCTTATATCATCCAAGTCATGAGATCATTTTAGTATTGAAATCAATGGTGACTTGGGGATCTCCAAATTTGAGAAGCCCCTAGATAGCTACGTTAATTCAGGCTATGGCTAAGTTGACGTAAATAATTTGACTCAGTTTTTTTTGGAATCGTACTATAGTCAGTATGAATTCAAGTTAATGGGGTTTATAGACCAACTTACAACTGGGGGGCCTCACCTTGTATGTAGATTGAAGGAAATTCACCCACAAGAATGATGTTTTTTGTTGATTAAAGCCATTGAGAAATCATAGCAACAAATTTGTAAGCTATGGGATTGGACATGATTAGATCCACAATATTCCACAATATTCCACAACCATTGGCAACTAACTAACAGACAATTGATGAACATTGGCATTAAAAGCAACTTATTTGCATATTGATTCTAGATTTACCAACGATGCATTTGGATTGACTCCAAAATTTTGGGGATTTAGACAACATAACTGATTGGTGGTTAATAGTGGTTTTCATAGGGTATAAACCAACAACAATGGGAATATGATGGTTATATAATTGGTGGTTTGGAACATGTTTCTTCCATCTTTTGGGAATGTCATCATCCCAACTGACGAACTCATATTTTTTCAGAGGGGTAGGTATACCACCAACCAGATAAAATTGATGAACATTGGAATTGAGCTGGAATTTGAAGCATCTATATCATATATCCCAAGAAACGAGATGATGAGATGATGATCCCAGTTTATATCATCACCGAAAGGTATATCCAAAGATATGCGTGTCCAAAGACAAATATCCAAAGATCAATATCCAAAGGTACATCTCCAAAAATGAATATCCAAAGATAAATATCCAAAGATCAACATCCAAAGATCAATATCCAAAGATAAATATCCAAAGATAAATATCGAAAGATAAATATCCAAAGATAAAAAATATCCAAAGATACACATCCGAAGATAAATATCCAAAGATAAATATCCAAAGATAAAAATCCAAAGATAAATATTCAAAGATAAATATCCAAAGATAAATATCCAAAGATATCAATATCCAAAGATAACAATATCCAAAGATACATACCCAAAGGCAAAAACAATCCAAAGCAAAAAAAATACCCAAAGATAAATATCCAAAGATCAATATCCAAAGATAAATATCCAAAGATCAAAAAATGATAAACATATCCAAAGATAACAATATCCAAATATATAAATATCCAAAGATAACAAGTTCCAAAGATAACAATATCCAAAGATACATATCCAAAGATAAACACATCCAAAGATATAAATACCCAAAAATATAAATATCCAAAGATATCAATATCCAAAGATATAAATACCCAAAGATAAACAAACCCAAAGATATAAATACCCAAAAATAAATACCCAAAGAATTTCAACCTTTGAGCTCTTTGGATCCAAAAACCCTACCGGGATCCGAGCCGTTCCTCCCAAGGTCTGCCCGCCATTCAGGAGAGCCTGGGGATATCGCCGGGAAACTCATGGCGATGCCAACAATGACAACTAAAAAATATATAATGATAGCTTTATATATAAATTATTAATCAGTTATGTTTTTATTATGTATATATTATTATTATTATTTTTATTATTATTAGTTATATATCATCATATATAGATAGTTATACAATTATTTTTTACAGTTATATATGATTCATTTATGTAGTCATATAATATCATCATGTTCTATAATTATTTACAATTATGTATACATAGTTTTATCTAATTAGAAATATACATGTACATGAACAGGCACAGTACATGTTTAAAGATGTTTGGGGGTTCTTTTTTCAGCAGCACACAAATAGACAACCACATGAGAGGAGCCCCGATCTGAGGTACTATAACTGGAGGTATGACTGGCAGGGCCGGGACTGGTGAGTGATCATTGTAAACTTCAAACATGCCGAGGTGTTATGATTTGCTGCCACTAAGTTGTTTTTTCATTGTTTGTGCCATTTCATTCTCAGTTTTTGTTGAACAGGCAAACACGAGTTGAAGCAGATAGCAGTAGCATCGTAGGAATCATTGTTTAAATTGGCAAAACACAATCGTGAATTTCCCATCGGGGGATGGTCAAATACATCAATGGGGGTTTTATATTACCCTCTGTTAAACTAACATAACTATGGAAAATCACCATTTTTAATGGGAAAACTCAGTATAAATGGCCATTTTCAATAGCTATGTTAAATTACCAGAGGGTATGTTTGGATTCCCATGGAATGGATGACCATAATTCACATATCATCAATGACGGACTATATTCCCACTATTGTTAAATTGTTGTTGGTTAAATCCCACTAAATATAGATTATTTTTTCAATCCCCTTAAATCCCAGATCACATTAAATCCCCCGAAATCGACCACATTAGATCCCATTCCATCCCCTTAAACCCAATAATTCACATTAAATCCCAGCATTAAATCCCATGAAATCACCATGAACTCCCTTTAGAAAACCCTACGAAAAACACATCGAATTGGCTCGTTTTCTGCGCTTCGACATGGCCGAAAATTAGGCCGGACCTGGGACCTATGACATCGCCTCCGGCCTGTTGGGATGCTCAGGATGGTAGATAAGTATTTCCTTCCATACTATACATATATATATATCTCTCTCTCTCCCTGAGAATCGATGTCGGCATATAGATCAAAAAGCAAGGTTTACCGCAAATGTCAGCAAATAGACCCAGCATTTGATTCACAGGGTATATATCAATGGGAATTTCAGGATCCTAAAATGGAGGTACGTTGGTACCATAATGTACCATAATGTACCAGGGCATGTGTTCAAGGGATATCCCCTGAAATTAAGGCCTTATGTAGACCTTATATATGGTAGGTACCTCCAATTTAGGTTCCTGAAATGACCATTGATACATACATATATATATACATATGATTATATCCAATCCAATCCAACAAATCAGTTATAGGGATTTATAGGGAGGTTTCCTGAAAATGGGGGGTACCCTAGTTATCACCCAGCTATTAGATTGGGATTTTCCATGGATTGAACCATCCAGCTAATGATATTCGACTTGTCGGCATCTTTTGTTGCTGCGATAGTGGGATAGACAAAAAACCAACGAAGAACTGGTTGGTGGTTGGGAACATTTTTTTTTCCATATATTGGGAATAATAATCCCAACTGACTAATATTTTTCAGAGGGGTTGAAACCACCAACCAGAGAAGTGTTTTCCTGGCCAGTTTGAATGGGGAAATGAATGATGAAAGTAAGGTACTGAATAGGGATATAATTGATGTAATCATCACAGAATGGGGACTTTGATCTGGCAATACGGCTGTGTCCAAAACTTGGGTTGTGAGAGGAAACCGTAAACCGTCCCGTTGTTGGAAGTACTGCAATTGACAAAGCCTTAAAGCAACAATGTGAGATCTCTAGCCCATTCTTTCCAGAAAATAAGGGATTGGGAGAAGCACATGGGAGCGCAGTTCGCACTTCCTATAGACTTGCGGATTTGCTGAGTGCAAGCTGCTCATTAGGAGATGACGAAAACATGGCTTCGACATTCCAAAAAGGCGGTAAGACTGGCTAGCCGCCCGCCCTTGTTCTATCAAAAACTGTGAGCTTAATGCCAGGTTATAAGGTTGATGTTGCATGTAGGCTCCTATGATTCCCCCCATGGCTTTTGATAGGATTCTTCTGGCAGTTCTGGCTGTGGGATTTTGGAGAGCTGGTTGCTATCACCAGTTGGGATAGCTATATGTCTTATCATCTGGTTGGTGGTTTGGAACACGAATTTTATTTTTCCATATTTGGGGAAGAATCATCCCAACTGACGAACTCATATTTTTCAGAAGTGTAGGCATACCACCAACCAGACATGTTTGTTTGGGTACCCCCAAAACGTCACCATTTCTGGCTGGCGAAAGCTCTTGGACTCTTATAATCAACCACAGCTGTTGAAAATGACGATTTCTCATTTTCGATGGGTCAATCATCTACAGACATGGGCCTTCTTCGGCCCAGTCCATTCTGGAAGCACTTTTGGGGGCGCTGGAAGTTGGTGCCAGTGGAATGTGAACCTTGGTCTATGCTTACCCTCCATGAACTAGTTCAATATATATGTATATATATATATATGCTATACCAACGTATAGCGATTCCAATCTACCACCTTCTAGGGTATACCACGCTCTTGACCCGTACCCGTACCCGTCAGGATCAAAGATAGCCCTGTGACGGTCTTTCGCAAGCCGTGCGAAGCCTGGGGGAGCCACATCATCGGAGGTTCAAAATCTGGTAAAATCATCATATTCCTGGCTGGTGGGAACTAGATGTTTGGCTATACTGCGACCGGTGACCAGAACAGTCACAAAAGAAAACACGTTCAAACCCGCTCAGTCATGGATTTGTGTTCGTCGCATTCAAAATCACATCCCATCATAAACTCATAATCTTCCCAAGTTTTGTTCGTAAAATGGGTGTGTGGGTGTGATTTTCGCAAACCGGGAAAATCTACAGATAAACAATGACAACTCTGGGGTACCCCATTTTCGGACAGACCCTTAAATGGAGATTTCCGAAAATGGGGGTCCCCATGAAGGCACCCCCAATTCATCCAAATCATTCGTCAAGAAACCCCAAATCGTCATTTTCCAATCAACAGATTCCCCAGGAAATATCATATTCAAAATATATATATATATATATTAAATCCCCATTCAATGTCATGAAAATCATATCATTCATGTCATTAAATCATAATAAAATCACCATTTTTTTACTGGTTAAATCACCACGTTTGTTGCTTAAATCCAAAAAGGAATCCCTAGGAATCCCTAGGAATTGATGCTGAAAAATCCCCAAGGACTGGGCGTCGCTTCCGAAAGCTTTGGGAAGCATCGGTGCCTCGGATGCCGATGCCTTGGGAATACCACATATTATACAATGCGGGGGGGCCAAACGATAGGGTTTAGTTGGTTTATAACTTCAATAACTAGGTTTTATGATACTTATATATACTAAAAAAACTATACTGAAAAAACTATATAATTAATGGGCTTTATCTAGGTCAATCTTACATGGATACTTTAATCCTTTAGTCTTTTGGTATTAATGGGAATATCTACTAACCAGCAAAGAATTTATTTTTTTGCAGGGTATCTAAGATTGGCAATGTTATAAACCAACTTATAATTGGAGGGCTCCACATTGTATTATATACATATATATATACAATTATATACATAAATTGCTGTGTATTATATACTCTGGGTAGGTAAGATTTGAAAACATTATCATATTCAATAGTGGGTTCCATGTATAAACATCTGTTTTTGGAATTTGAGAAACCCATGGTTGGGGGACATGTTTAAAAAATGAGGCAAAAAAAGGTCAATAATTTAAAACTTGATTTCCTGTGCTTCCCCAGGATTCGGGGAAAAAAGCCAGGCATTTCATCTAAACATGGAAGCACTTTGGTGAGCTTTGGTGGCCACACCTGGGTTGGCCAGATCCGGTTCATCAGCTTTTCTACCGACGTAATGGTCAACGGAGAGACAGCCCAGATTTCATCCCATCTTTGTCCCATGAAATCTGTGATTCACCTCGATGGACGGTGGACTGGGGTCAAAATCCCAGGCTCCGAGGTCGAAATCTCCGAAATGACGAGACCAGGGCCCCCATTATGTTTCTTTTTTTTCCCCACCGGGTGCCCGTTACGTTTGGGGTTGTATTATGTTTGTTTTTTGTTGTTATTGTTATTATTAGTATATTATATATTATGTTTAATAATGTAATGTATGTACAATATAATGCAACGTAAGACTATATAATATGATAGGATCTTGTAATGTATAAGATAAGGTTATCAGATAATATAACATATAATAATAGCATAATGTAATATGATATGACGTGGTTTGATATAACACAAATTAATCTATGATATAATCCAAAGTAATGTAATACAGCATTACATAATATAAGACTATAATATAAAGGACAATATCATCTATACTTAATGATTTACTATAGCTAGTACTAGCCAGTTGGAGACTTGGGCAATCAAGGGCAAATTGTCATTGGAATTGTGCGTTAAACGCTATTATATCATAAATTGGTGATGGTTCAATCATGACAGTTGGAGGTGTCTCTGTTGTTTTCTTTTTTTTGGTGTGTGTGTGTGATTATCTTTGTATTATTTCGTATTATTAGGGTCACTAAATAGGTCAAACTTAATGTTTTCTTTCTGGATTGAAACGGTGGTAAACACCTTAAGAACATGGTATAAACTCCTCTTGGTTTCTTAAGCGCAACTGCGTGGTCCTTCAAATATACAAGGAAACCCATTCAAGAAAGACCTGCCAAAGATATCCAAATATGGCATTGCAACCGTGTTGCAGCAACCCTCCAGTACAGAACATGCTCTGAAATTGAACTTTCAAATATAGCGGATGATTGAACTGGTTCAACATCCTTTGGGGGTTAAGAAATACATTTTTGGTGTGTAGGTCCCCCCCCGGCTATGTTTGTTGTTCTATGTCACCCAGTCAAGCTGTAGTCATTGTCATCTCCAGTATCAACATCCAAGACTTGTGGTAATTATCGACCATGAGAGCCCCTTGGTAAATCAACTTAGGACTAGGAAGCTCGATTTTCTTGGTGGTTACAGCCCCATTTCATAAATCCCATTCTAAATCCCATTCCAAAATATTCCAAATCACCTTTAAGTACCATTAAGTCACCATGAAAGCACCATGAAATCCCTATTGAACTGAAACTAACATGAAATCCCCATGAACCATTAAGATCTGGGTGGTGGTTTGGAACATGTTTTTTTCCATAATATATGGGATGTCATCCTTCCTATTGACGAACTCCTATTTTTCAGAGGGGTAGGTTGAAACCACCAACCAGAGATCCATAAAGTCACCAATCACCATGGAAATCACCTGGAGACATCCCCGTGTTGGCTTCACCTTGTTCTCCAGGTAGCCATCGAGTCCAACATGCCCGAGAAGGATCTCCCTGGCCCTGGCACCTACGAGCCGCCGGTGCCAGACATCGGCAATTTTTTCATGGCATTTCAACCAAGAAACATGTGGATTTCCATGGCATTTCACCAAGAAAAATGGGGAAGTCATGGAATTTTACCAAGGAAAATGGGGATTGAATGGATTTTCATGGGAATTCAATGGAATATCATGGGATGGAATAGGATTTAATGATTTCATGGGGATCTCTCATGGATGGAAGTATTGGAGTTGTTTGGCTCATACTTCTGATGTAATTTGTTTACTTTAATGTATTTATTACATTTTATGACTGTATTTATATTGGGATAGATTAGCTGCAAAACTTTTATTTACTGGAGCTATATAATGTCATATCTTTTATATGATGAACATGGTGACATTTGCTATTGTTGTTTAGAATTCAGTACAATCATGGTGTTTTCTTTAGTGAATATAAGTGTTACAGTAATTGGCCAAACAAAAGCATTCATCAACAAAATAATGTTTATAGTGAATGTTGTATTTTGATGAATGGTTAGCTAAGTTGATATATCAAACTAATACAACTAGGATTCATGGTAGATATATCTATACAGTTGATGAGGGCATATTACCAACTGGTTCTTTAAGATTGCTATGGAAAATAACGTTGTTTAGTTGGTCAATATAGGTAGATCATCCATCACTAGAATAGTGAATAGGGCATTGTTAAGCTATATATTAATGGGAAGATATTGGAAGATTAGTGAATAGGTAACATGAAGTATGCCCAAAATTCTTAGTTGGGGAAGAAATATAAGTTTATTCAAATACTTAGATAATTGTACTTTAATGAGTCAGAATATTTCCAATGTATTTCTTGAATTTACATTGGGAAATATGATCACATATCAATACATATTATCGAAGGAAGTTTAGAAGTCAAACTTCCGACAATATGGACAGATGAAAAGCAGAGGGCAGAGGCAGAGAGAAGAGAAAGATTAGAAGAGAGAAGAGTAGAAGAGAAAGAGTAAGAAGAATGAAGATGGAGATGTGCGAAAAGGTAGGAAAGTCGCGAAACACTGTTTTTTCCAATGATTTGTGGCTCCGGAGGGTCGAAAAGTAGGCTCGCTCAAGCGGCGGGTGCGGAGCCAGCTGGCCAGATGAGAGATGAAAAATTGCACGCCGCTGTGGCGCGAAGCACATTTTTAAGTCAAAAAAGTTCAAACACACACCATTCTCGGACCACTTTTGGAAGTTGCGACGTCGAAAAAGTGCACGCCGGCGTGGCGCGAAGCACATTTCCAAGTCAAAATGTACAAAACACACCAGGTTCGGACCACTTTTGGAACTTGAGATGTCGAAAAAGTGCACGCCGTTGTGGCGCGAAGCACATTTCCAAGTCAAAATGTACAAAACACACCATTGTCGGACCACTTTTGGAAGTTGCGATGTCGAAAAAGTGCACGCCATTGTGGCGCGAAGCACATTTCCAACTCAAAATGTACAAAACACCTCAGCGTTGGACCACTTTTAGAGGTTCAGATGTCGAAAAAGTGCACGCCGTTGGGGCGCGAAGCACATTTCCAAGTCAAAATGTAGAAAACACCACATGTTCGCGCCATTTTTGGAGGTTCGGATGTTGAAAAAGTGCATGCCGTTGAGGCGCGAAGCACATTTCGAAGTCAAAATGTACAAAGCACCACATGTTCGCGCCACTTTTGGAGGTTCGGATGTTGAAAAAGTGCACGTCGTTGTGGCGCGACGCACATTTCGAAGTCAAAATGTACAAAACACCACATGTTCACTACAATACACTGAATGACACTGCACCACAGATAGACAGGTAGACAGGTAGACAGATAGATAGATAGATAGATAGATAGATAGATAGACAGACAGGTAGACAGCTAGACAGATAGACAGATGAAAGAGAGAGAGAGAGAGATAGATAGATAGATAGATCGATCGATCGATAGGTAGTTCGATAGATAGATAGATAGTTAGAAAGATAGGTAGATAGATAGATCGATAGATAGGTAGGTAGATAGATAGATAGGTAGATAGATCGATAGATCGATAGAAATATAGATACATAGAAGATAGGTAGGTAGGTAGGTAGATAGTCAGAGAAAGAGAGAGAAATAGCGAGAGAGATCAATCACCTTTCGCTCCATCAGTGGCTTCGCTCTGCCATCCCTGATTCACAACAACCAAGCTCTCCTACAGGTTTCCTATTTTTGAAACTTCCGCCACCGCCTTGTGCGGTACTACTTGTATATAGTTTTCCCCAAGAAGATAGAACAGTTACAGCCCCGAAACCGCAAGGAACATTGAACCTTCAACACCTGTTATTTAACAATCAACCCAACACATGGTTCTCGCAATAGTTATTTAGCAATCAACATATGGGATTTTTTAGTGGATATAACTGACAATATAAAATATGGGGGTTTCAAATTTTTGGGGATCACCAAGTCAGCCAGGTTTTTTCAATACTACAGCTTGGCGTAATGACTGGATGATTCGGGGGTACCATTTTTTAAGGAACCCTTCATATTTCCTATTATCTAATCATGATAAAATGCAAACAAAGAGATAAACATCCAGTTATATAATTTATATTTTTAGGTGGGTGGTTTTTTTTTTACAATCAGATGAACAGGGTTATTTAGTTAGGAATGATGGTTAGTAAGGAGAATCATCCCCAAATTCCTCGTTTTTGCGGTAATCACATAAGTTTGACCCGTACCCATCTAAAATGATGTATGGTCTAAACATATTTCACCAAAACCTTAAAACATCATAACCAAATAACAACTCGAATACTCTACTGAACCTTTGTGATTTTACAATATGAGTGGGATATAATGTGTTTTCATTCATAAACCATATATCATATATACATAACTTAACACACTGATTCTATATTGTTTTGGTGGCAAAAACTCTTACTGAACTCTGGAGGGGCGTTTAGCAGCATCATCGGATGTCAGCAGGGGTCATGGATATAGCATATTGATTCGATGTGATTCGATGTGAAACTTGCAGAGTTGACCTATCATCACCTGAAACCCAAAAATAATCACTGTTGTTTACCGCTGAGGTTCGGTAAGGTTTGTGTGCAGCACGGCCGGGCTGCGAAAGTCTTCAAGGACACCAACATGGTGACGTTCATTGAAGAAGTTCATTTGCTGGAGAGGCTTTCGGGCCCCTATGTTGCTGAGTTTTTGGACGTGGGTGTCTTGTTTGGAAAGCCAGCGTTGCTTTTCCAAGCCTACCAGCAAGATATGCGAAGATGGCTCAAAGATACCGCTTGTGACGTCAGAAGGATGTCGATGGCTTCCCTGGCCCACCAACTTCTGATGGCTCTGGCGCACATACATGCCTTCCGTGTTCCGTTCAATGCCAAGAAATGACATACGTTGCAATACTAACAAATCGGAATTACTGGATAAAGAAACAAATTATAGGAAGGATATATTCCATTATATTCCTATCAATGTAGGTAACCAACCCCAACATGATCTCGATTAGAAACACCTGAATGTTGCCTATCTCAGAAGTAACTGGGAGGCTAACTATGTTGTATGGTAGATATCAAACTAGTAAATGGGTCTTATAAACCAGCTAATTTGCATATCATGAATTAATCTCTACCGTCTCTACCCTCAGTTGCTTTTTGCTGCCTAAAGTCCCTATGCGTCTGTTATTAAATGGTTGTAGCTTAGCTAACCACATCCCATTCTATATTTTATAGATCCCATTATAAATCCCATGATAGAGACCCCATTGAATCTCATTAAGTGCTGTTATTTCCCATTCAATCTCAGTGAATTTTCTTAAATCCCCAGGCGCACGCTGAGCCAAAAGGTGCAGCGAGCCAGTGTGGTGGCCCGTGGCCGCTGCCGTGCTGCCGTCGTCTCCGGGCTGGCGCCACACAATGAAGATATGGTGAAATTTGGTGAACGATACCGTGAAACGTTGTCATTAAACAATCAACACAATGGAGATATAAGAAACATATGAACCATGGTCGCTTGTTGGATTCAACCATTCAAAAATGTTTCTTTTCTGGTTGAAGAGGAGATAAACCCAAAAGATACTGTATGGTTAATGTTTACTTGTAGGAAAAACGTTGGCGAGCATTCCCAGGAATTGAAATTAGTACTGTAACGGCCAGAAATGGCTTCGTAACATCTCACTTACCTTGGCAAAATCACACCGTTTGGTTGTTTTGAAATCACAGAAGTCGTGATGACATTATCTGAAATCTTTGAAATCCTCCATTGTTTTGATCTAATGTGGGCAAAACAATAATAAACCAGCCATTTGGGAATGGTTTATATCACCTATCTTTATGGTGATTTGGGGGATGGTTTATGAAATTGTTTTGCCCACATTATTATAGTTACATCCACCATAAGCCCCAATAGTTCACCAAGTCAACCAAGTCAATTTAGCTATCGTTTGGGGACATCAACCCAGCATTGTTTTACTAATATCTGGTTGGTGGTTTGGAACATTTTTTATTTTTCGATTCAGTTGGGAAGAATCATCCCAACTGTCTTTCATATTTTTCAGAGGGGTAGGTACACCACCAACCAGATATGATTTGGTTTGTGTTTTACTATTGTTTTACCCAACATTTACCCAACATTTACCCAACATGTACGCATGATAATGTGTCACGTCCGATTTTTTCACCCCTTTTGAGGTTCAACTCGAAGGTGCGCAAGATGCCTGGCCCCTCGGATCATGCCAAAACGCCTGGACCAGGCGCGTTCGACAGATTTCAACTATGGTGATTCAATGTGATTCAGCAAGAAACATGGGAACTGTTCGTGTTTTTTTCTTAAATATGTTTATAACCAACTGGATGAATGAGATGAATCACATAAATCGTATATAATATATATATATATATATATGTATGTATGTATGTATGTATGTATGTATGTATGTATGTATGTATGTATGTATGTAATGTATGTATGTAATGTATGTAATGTATGTATGTAATGTATGAATGTAATGTATGTAATGTAATGTATGTAATGTATGTATGTAATGTATGTAATGTATGTAATGTATGTAATGTATGTAATGTATGTAATGTATGTAATGTATGTAATGTATGTAATGTATGTAATGTATGTAATGTATGATATGTATGTTATGTATTGTTATGTATTGTTATGTATTGTTATGTATTGTTATGTAGTATGGGCTAGGTTATGTATGGTATGTAGTATGTTATCCTGTATGTTATGTTATGTATGGTATGTTATGCTCGTCTGTATGTAGTATGTATGTATGTATGATGTCTCGTATGTATGTTATGTATGTATGTATGTATAGTTTTGTATGCTATGGATGTATGTATGTATGTATGATGTAGTAGTATGTCTGTATGTTATGTATGATTTAGTAGTATGTATGTATGTATGATATTATGTATGTATGTATGTATGTAGTATGTATGTATTGTAATGTATGATGTAATGTATGTACTTGATGTATGCGTTGTTATGTCTGTATGGTTGTATGTTTTATGGGATGTATGTATGGTAGGTATGTATGGTATGTATGTATGGTATGTATGTATGTTATGTATGTATGTTATGTATGTATGGTATGTATGTATGTTATGTATGTATGGTATGTATGTATGTATGTATGTATGTTATGTATGTATGTTATGTATGTATGTTATGTATGTATGTTATGTAATTGTATGTTATGTAATTGTATGTTATGTAATTGTATGTTATGTAATTGTATGTTATGTAATTGTATGTTATGTAATGGTATGTTATGTAATGGTATGTTATGTAATGGTATGTTATGTAATGGTATGTTATGTAATGTAATGTTATGTAATGTAATGTTATGTAATGTAATGTAATGTAATGTAATGTAATGTAATGTATGTATGTATGTATGTATGGGATGCATAGTCAAATTGTTTGGGATATATCACGATATAGTGGGAGGAATAATCATATAACTACCTTTTTTGGATGGTGTTTATTTTACTTCAAGCCATGGTGGAAGAAAAACCATCAATCAGAGCAACAAAAGTGAGGCTATGAGGGTGTGAGTGGATCATATGTATATATATATATATTATGTACATTGTACTTTTATTGATCTTAAACTATGTATTGGTAGGAACACTTTTCATAGTCGACACTATCATTAATTCCATCGGGCAAAGAAACGGTGGCTGGCTGATTTTCCCAGCTGCGAAGCTGCTCTGTGCAGTTCGTGGATTTCCCCAGCCATGTTTGATTGCCGTAGGGTACCCTCTGGTAAACTAACATAGCTATTGAAAATGGCCATTTATAGTGAGTTTTCCCATCAAAAATGGTGATTTTCCATAGCTATGTTAAATTACCAGAGGGGTATCCCAATTTTTTTTGAGTGCATGAACAGTCTGAGACGCCAATCAGCGTTCATCGGCTTTAATAGCCCGCAAAGGTAGGAACTAATTGCTTTGATATAATCCAACCTGCTCGCAAGATACAATGGGATAAATTTTAATGACTTGGTATGAACGAGGATACATCACCAACAAAAAATGGGAACAAACGGGATTTCACCAACAAATTGTTCAAATCTCTTGTTGATTGATGATTGAAAGGGGTTATATAATACATATCATATATAATTATATACTTATACATATTGAAGATTACGGTAATCGTCATCCACTATGGGAATCCTCACTTAACAATCACTATGAATAGCATGATAGAGGGTACTATTGAACACTGCTCAAAAGGATAGTACTGACTGTACTAGTGATTCATTGACACCGTTTTTGCACAAGTCATACCCAGGTGTAAATGAAAATTTGTACTACATCATCCGACATCCAGGCTTTGACTATCGTTTGTCCTGTCCAAAAAAAAACAGGGTCGGGGGCAAGGAGCCTATTTTCAGACAAATCCAATTTGGATAACATTAGACATTGATATGATCTGGGAATGTTTGGTGACATTCCATCATCCAGCAATGGGTTTATTACTGATGTTTGCTGTTGATTAAATCTCATTTGCCCAGACCATTTCTTGTTTTATTCGGCTTTCTAGATGCATCCTGTATGGCCATGTTTCAAGCCAGTATTTAGGGGACTGATTTGTTGAAGATGTGGTCAGGGAACGGCCATGGCGTCCCAATGACCCTTCAGTAAACTAACATAGGCATGGAAAATCACATTTTGTATCCTCTACATGGTTTATATTCCATGCCTACCTTAAATTATCAGATGGTATACATGGATAATGTGGTTAAAACAATGCCATAAACCACCCCCACCCCATTTTTGGTGGTTTATACCACCCATTTATGGTGATGACTGGGGGATGGTGTATGAAATTGTTTTAACCACATTATACCCTATTGTACCCTTTTTACAACCCCAACTGCACCCATGAAACCACCAGGTGCCTACGACGTCGTAGGACATATCGAGAAGGCCTCCACCGAAACCCAGGACGCCGCTTTCGTCTGACTGTGGGATGGCTGTGGTACCTGAAAATGGGATGATTTTGCCAACATGACCAGGAGTATCATGGGGGTATCATTGGGATACAATCATAGAGCCTGGGGTAAAAATACGGTGTCCCGTTCGGATTATGATCTACAAATAGTATCAAATAGTGGATTTTAAAGGAGTTTCCACATCTATGTTAGTTTACTGTAGGATATATATATATATATTCATATATAAATATTCCCTGTAGATTCCCCAGGTACAGTAGTGGACTTCCCATTGGAAAAGTTCAAATCACCGAATCAGCACATCACCCATATATGATCCATGTATCTAAATCCCCAAAAAATCATGGGATGGTTGATACCTCAAACTTGACCAATCCATGAGCCCTTGCCGATCCGACCTCTCAGCACTTGAAGCCCCAAATCAAATGGGCTAGCCTTAGCTATGCCATACAGCTTGAATTTCCCCAAAGAATATGACAATCAGGTCCCTTAGATCACACCCTTGGGTCGAGGAAAGCGTCGGGGCAAGAGTTTGGTCCATAGTCGCAAGTGTTTCCTTACTGTCGCAGGAAGTTTTTAGGGGCTGAAACGACCAGCTATCAAACGTTTGCCCAAGTATTCTTGCTCCATTTGATCTATGATGTAGGTTGGTCAATCTCCCCAACTTACACACCCCAGAATCCCATGATTGATCATCATTTTCCCCACGAAGATGGTCCGGGTCTTCCCATGTCGCGTTGCCATGTACGGCAAAACCATTGGTCAACCTCGATGGTGTTTTCCCCCAAAATAGAGTATCCCAGAAACCATTGCTTTTCCCCAATAAAACATCACCATTTGCTTAAAGACTTGGATGATTTTAGGGTTTCCCATGGCGACCCACACAAATTGAAGTTGTGTTGACCAGGAACGGTGCGAAGCAATGGCTTTAAGCCGGGACAGACAGATGGCCATGCTGAGGCAATGAATCATCGAGGTTATTACTGTTATACCACACCTAGTGACCTTTGGGGACTATTGGATTTTATTGGAACATGTTTTCATTCAAATATGCCACAATGAAAGGGATAGCTGAATAGTTACCCTCTGGTAAACTAACATAACTATGGAAAATCTCCATTTTCAATGGGTAAATCCATTATAAATGGTCATTTTCAATAGCTATGTTAAATTACCAGAGGGTATTTACCAACCACATACCAGCCACTATTTCATGGGATGGCTCATATGGCTCCATGGGCTATGGCCTGATTTTTAGGCAATGACAAAAACCATATTACTCCCGTGACACAAGTCACCATCGGAATGATTCACAACTGGGTAAGCTGATTACATCTGACATCTGATTATTGTATCGGAAGTAATGTCAACTCAGAAGTAATAACCACCTGGGCTGTTTAATTAAAGGGGGGGCTCTATCTTAGTAGCAGATGAATGCAGATTTATCGTGGTATGGGAATTAATCAACCGGGGAGCACAGTTTCTGTATCCGTTGACATTATCGTTGGTTGTGAGGTGTTCTAACTGGCTATGAGTCAAATACTGTACCTGGCTTCTCTTGTGATTTGTGGCACCAAAATAGCAGGCAATTCAGGGATGTTCATCATGTTCATCATGTTCATCATGTTCATCATGTTCATCATGTTCATCATGTTCATCATGTTCATCATGTTCATCATGTTCATCATGTTCATCATCCCAAAATGTGGTATACAATGGTATATATATATACATATACCCCACATTAAACTGACATAGATGTGGAATTCCGAACGGAAAACCGTGGAAAAAACATGGAAAACCCGTTCGGAAAACGATCGTCATTCTGAGTAGTTGGTTGATTATATATGTATATTATGTTATTATAGTATATTATTAACGAGTAAACACTGGGTATAAATTTATAGAAATAGATATCAATCATTTATAGAATATATATATATACATATATAATCATATATATATACATAAACCATCAGGATCCCATGTATAGAATAAATTTATATGTACATCTGTTCTGGGTAAATTTCATCACGACCGAACCCTGTTCTCCCGTTTTGCCTGGAGGAAAAATCATCCCCTGGTGGGGCCGAACTATTCAGGTTAGTGACATATTTAAATTGACCCAGATTAATGGTTATCAATGGTTACTATTTACCAGTATAATATGTTCATTGTGGGATATTATTATAGATATAAATATTATTTAGATTTATAAATCCCATAAATATTCCATGAGTCTTTAATTTTGTTGATTTTGACCCATTCCCAACTCAGTTTCAGCCACCATCGAACACAAGGTCTGGGCTTCGGTTCGCTGACAGAGCGTGTGGGCTGGCGCGGAGTCCCATTTGTGTCCCAACCATGGTTTTTTAGGGTGCAACATTTCAATATGATACCCTCTGGTGAACTAACATAGCCATGGAAAATCACCATTTTTAATGGGAAAATCCACTATTTCGACTGGGCCATGTTCAATTGCAAACTGTTAGTTCACCAGAGGGTAAATCATGATATATTGATATATCCTCCGGTAACGTGGTTGGCCGGGACATTCCCTAAACCCTAAATGGAGCTTCAGATTATATCCATCCATCAATGGTGGAGTTTCCAGCCATGTTTGAGATGGCAAAGGCTGGTTTTTTATGAGGTGGATAGCAAACCACTTGAGACAAAACCAAATTGATTGTTTCATCATGGTTCATCAGAGGGTGATTATCATGGTACGGTATATCCCAGTTATATCATGTTATATATCATGTAATCATGGAGGTTTTACCAACACACACTTACTTGTGCTTAGTAGGGAATGGATGGGACTGGGGGAATGGGATGATTATTATTAGTGATTATGGATCATTCCCGAAAATTCCCTGCATTTAGCACCAGTAAGTCATTTGAAGTTTTACCAAATCCATTGATACATGATGGTCGGTTGGTTTTGAGGTCGGGTAATGCCACTGTAGCGCAGAACTTTGGCAGGAAACATGTCAGGGATGGGGGTACTTGTTCATGTCTCAACTAGGGTTTATGGATATGTTTGCAGTTGGATGGGTTCACAAACAAACAATTCCAGACGACTCACCCACAAAGTCACTCATATCGTGTGAAAGGATCATCATCAAATGGAGGTTTCCTAAGTCATTCGATTACCCCAGTAGCATGGTGACTGGGGATCCCGCATTTTAAGAATCCCATATGGGCCCTTAGTTGCTTAAATCCCATTAAAACACCCATTATAAAGTTATAAATTGCCAGTGAAATTGCCATGTTTGTTGCTACCCTCTGGTAATGACTAACAGTTTGCTATTGAAAATTGCCATATTATGTCTATTATGTAGTTGATTTTCCCATTAAACATGGTGGATCTTTCCAGTTCGCTATGTTTGTTGCTTCAAAAAATGCACCCTCGGCGAGGTCCAGAGAGGTGGAACATCCCTACGCCGATTCCTACAACGTGACCTGGTCGCCATACGGGGATTGCTATGGCGTATGGCGGAGCGGTATGGCGCTACGTATGGCTGGGTGATTTTTGTTGGAAATCGCGGAGGTGTTTGAAGATATGGGTATTCAATGGGAAAATCATGAGACATATTATATGTATATAATATATGTAATATATATATAGGAGAACATCCACTATAAATGGAGCTGTTGATCGGAATATCAACTATAATCTTGGATTTGGTGTGATTTGGTGAATATGATTTCTTTATTGGGAGATCCGCTCCGTTGGGAAGCTGTAGGGGATATATATATATATATATATATATGTGGGGGTGTTCGTGTTCGTAAGCAGATGGTTGTTGATGTATTCCATAGTAAGTGCTCTAATTATCTATCTGGCTGGTGGTTTGGAACATTTGGATTATATTTTCCCATTCAGTTGGGAACAATCATCCCAACTGACTTTCATATTTTTCAGAGGGGTTCAAACCACCAACCAGTTATGTGTTGATAGGATAAGTATTCCTCGCTTGGTTGGATGATGTTCAAATGGGGCATGCCATCAGTCACAAGCCAATCACCTGACACTTGAATGGCTATAGAGTTTGGTAATTTAACAGTTTGCTATGGAAAGATCCACCATTTTTCATGGGAAAACTCACTATTTCTATGGCCATTTTCAATAGCTATGTTAGTTTACCAATGGGTAAATCCCATTAAATCCCATTAAATCAGCAGGAGGGAAGCCAGGTATGGTCAACCACCATCAACATCACTGTAAAAAGGCAGCGAGTTACAAGGCCGAGGAAAACAAGCTGCTGCTCCGGTTGGTTGGCTAAGGTGGTTTACAACTCCATAAACAAATTGCGAATTATGGATATAGTAGATAGATAGGTGTATATACATACATATATATATAGATAGATAATAATGTGGGCTATAATAAGCCAGTTTTTAACTGGGGGTGGCACCATCTTGTGTCCCCTGGATTTTGATAAGCTGATTTGGTTTCAAATGCTTACAACACAAACAAATCATGAACTTGAATGATTGGACATCCTTTCCCCTACCATTAGATAGATACAGTTAGAGATCTTAGTCGTAGCGATTTCATGTTTTTAAGTCAGTTAGGTGCAGGAGAGCATGTACTAGCTAGCCCCTTGAAACCGTGTTTTTAGTATCAGATGTGTTCATGATTTGGGGTCCCGTATTGGACATATAACTTCACGATGCCAACCCTAACCAACACGGGGAGGATTCCGACTTCATAGCTGAGGTTGGTAATGTCCCTGGACCAGGCGCTCATGGGGATCCTAATCCTGGCGGTGGCTGGTAATGCCTGCAACGTGGTCTTCACGTTCTCCTATAATTTTAATATGTGTTGATGCTTATCCTAGCTTAAACTTTAAAAACATAGAAAATTATGTGAAAACCCCATGGTTGGAAGCCCATTGGGGTCTATGATCTTATTTTTTTTGGTGGATTTTACACATTACGGATCATCCCCTGCTCCATTGCTCGGGGTTACAATGGGATCCCCAGTCGTCATGGTCATCCATGACGACTGGATGAGAACTGGGGTACCTGATGACCTAGTTCTGAACTATCATTTTCGCCATTTTGGAGATCGCACATCCTTTTTTTGGGGTACCAAATTTTAACCCTGACTCATACGGATGTTTCCTAAAATCATGGTACATGAGGGTACCCAATTTTGACTCCGACTTACATTTGAACTACATTGGAGGACACTATGGCGATAGCGTCAAGGACCGCAGAGAGATGAGGGGCCGTTTTTTGGATGTGGAATGGGAGGTCAAAATGCTTTCCTGCTGAGGTTTTCCAATGCGACATCCCCAAGTTGTGGCTGTTGTTTAAAATGCTGTTTTGGGACGGTACCTTTGGTTTTAAGTCCAATATCAAGGGCACCATAGGGCACCCCAAAATCCAATGGTTGATCATCATTCTCCAAATCAGTGTTTTTTCTTGGGGCACCACATAAAACTACAGGAACATACCATACCCTCTGGTAATGACTAACAGTTTGCTATTGAAAATGGTGATTTATAGTGGATTTACCCATTAAAAATGGTGATTTTCCATAGTTATGTTAGTTTACCAAGAGGGTACTGTATGAACATTCCAAATTTGATTCTAAAATCGACACAAAATCGGGTGAGTACCATCCCCATACATCACATATCTCCCAATCAAAAAAGCGACATGGCCGTCCCGTTTGAAGCTCGATAGTCACGGGGGGCCAAGTGTAGGAATCCGCCGATCGAGATAAAGTTCTCCCAGAGAAGCGGAAGAAACTCTATGGAGCTGGGAACTTAGCAGTGACCGGTTTATGTTGAGAAACATTTTGGACACATCTGGACAGTCATGTGGTAAACCCAATGGGGGTATACCTTTTTTAATGTTAACCCTGGAGTAATATTCACCCCGTTTACGGCTGCTGAATTGGGAAGGTACCATTTAAATCATAAAAAAGTATCATGACTATTGGGGGAATACCCCCCATAAACCATGGTTCATTAATCCGGGGTTGACATTCATAAACCCCAATTTGGGATGGTGAAAAAATACATTGGAATTCTCCTAGAAACAGAATCTATCCACAATTGGTCGTTGGTTCTAAGTACATGTTATCCAATGAGCAGGGTTTATGGTCTATACACACTATAATATATATATATATAGACACTGTGACTTTCAGACAAACTTTACTTCGAGGGTTTGACTCCTGGGCCTCATGTTGACAATGAACCTCCGTTTTTTGTTGACACCATGTGGCACCCCAAAACGCACAGGTCCATGACATGTGAGTGAGGTGTCTATATATCTGGTTGGTGGTTTGGAACAGGGAATAATAATGATCCCAATTGACTTTCATATTTTTCAGAGAGGAAGGTATACCACAAACCAGTCATGTTCCTAACCGTTGCTGATACTATGAAGGTACAAAAAACTGGTGCAATTTCAACCATAGCACAGGATTACAACAGACCACCACACTCTTGAACAATCCTGCAGATATGGCTATAAAAAGCTACACATAGAGAACAATGTGATGCTATGGTAATTTATACTAGTTTCATCAGTTTCAGGCTGACATTACCATGGGAGTTTCCATTCAGCCAAACAGAATATGTGATTTTCTATCAACATCTATCAACAATTCATAAGAATAATTAGCACATATGTATAGTTATGCATATATATATATATATACACATATGTATATATACATATATACATGTATGCACATATGTTTGTATACTATTTATACCCAAGTACATGAACAAAACTTATTCCAATCTAATCTAAACTGTTCAACCGATGTTGCGGCAACGCGACGCCAGGTGCATCATCCCACCTTGATCCTGGCCTTACAAGAGACCGAGGCTGGGTTGAAACAACCCATGGCGTATGGCGTGGGGAAACCCCAAAGGTTGGCAAGGAAAAATAATGGGACTATATTATACTATATTATACTATATCATTAATATAATGGGATAATAATAATCAATATAATGGGATAATAATAATCATCATCTGGTTGGTGGTGACTGGAACATGGCTTTTATGACTTTCCATATATTGGGAATGTCATCATCCCAACTGACTTTCATATTTTTCAGAGGGGTTGGTATACCACCAACCAGTGAAATATATGAACAACTACAAAGATAAGCATATATACTGTATATACTCGAGTAAAAGATACATAAAGATATTGAAACTGTACAGATGGTTTTTTGATGGTTTCTGATCATATTTAGGAGATACCAAGAGAAACATCATTTTCAATTTTTCACATAGATTATCTGACATCATGAGAAAGGCCCAACATAGGATTTCACCCAAAAGCTAAGTATCTTAATAGAATCAGCTTGAAGATCTGAAAACACAACCAATTTGTCAGTGCTCCGGCTGTGATTTTGGAGGTTTGGATGATCCCATTCCAGCTCAAATCTGTAGGATCTTTGGTATTCATCAGGGTTGCTCCAACCCATCAAAAAACGGATAGCGACAAGGTGGGAAATTGGTCGTGCTATCTCTTTGTTTCGACGATTTTCGAGCCACTTCCGGATCGTGTATCTGGCATGTTGGGAGCAACGTTCCCGCGGTCGTCAGGGACCGTTGCAAGCTTTCAACACCTCGGATGATAGGCCGGTCACCTGGGCTGCCATCTGTTGGTGATCATGGTATCCATGGTATCCATGATATCCATGATGTTATGGATTGCAAACCTCCAAATTACGGATAAAAATAGGATTAACCAATTATCATGATATGGTATCATACATGTCAAAATGGGATAGATGTCTTGGATTATCCACTTATCCATGATGAAAAATGGTGGATAATGGGATTACACTGGTGATCCGTCAGAAGTTACCAGGACTTGATGTTCACCAGGAGGCCATTTGGCAATGCTTCAACAAACTACAGAAATATACCTTAGATCCTCCAAGTACCCTCTGGTAATTTAACGTAGCTATTGAAAATGGTGATTTATAGTGGATTTTCCCATTTAAAATGGTGATTTTCCATAGTTATGTTAGTTTACCAGAGGGTACACATGTAAAAAAAGTAGTCTTTTACACCATATTTTTTTAGTGCGGTCTAGGTAATCAGATCTGGTTTGATTCATTTGATCATGATGAATTTGTGGAAGTGGTGAATTCAATGTCAAATCATCAAATCTTCTCTGGCTACACGGAGTAGACGTGCACCCCACGGTCTACAGGTCAAGGGCCTACAGATCTTGCTGGTTTTTAGGTCCTACTGTACATTCCTTGTTGGGGATGTCTCCAACTTTGAGTAGTATCAAAGCATCCCATTTTGGCCGGAGTGTGTCATTTTCTATATCCAGTCATAAGTTTTGCCGTCGTGTTTTTGTTGTCACTAAACGATCCCCATGTTGCTTAAACGATTTGTCGCGTCGTTTTCTTTCTCGCCCCGAGCCTCGTTCATATTTGGTAACCATCCAATTTTGGGGATATCTGTCTTTTACCCATAGCCAACTAAATTCTCCAATTCTTGCTGGGTGGTTTTCCTTCCAACTTTGGAAGGATTCATGTATTATACTTGTGTTTGGAAGCCCCTAATGGGATGGATGTGTCCATGATGCATCCTCCATGAAGCCTCAGATTCCTTGAGGATGTGGCCATAATCCCCAACTCCCATTGTTGATGGTTAAATCCTACAAATGTGAGGCCCCCAAGATAGCGTTCAGTTTGTAAGCCCCAGTAACTATAGTTATAAGTACCATAAACCATAGTGAAATTGGAGTTATAAACCAACTTAGCTATCTTGGGGGCCTCACATTGTTGTATTTTTCTTTTTATCCAATCCCCGGTTCATTTTAAACAGCCCCCAAAATGTCCCAAATATCTGTGTTTTATCACATTCCACCATGGTTTCTGGCTGCTGCATTAAACGTGAACCGGGGGCATGGTATTCAAATGAATTACATTTGGTTGGTTATAATTAAACGCCACTAAGTATATTTATATCATTCATATCTATAAGTATATTATGCTTAGTTATTTCAGATATTAAGCCGCCATTCATATCCCATGGAAAACCACCAATGTGTTTTAGTTCGGTCTCGCTGGCTCCAGGCCCTGTAACAAGGACTTGGAACAATGGACTCCAGCACCCTGGCAGTGCCCCGGCAGCTTTCAATGGGACATCTCTTGGGGGGTTGAGACAGTTGAGAATGTGGATTAATGTTGGCTGCCTAATAATAACAACAATCATTAACATTAACCAACAATAGACTATTGGTTAGACAACATTAACCAACAATCTTTTTGCGGACTTATCTACAGATTTTGTTGGGATGTTGAGCTCGATGTTGATAGGATTTACCCTCTGGTAAACATACACAAAAACATCAAAAAACATCAGCATCTTCAATAGGTAGAGCAACTATAGACTATAAATATCCATAAGTGGTCATGTTCAATCGCTATGTATCGCTATCCTACTGTTGATGGAAGAAATCCTGCACCACCTTGGATGGTTGAAACCCTATAAATAATGGGATAAACCACCTATCAACTGGTGCAGGATTTATTCCATCAACAGTAGTTTTGCCAGAGGGTGTATGGATTTATAGTTGGACGAATACTAGTTATCATAACCTGACGTCAACACTTGGGTTGCCGGCTGATTTCACCAGCCGGCTTGGTATGTAGTTGTCCTGAAGTAGATAGAGTATGGACAGGTGTATATAATATATATATATAGGTATTGGGTGAGTTACTAACCACTTTCCATCACTTATGCTGTGGATCTCCCAAGGAACCCAAACATCTCACTAAATTCAGACATGCATCCCAGCATTTTCGTTCTTATGCACCCGTTGTTGTTTTTATTGGTTCATGTTACCCTCAAAAATTATACAACTACTAGTTTGATATGTTCCATGAACCCTACTGGAGTCCTCGGAATTATGTAGTTCCCAACTTTGCTAAGCCTACAAATTTCCCATCAAATCCCAATGAAATCATCTGTTTTTGCTGGTGAAATCCTGTTTCTTCGCGTTTTTTGTTTCTAGCTCCCTGGGGCAGTGTCCAGTCATCAGCAGGTACATGCCGGAATCCGCTCGTGGCACTTCGATTACAGCGGACCTGAAGGAACGTGCTAAGGCGGCGCCCTCGGCGCACTGGGATAGAGCTTGGATAAGAATGGTTCATATTTACTGTAATGGTGATTAATCTGGGTAAATTAAAACGACCTCACTGCGACCTCGCTGCAATCATGGTTAATAAGGAAAATCATCCCCAAATGGCCTTAATTCAGGTTAGTGAAATATTATAATTTACCCAGATTAATGGTTATCAATGGTTACTATTTACCAGTATAATATGGGTGCAAGTCAAAATAGGAGGTCCGGAACAAGCTCCGGGACCACACCCGTTCCATACCCCCGTTCCATACCTCCTTGAAGGATCCGTTCCATACCTCTGCTCCATACCTCTGATTCATACGTTATGATATATATATATATGTATGTATTTATATATATGTATATATATCTCTCTCTCTATCTGAATATGTGCAGTCTGATTTTACATTTGTACGTCGTACTTGAGCGCACATACATACATGTGTTACATGAGTGTTTACATGCAAGAATACGTTTACTATGCCCAAGCCCTGTGATTGTGTTGGCAAGTCTGTGCCTGCGGCGTTTGTTGTGTGATGGTAGGGATGTGCTTGGCTGTTGTCAGCTGGCAGTCTAAGAATGGATTGCTTGTAACCCTCCCTCCCTCTCAACCTGTGGCAGGTTTGCGCCTGCACCACTTACAGTTGCTGCCGGCTGTGGCACAGCTGTGATGTTTGATGGTAGAGATGCGCTTGGCTGCTGTCAGCTGGCAGTCTAAGAATTGCTTGCTGCGCTACTCTCGCTCCAAACTGCCAATTTTGATAAAGATGTGCTGCATGGTGGCAGAGCTGTGCTGGAGTGGGCCCCGTTTCGTTCCAGACCCCGTTCCATACCGTTCCATACCCGTTCCAGGCCCGGACCACCCATGTACCATCCCTGACCCACTTCCGGGTGAACAAATGGCAGGTTCTCACATAGACTGCTCCTAAGCCATCCTTAGAGTCTTGCCACGCGGGGACACAATCTACCCCATAGGGACCGGGACCTCTGAGTTTTAAGAGTAGGAGGTGGGACCTGCGTGACAGGTCTGAAGCTTAGTGGACAGCTTCACATAGTAGCCAGTGGGTGAGGCTGGCTACCGGTTATGTCCTATCTAGTGCACGAGCACTAGCCATGCAAGGCAAACCTGCGTTGAACAGGTGTACAACAAGGATGCCGCGCAGATGAGAAGTGAAAATGAGTGGCAGCCAGCGGTAGTAGCTTCAACGTGCATATCCTTGAGATGTATATTATTTGCATATATTATACACATATACAGTATACATATATAGATATTTATATTTATATTTATGTACAGCCTATATTTCATCGCATTCCAAATGTCCGGAACAAGACCAGTTACGAAACCCCTTCGTTCCATACGTCCGGAACAGCGCGGAACGTTCCATACACAATTTTGACTCATAGCCATATGTTCATCGTGGGATATTGAATGGGTAATAATTATTGGTTAATAATGGTTAATAATGTTGAAAATGGTTAACACTGGTTAATGCTTAATAATTTCGTGAATAGTGGGATATTTCATGAAATACCCTTTGGTGTCACCAAACGTGGCTGGCTGGGAAATTCCAGAACTAAATGGCTGTCTTAATGGAAGAATCATCTGTGACATTACCAGAGGGTTTGGAATGATGCCTGATTTACCATCTGGTAATTTAACGTAGCTATTGAAAATGGCCATTTATAGCGGATTTTCCCATTAAAAATGGTGATTTTCCATAGTTATGTGGCAGTTTACCAGAGGGTATAGATATTTACACTGACCAAATTGATCAAATTGACCAACGAGTTTGGCTTAAAAGATGGACCATCCGGAAAGAGTCTTAGCTGATGGTTTTTTCCCCGCCAAACAGATTGATCGTCTCAGGAGATATCTTACTTAGATGGGGCGTGGAGTTGGTGAAAGTTAGTAAATGGGTTATACTTGTGATATAGAGATATATGATATAATCTGATATAATATGATATAGTATGATATAATATGATATTATATGATGTAATGTGATATAATAATATTTTGAAACTAATATATTACATCTTATATATTATATACTACATATGACATGTTATATACTATAAATTGTATATTGTATATATATATATATATGTATTTTATTACATATATTATTTTACATTATATATTATACATTTTATTTGGTATATTACATATACTATATATTATATAGATTATACTGTATGATATTAAGTTGTATTAAATTATAGTATAGTTTCTTTCATTAGGCTACATTATATTATACGATGTCATATTGTTATATTATATTCTGTTATATATATATTATTATATATTACAATATATTACATTATATTTTTTTATATTATATTTCTATTATATTATATTACATTATATTCTATTCTATTCTATTATATTATATTTCATTATATTATATTACTTTACCTTATATACTTATATATTGTTTTAGACATATTATATCATATTATATTGTATTTTAATATATATTATTATATTATACTATATTTTACTATATTATACTATATTATATTATATTACACTTTTTTATGTTATATCATATTTTATATTTTCATGAATATACTATATTATCTTACTTTACATTATATATTATTTTGCTATATTTTATGATAGTGTATTATTTTATATTATATCATATTATATTATATTATTTTTATAGTTATATTCTATTTTAAAAATAATTGTAAGTATAATATTATATTATTTATTATATTATATTTTAATTATTATATTATATTATATTATAGTTATTATATTTTATTATAATATAGTTTAGTATAGTATAATACATTGTATAATATATATATATGTTGATGATGATAAGCCAGTTACAAACCAGGAATCGCTGATCCCCTGGCCCACCGAAGTAGATGATGATTTTCGCCGTCGCTCAAGCAACATTGTGTCACCTCAAAATCGTGACACAACTAGACTTTGCTGCTGATTTTTAAGCTCACCATGTACCATGTGTTTCTATTCAAATATGGCTGCATAGGAAATTCCCACCTTTTAGATGAAAGCTCAGGGAAACTTATCTACCAATATAAATATATGTATATAAATATATATATATATACAGATACATTAGGCCGTAAGAAAATAGACAATAAGATTGTACTTGTCCATCCTTGTGGGGATTGCTATATATACACATGATCGCAGGGTAAACGATGGGGCTCTTTTCAGTCCATCGTCTCGGCGGGAATGATGGAAATCGATATAGCAATGGGAAAGATTCTTTGTTGGTAGAGTGACGCCTAAGATCATATGATATTTTTAATGGCTTTACATTGTTACATTATATGTTATATTACTTTAGATCAAATAGATATAACAATTGGTGACGCCTCGAAGTTTGTTTTTCATCACCCGAAGCGTCGCCAGGTGGGTCGACGCGGAGTCTTTGGCACCTGCCGGTGGTTCTCAGATTGGATCCACCGTAGCGACCAGGGATCCCTACAATTTGAGGCCCCCCAGTCAGAAGTTGGTTTAGATTCGCCCCAGTAACTAGTTCGTTATAAGTACCATCAACCATAGTGAAATTGGAGTTATGTTCACCAACTTAGCTATCGAACGGGGGCCTCACATTGTAGATATGATTGGTATCGTATTAGGTATCATATCTAGGGATCATATCATAAAAAAAAATAAGTATATACATACTAGTTATCCAATTCCTACCTATAGGTATCATGAAAAAGATTTCAATTGGTTTCATTGGAACCCCCCAATTGATACCTAGGTATCATGAAAAGATTCAAAAGATTGGGATGACCAAACTCTGCTCAAACTGAGCCAGACCTTGTGCGATGGTCAAGTTAGCTGGATCATTTTTGAGAACTTGGGGATGGGAATTATCAACCCATGATGGGACCCATTATAGAGATTTTATTGGAATTCATAAGGAATTCATGGGATTCGTAGGGATGTAATGTGATGATTGCCATCATGTTGGAAGCATGTGGGACGGATGACCAACCATAAATCCCATAAAATCTTCCCGTTGTGGACCCCTGATCTTGACCTCTGCCTGGCATACGAAATATATCAGGTGTCTTCCTTACCTGTTTGGGATGATCAACGGTACCCTCTGGTAAACGTTTACATAAATATGGAAAATCACAATTTTTAATGGGAAAACTCACTATTTCTATGGCCATTTTCAATAGCTTTTTGTATGTTTACCAGGCCGGGTACTCACCCCATCTTTCTCTGTTCAAACAACTGGAGAATCCAAAAAAGGCTGTACTCACTGAGCAGTGTCCCCAAAAATGCAATTTCCAGCAGGATTTTTTTTATCTCATGGGCTGTTTGAAAATACAACCATTCCATCCAGTGAGTATTCTTATGTTGTTTCTTTGTTTAACATGATTTTGCACCCAAGATTGCCATGCCAGGGGATAAATCCAGCCTTTTCTGACACACCCAAGTTTTTTTTCTCCCCAAATCGCTTCAGGCCGGCGCCGTTATCATATAAAGTTGGTGATCTAGATCCCATATCCCGGTAGATATCCCATTGTATATCCCATGAACCCCATGATATACCCATATGAAGTGAGGCATCGCTAAGAGTGCAGTTCCAGTTGAAAGCGAATATATATATATATATTGTATATATATATACATATATACACATGTAATCATATATATATATATGCATAGCGATAGTTGGAGGGATTCGATGCAAACTTATTGGGTTTATTACCGTATAGTTACACCCATTTTTCCACCCTAACTGCACCCCTAAGTAGGGTACCTTATTAATCCAGTAGTTTGGAGGGAGCTTTTGAGCAAGGGGTTCAACGGGTATCCATATTCCCTAAATGGGGGGGCCAAGGAGCTACAAATTGAGTTTCCCAACCACATGGTATACACATTCTTTGTGCATGCAGACACCCTCCCAAGGGTTCCATGTAAGCTGCTTCCAGCAGCGGATCGTTGGGAACCCAAGGTGCGGATCGCTTCTATCGTAGTCCGCTGAACGCCAAGGAGGGTCCTGAAAACGAGTGCGACAGCCCAGTGCAGCAGTTTCTACAGGGTGGTGCTGCCCCAGTTCCTTTGCTAAGTTGGTGCAAACATAGAACCTGCTATTTATTGGGGGCTGGAAGGTTACTTCCCACTAAAACGGACTCGCTTCAGGGTCTATGTTAATTTGCTGGAGGGCAATCAACTTGGTTAACGGTTGGGTTTACTGGGGATGTAATATGAAATAACTAGAGTCAATATTGGTTGCTTTATACGCCAACTTATGACTGGGAGGCCACATTGTGTGTCAAAGAGGGGCAGGAAACATGTTTTGTGATAGCAAATATATATTCTCCAAACAACAATTATTTACAGTAATTCATACTTGGGTCCAAGAAGAATGATTGCATTTGTCAGGGTCAACTTGTCAACAGGTGTATATACATATCATATATATATAATTATAGATATATACACTGTATGTGTAATGGGGTATAACTCTGATTGAATAGAATATACTTTGGATACATGTTTGTATTGCTTTCATGCACTGTATCAATCCCATAGTTCCCCACCTGCCAGGTGAGGGTTGTTAGATTTTATGTCAGTTGCCTGCTCCTCTCCTCTCCTCCTCATCTCCTCCTCATCTCCTCCTCCTCTCCTCCTCCTCCTCCTCGTCGTCCTCCTCCTCGTCGTCCTCCTCCTCGTCCTCCTCGTCCAACTGCGACCCGCGATCCACAGTGTTCTCTGTCGGACATCAACCACGACCATCCATGCTCAGTGTTCCCTGCCGGACCTCAACCACGACCATCCACGTCAGTGTGCCCTGCCGGACCTCAACCATGACCATCCACGCGGAGCTCAACCACAACCATCCCCACCCAGTGTTCCCTGCCGGACCTCAACCACGACCATCCACGCCCAGTGTTCCCTGCCGGACCTCAACCGCGAGTATCCCCGCCCAGTGTTCCCTGCCGGACCTCAACCACGACCATCCACGCCCAGTGTTCCCTGCCGGACCTCAACCGCGAGTATCCACGCCAAAAGATATGCCACATAGAGTGCCAGAAGATATGCCAGATAGAATGTTAGAAGATATGCCAGATAGAATGCCAGAAGGTATGCCAGATAGAATGCCAGATAGAATGTCAGCTAGAATGCCAGAAGATATGCCAGATAAAGTGCCAGAATGTTTGCCAGATAGAATGCCAGCAGATTTGCCAGATAATATGCCAGAAGATATGCTAGATAGAATGCCAGATGGAATGCCAGAAGATTTGCCAGAAATATGCCAGAAGATATGCCAGAAGATATGCCAGAACATCTGCCAGAAGATATGCCAGAACATCTGCCAGAAGATATGCCAGGTAGAATGCCAGAAGATATGCCAGATAGAATGCCAGATCGAATGCCAGAAAAATATGTCAGATAGAATGCCAGAAGATTTGCCAGTAACAAAATGTATAAATGTCATGGTGGGGATCACACGAAGTAAAGTATTTTTTTTTGTGTGTGTGTGCGTGTGTCAAGGATGAATATTGATAGACGTATATATATATATTATATATTATATATATACATATATACAGTAATTAATATATATATACAGTAATATATATATATATACATAATTGTTCAACACACTATAGTTATATGTTGGTCATTGATGGATATATCGGTTCAATGTTTTTTTCTTTGAGGGTGTCAAATTATATGTTTGTTTGTTTGATAAGGTTGACAAGGTTGATATGTCATTGCAAATGTGTTTACAATATGGGGTAGGCACACAAATTAGAACACCCAACATCCAGAAGTTTGTCATTGTTTTCCCCATGAAACAAAACATGTAGGGACTCACCCACTTTGAGGCAACCCTGTGTTTGATTGATTGCGTTGATGTTTGATACTCTCCAGTTAACCCACACTGGAGGGTACAAGGTGAGGCCCGAAAACGATAGCTAAATTGACTTATGATTATGATTTGATTATATAAATGTTGGGTTTAATAAAGGCATAATATGCAGATATTCGTCAGCGTTACAAACCAAGAAACATGACTTCAGGCCTCACCTGGAAATAATTTTATCAGTTATGGATATTATATATATATACACATGCATAATGTTATATACACATATTGATTTACATTATATACATACATATACATAAGTAGGGCCCCCTAGATAGCAAAGCTGTGTTACAACCCCATCTAACAAGTTCGATATATCCTTCCTAAACCCCAGTGATTGTAAAACGGCAACTTAGCTATTTAGCCACACACACACTGTGTATATGGTTACACACAATCTCAATGAGTAGATACTATCTGGACATCGATATTTACAATATTCATGGATATTGAGATACTATAGTAGATACGATCTGAACTTCAAAACTCACTATATGAAATCATAAGTTGGATCTAATGATAGAATACTATAGATAAACATATATATATATTTCTATTTATCTTTATATATATATGGATACCATCTGAAGGGGCCTTGATGGGATCCGTCCTCGCCTCAGTTGGGACGGCGGCAAAGCGAACATGGCGAAGGATCCCACGTCGCCCGAAGCCAGGCGCAGCGAATATGTTTTTCGTGGGAAGAAAATGTTGAGAAAATGGGTTTACCCTCTGGTAATTTAACATAGCTATTGAACATCACAATGTTCAATAGGTAAACAATCTATAAATGGGCCATTTTCAATAGCTATGTTAAATTTCCAGAGGGTATCCATGTGTTTATCACTGGGTTTATCATCAGTATAATGGGATAATAGTCATCAATAGATGGGAAACTGGTTGGTGGTTTGGAACCATGGAATTTTATGACGTTCCATATAGTTGGAAAAATAATCCCAGCTGACGAACTCATATTTTTCAGAGGGGTAGGTATACCGCCAACCAGGAAAATGTTGAGAACATGTTGGGTTTATGGGTTTATCAATGGGTTTATCAAATGATGAAATGATGGGGGTAAACACCCTCTGGTAATGACTAAGAGTTATTGAAAATGGCCCATTTAGTTCGTTGATTTACCTATTGAAGATGGTGATGTTGCATAGCGTTTTACATGTTTACCAGAGGGTATGTGATGGGAGAATATGGGAGATGCTGAGATTGGGTTTAAGTTCGGTTTATGTGATGTGAGATGCTGAGAATTGCTGAGATGTGTTGGGTTTATCAATTTGATGTTGTGAAAACATGGGATTTACCCCCAAGTTATGGCAAGTATTTAGAGGGAAAATGAGGTTTTCACTCGTCAAGTTTGGGGGGTACCCTGAACCCTAGAAAAAAAATACATTCGTGTAGTAACGTGGGTAGAAAAATGCCATACCCATTTTGCACATGTTTTTGTTGATAAAGAACGATTTGACGAATTATTTGATGATTTGGGAATGTTAGTGACTGGTCGCGGACGGAGCCTAGTATGTTTGTGATTGGTCTTTGAATACTCTGGAACTCAAGTGACATTGACAGCATTGATGGGCAACCAATGGCTCTCATGACGAGCCCACAGCCATAGTACGACTACAATAACTGGTTGGTGGTTTGGAACATGTTTTATTTTTCCATATATTGGGAATAATCATCCCAACTGACTAATATTTTCCAGAGGGGTTGAAACCACCAACCAGATAACCACGTGTGAGTGTTGCGAGTTCCAGTTTCTTGGCTTTGTGTGTGAGATTTTCAACATAGGAAGAACATTTGCTGAACACATCTAACCTTAAGGTAATGTTCCGTCCTATGTGTGTCCCCCCCAAACAAAATAGTCTCTTTAAAGTTGAGTTTTGGAATAACTGTTCCCCAGATAGGATACAATCCTACATTTAAGTAAGGATTTTTGTTGGCGACAATTGAAATCTAATTAGGACTTTGTTTCAAGCTTAGCGGCTTAGCTAGCCTGAGCAAACGGTTGACTCAGCCACAGCGTTTGTGAAAAAGAGAGTGTGCCTCAGCATGTATTAGGCAAGTTTCTTAAACAAAACAAGGTCAGTCAAAAAAAAACATGACCACAATACCGAACCCAGACAACGAATCAGGGGTGCTGACTCTTTTTTGGGGACTTCTAGCCACAATAGCAAACCTAGCTACCAATCAGGATGCTGAATCAGATCATGGAACCAATGGTAAATGGTAACTAAAGAATCCTGATTCTTGATGCTAAAGACCGCTCAATATGAACAATGTAACGTTTGGGGACTGCAACACGTTGAAGCAACACAATGTCCATATGTTGATTTGTCGTTGCCAGCTTGTTAGGTTCATTTTGTTGATTGTTACCATTGCTACCACTGCTTCCTCTGCTTCCACTGCTGCGCTGCTACCACTGCCACCGCCGCCACCATCACCACCATCAGCAATATCAATATCACCGTCTCCATCATCCTCACCACCACCATCAACATTCTGATGACCATCATCATCAACATCATCATCATCATCATCGTCGTCGTCGTCGTCATCATCACACTTGTCACCATCACCATTGCAGTGATCTCCGCTGTTCTGTTCACACCACTGTCACCATCAACATTGCTATTTTGATGTAAAACCCTTGATTTGATTCTGTCTTAACAGCGCTTGATGTTGTGATCAAACCCCCGTCCGAAACTATCCGCATGTGTGAGACTTTAAATCAGAAACAGAAACAAACCTGCATGTCAGCCATTTAAAATTTCCATGCCATAAGTAACCCCTCGCTTCAGAAATCAAGACACACGCTTCAGAAACAAAAATGTGAGTGTTAGAAACAAAGACCTTCCGTAGCAGAAACTAAGCAACCGGCGCTTCAGAAACAAAACCACAGGCATTATATAGAAACTTGGATGCGCACCCACCTCTGCGTTTAATATTCATTTTACGTTGAACTGGGATATACTGCGATAATGTTTGACATAGGATAATCAAATGAGCCACAATTTCTGAACATCAGACACATAGACTCACTATAGGTTGAACAAGCCCGCGCCAACCCCTCCAGGGGGACCGGACCCATGACCTAAAAAAAACATGGCCCACGACCACATGGAGAATGGACGATGGCCCACGGTGACATGTTAGTGACGGTTAGTGTACAATGTGAGGCCCCCCAGTTATAAGTTGGTTTATAAGCCCCAGTATCTATAGTTATAAGTACCAGAAACCATAGTTATTGGAGTTATAAACCAACTTACTGTAGCTATCTTGGGGGCCTCACATTGTATGATATGGGGGGTTTCCATAAATATACGGGAACCCCGGTCGCTCGCTGGATGGTTGATTTCCATGGGAAAATCCCAGTCTTTCTTACGGATGGATGATTTCTGGGGGTGCCCTATTTTAGGAAACCTCCATATGAGAGTCTTGGTGTCTGATACAGGGCTGAAATTCAGATTTACACCGCCAATCGCCAAAAAGGTCGTCCTTCAAGTCCACTTCCCCCAGAATGCGCAACGAAGGAGCGAAGGAGGTGGGCCATAAACCTGCAATGGATGGGGATGGGGTCAAGATCCTTGGGTAAATTCTGGGATAGCTGTGTAAATCAATGTCTGGTTGGTGGTTTGGAACATTTTTTATATATATTGGGAATGTGTAGCGGGTGCACACTGGTAGCAGATTGAGCTCTCAACCAAATGGGGTTTCCACAGCCCCACCAATCAAACAGCACAGCAAATGAAGCGAGCGCAAGGCTCAGCAAATGTTTTCCATGCACAGCGGGTGTGCGTACAATCGCACCATCAAGTGCTCAAAGGGGCCCCTACAGACCCGTATGGTCATATGAGCCAAGCATCACGGAGTCATCCAAGTTTCAGATTGGCAATGCTGATTGGCAAAGGAAGGTACCTGGCAGGTCAGGAGCTGGACATGTTGCACCAGCACAAAAGAAGGTTGAGCAATACTTCGATTGCTCATAGATCACATCCTGCCAGGTTTCAAAACTATCACTCTCACTGACGCTCTCAGTTGAAATCAGCAGCTGCTCAATCAAAGCGGCATTGACTGTGTCATCATTCTGCAAGGCTCGCGCAAAGAGACCATGCAAAGCGTCATCAACTTTCTTTACAGCAGTCAGTCCGGCACGCTTGTTCTTTTTGGCAGCAGTGAAAGAAGGATCAAAAGCAATACTCCAATGCCAATGACGCAAAAACTTCATCAAGCCATCTCGGCTGTCGTTGCGCTTCTTGGTCATTGAGTCTGCTAAATCATAGTCAGATGCCAGCCAGCGAAGTTCACTTCCAACTCGCTGCAAGTTGTCTCGAAGCTGAAATGCTTGAAGGGCAGCTCGGAGATTTGAAAGACCAAGGAGAGGGGATTCGTTCACCTCCACCGCATCATATCCACCACGGCTATCCGTGCAAATGATGCCCTTGATACATCTCACCTGGTTTTCGGTGGCTTCAACCAAGTCATCACGCTGTCCATGACGTCCATAACAAGCGCCATGCATTTCAGTCCACAGAAGTCGGACCCGGTAATTCTGGTCCTCACCTTCCAAAACAGCTTGCACCTCTGCGTCGTTGGAGGCAATGGCCTTTCGCTTCAGTTTCCAGCTTCGCCAGGTCAGGAGCATCATGGGACACACACACCCTGAGACAGCTTCAGGTCCAGCAGCAAGTGTAACAAGTCCACCAGTGCTATCGCCTTTTGGGCGATTGTTGTGGGCTTGATCTCCCATAGTGATGAAAACCATTTGATTCCATCGCTCCACAGTTGGCAGCTTGAAAAACTCAAGGTGTTGAGGTTCACGGCGCACTTCGCCAATCATTTGTTGGATCTCCCTCGCATGTTCCAGTGTGCCTGCTGTTACAATCTCAGTCAAAAGAATGTTGCACCTGGAGCAGAGTTGAGGTTGAGATTGGATGGCTAGCCATTGAAGTCCACCAAGAGAGGTACGACAGGCAGCCACCTCAGAAGGAGTCAAAGGACCATTGCTGCGAAGACGAACTGGATCAATGTTGACATCCGGCAGTGATTCAACATAGGCATCTTGATCGATGCGCAGCTTGAAGCCATTCTTGGTCTCAATGGTGTTGATGTCACTTCCAGCATGACGATAGCTGTCGCGTTTCATAGTTCCCCACTTGTAGGAGGCATCTATCTTCTGGCAAATCTGTTGCCACTCCAAGGATGTGTCATCACCGATCCTGTGGAAGTCGTCCACATGACCACCCATGGCTCCTATGAGCCGAGGAAACTTGCCCGTGATGTCTTTCTCGTGCTTGCTGAACCAAAGCCATAGGCAACGTTCGCCAAGTGCAGCACGGCCATCCAAGGAGGTTAAGGTACGATGCAGATCAAGCCAGAGACTCCTTGGGGCCGTTGTTGACCCGTAGATGTTGCGAAGAATACGCAAGACAGAGTCTCGTGGGATCTGGAGTGCATCGTGAAGTTCCTGGACACCTGTTGTCCATATCTTGCTGTCGGCCTCAGTATAAGGCATTGTCTGCAAGAATGCCGTCGCTAAGTCCAGGCCATGTAGTCGCCACTGGTGCGTCGCGGCGAGTAGATAGAGCATATTTCTGCCCAAGGAACTCTGCACCGGAGCTGATGTTTTGAACCCCTTGTCAAGAAGAGAGGGGTGCTGGTAGCCCAGGAGGACAATGCGCGCCTTCGCCTTCTTCGTGGCTGTGGCGTTGACGACGCTGTCAGGATTCTTGTCCCTGTCTTCCTCAGCGGCGGTCTTTTCATCTGGAGCAACAGCCTTCCAGGTCAGTACCCATCGGGCTTTCAATATTCTGCCCGTGGAGTAGGCCTCCTTCACCTCGCTGCTGTTGAGGCAGCGACGTACTGCTTGGTTCTGTATAAAACTGTGAACTTCTTTCTGCTTTGCCCTTCTGAAGAGTTCAAGGTCTGCAGGGCCCAGACGCTGAAGATTGACTTCTGAGCTGTTGAGTTTGCGGACCAGATACGCCACTGGATTCCTTTCAAAAACTTTCTGTTGCCTATGCGACTGAAAGTCCAAGTCGATGTTGAAGACCAGGCATTCATCATTCTGCTGAGCGCGGCCATAAAGTCCAAGGCCTTGGATTCCATGTCAGCTTCAGCAGCAAGTTGTTCCACCCATTTGAGGTCGTAGGAGCCTCGTGATTTCTTGGAGTCAGGTGGATCTGAAGGCCCATCATCCAACATAGGACCATAGTCATTCACTGCCTCATCATCAGTGTTGGCCGTGGCACCAATCGGTGTGCCAGGGTCATAGCCAGGTGATGCTGGGGCTGATTGCTCAGCATCTGCAGGTGGAAGAACAGGAGAAGAGGCAGCAGCTTTTGATTGTTGCGGAGCAGGCACATAAGAGAAAGCTCTGGTGTCTCGAAGTCCATCGCCGACACCCAGTGGAGAGCTTCGTGGAATTCGGCGCCAATCCATTGGTCCGTAAGTTGATTTCCGCCATGCTCGCGTCACAGGAACCAGTGTGGTTTGATCTGGCCGTAGAGGAAGATCTGGACATTCAACTTCATCAGGACCTGGTTCATCATCAGCCAAATCCTCAAACTCACGCTTGGGGATGATGTCGGCCAATGTCTTCCATTTCGATGGATCTTCTCCGCTGGTCAGGTCATACTCCATACGCTCAGTTGGTGTGCAAGGTCGGATGGAATGGACCGAACACCGCATGACCCGCTTGCCAATGAGCACCCAGCAGATATGGCGTCGAGCATCATCAGGAGATTGATGGGGCAGGACCTCTTGGAAAATGATACGGCCTGGCCCAATCCAGTGTGGTCGCCCAGACTTTTTCAACCCTCCACGCTTGCCAAGATGTTGATCAGCTGGTTGGTATCGTCGCCAAACCTTGACCAAGTCCATAGGTTCAAAGGTTCTAAGAGGCTGGCGCACTGTAGTGTTGCTGAGCTTGGAGAGGACTCTTCGAGCTCGAGTGCGGACTGCTACTTCTTCAGCTTTTTGTCGAGCTTGAACCAACCGTTGAAAGTCCATGGTGGTATCAAGCTGGCTGAAAGTCCGATAGTCCTCATCAGCAAGAGAATATTGACTGCCAAATGTCCATTGAAAAGAGCTAAACCCAGCAGTAAATTCCGTGGCATTGAGAGAGGAAGCAGTCAAAGCTAGCGTCACCTTTGGGTCTTGACCCGTGTCTTCGAGGTGGATTGCCGTAGCTGTTGTTTTCACATCTTGGATTGCAGCTTCAACAGCACCGTTCGCCCAGGGCTCCTTCTCAGGGATGAAGTGCTGTTGGATGTTCAGCTCAGAAAGAAACTGGGAGAACTCAGGCGTGGAAAAGGTGTTGGCGCTGTCCATCACCACCAAGTTCGGTTTGGGGTAGTGACCTAGCCATCCTTCAGAGAAACATCTGATGATGTCTTGATGAGTTTCACCTTCTTGCTTGAAGTTCTCATAGGTCTTGATGTGGCAAAGGACACGCAGCTTCGTAGCCAAGTCCATGATCAGAAGGAACTTGAGCTTCAGCCTTGATCCAGGAATCTTCCATTCCGAAGTGTCCATTCCAACAGCTTGCCATGCTTTGAACATGGGAGCTGTAGAGGCAGGTGGAATGGAGCCAGAGCTCGTACCACCAGGCTTGATGGATTCACAGGCAGGACACTTGTAGTTCATCACCTCATCAATTTTCCACTGAGGTTGGCCAGCAGTCTTGACCAAGCGGGCCAAGTTGCGATTGGTCGGATGACCAGCAGCTTTGTGGTAGGCCGCGATCTTGGCCTGCCACTTCTTGAGCTCGTCAGAGCTTGGTTCATCAGAAGCAGGATCTGCAGGTGGCTGGGCAGACCTCTCATGTGGAAGACCTTCTGGTGATTCATCATCTGGTAGATCTTCTTGTTGTGCTGGGAGAGCGGCCAAAACTGGTAGTAAAACTTGTTCAGGATCTTCAACGTCCAAGGACTGACACAGAGGATCCGCGTAGTCTTCCTTGGCGTACAAAAGTTTCAAATGCTTGTCAGACAGAAACTGCTGTTTCCAAAAACGAGCCACTGACTGACAAAAACGCCAAGGATAATATGCCGATCGAGCCGTTTCAGGCCCTTGGATCCAAACATGGTTGTGAGACCCCAAACAGGTCTTGGTCTTGTAGTTGAGGTGGAACTGCTCATCGGTGGTTTTGATAAGCCACCGTTTTCGAATGAAGCCTTCATTCTTGCTGTCCATGAGGCCGTAGCGACACCCATCAACTCGGCAGTCAAGCCATGGAAGTCCAATAGAGTTGATGTACTTCTCCAAGTCCAACATGGGAGCTTCTTGCCAGCCTCGACAAGGAAACACCCATTCATAGTAGATTTGACAATCTGGGTCTTGAAGAAGAGCATCACGGACAAAAGAGTTCATGCACCACAACATCTTGCGTTCTCTCCGTTGATATTGTTTCAAGAGTTCCTGACGTTCAGGAGAGGCATAGTTGATGTAAGTCCACTGGCAAAACTTGGTGCACGGCAAGCTGAGCCAGATCTTTTTGGGTTTTCGTTGAGCACGGAGCTGCTTCAAACGCTCCCAAGTAGCTGGCTGGTACAAATCAAAGCCAGAGTGGAGATTGATTCTCCTCGACTGAAGACCTTGGGAGTTGCAAGCTTCGGAGAGCCAGCTGTGTGGCGAGCATGCCACTTCCCAGACACCATCACGTCCATCAAGACAAAGTTGAATGGTGCTGGCAGCCATCACCATTAGCATAGAAGCAGCCATGTTCATCAACTTGGATGCCACCCTTGAAGTCAAAGGTCTCGTGCTCGGCAATCTCAGTTCATCTCGCTCTCCTCGTTGTTGGCGTTTTGACATGGAGCAGCCATCGATGACTGAGCTTGGCCCTTGCGCTCTTGAATCACCTGCTTCAGCTTGCTCTTCTCCTCTTCGGACAGAAGAGCTTCCATTTCGGCAGGAGTCGGCGCTTCGCTGATTGCCTCCCAGGATGGAGTTGGGCTCCCAGGAGGTGTCTTCGGCTTCGTCTTGTAGCCGTCGTGGAACAGCACGTTGGAAGGCTTTGGAGCTTCGTTGATCTTTATGACCAGGACATTCACAACCTCGTCCGCATCGATCTTGGCCTGCATGGCACGGCATAGCTCCAAGGTTGGGCGTCGACCCTCGGTCATCACAAAGGTCTCTCGAAGCATCCTTTCCACCATCCCCGGATTCTCGCACTTGGTCGTCTGACCGGCTGCACCCACTCTCGGCACATAGGACAGACGTAGGCCGCACACTGCACATTCGATCCATCGACTGTGCTGGTTGGATCGCGCTCCCGTCGGTGTGTGCGCCGCATAGCACGGCCATTGATTGGCCTTGGCCCTTGGATCCCTCAGGTCCATACTGACCTCTCTGGAAGGATCGAAAGGCTGAGCTGGTGCCTTCTTCGGTGTGCTTTGCTTCGCCATGCTGGTCAACTGCTTGGACTGCTCCGCAGTGATCATCTCCTTGGAGGTCGACATGGCGAGCACACTTGGAAGAACTCGAATTTGCGCTGTTGCTCTTGGAGATCATGAGAGCTGAGCCAGATGCTGAAGCATTCGAAGGCTGAGCAAGTGATCTCAAAGTTCTCAGTCTTTGCACTGCCTCAATTTTCACCTTCTCATCAAGCATGCGTTCAGAGACCGTGAGATCATAGTATTCAACTGGATGAAATTCTAGAGATTGAAGTGAATGCACAGCTTCGGCACCCTTGACCCGGATGGTGGCATGACCCTCATGACATTCATGTCCTTCAGTTAGAAGCTGAACAACATCCAAAACATAGTGCCCTTTTTGGTTAACTGGAAGTTGAAAAGCTTCACCATCGTTGGTTTGAATAGCCATGCCCGTGGGAAAGTCAATGCAAAGTCCAAAATGTGCATCCCCCAAATAATCCATACCAACCAAAATAGGAACCATGCTTGAACGATCAAAGTTGGGATCATGTAGTTGAGGAGGATTGGGCAACGCAAACAGCTTGAAGGTCTTTGGGGAACCACTAGCATGTGATGTGATAGATGCTCGAAACAAAGCCCTGCCCCACTGCCCATTGCCAAAGCGAAAATACGGTCGCTCGGACTTCTGAATGTCAATCACCGCTTGGTGGTCACGTTCCAAGACACTAGAAATCAGCGACTGAACTGCCAAGAGAGGACCGGCTGATGCAGTCGCTCCGCAGTCAATCAAACCTTGGCTGGGAGACAAAGAAGTGGAGCTAGCAGCCGTGTTCATCTCCTTCACATCCATGAGCTCTAGCCCATACATGCCAGCACTGTATGCGTTCACCGCGGGTCGAGACTGACCCTTGCCCTTGCCTTTCTTGCCCTTGACCCACGCTTGAGCCTCGAGCCATTTGAGACCTTTCGATCCCTTCTTGCCCTTGCCCTTGCCAGTGAAATAGTTGTCAACCTCTTCGTATTCAGTCATGTAGTGAGGCTTGAACTTGCCCTTGTTGAAACCCTTACTGTAGTAGGGGTGTCGCCGATCAGGACATTCACTGGAAAGGTGTGGGCCATGACAAATAAAGCAAGGTCCTCGGCCAGCAGGTTTGCCTTGAACAGGAATCTGACCAAAGCCCCTATCCTTCCTCAAGGCTTGTGTTGCCCTTTGAGCTTCACTCCACGTTCTCTGAGCTTCGGCTGCTAAGGACTCAGCCACGCGCTCAGCTTGCTGAGCTTCTTTGAGAGCAGCTTCATCCTCAGGAGACGGTGAAGTCTCTTCTTCTGCGGCAGCTTCTTCAGGAAGACTGGCATAGTAACCATCATAGTCCCACCAGTCCCAGTCGTCACCATTCCATTCCCAGTCATCACCATAAGCAGCCATTCCATCTAGCCACCACTCATCATAGTGTTCAGCTTGATAGTTGTCATGTTGTTGGCCACGTCCATGCTGACGACCAAGAAATTGCTCATCCCACAGGGTTTGAAGAGCATGGGTGACAACTTCAAACTCTAAACTGCCACGGGTCGTGCCCAGAATGTCACGCTTATCTTCAGGTGAAAGCCCAGCAGCTTGAAGAACTCGAAAACCACGCAGGACGCCGAGCACAAAGCTATCGGCCAGCGTCAGTTCATTCACAACGTCAGGAGAAGTTGATGGAATTCCGACAGATCGTTTCTCAGGAACCAGTGGAGGCACTCTTCCAGACTGGCGCGAAGGTGTTCGGCCAGTAGGAGAGCCCATGTCACCAGGAGGTGTAGCCGGCTCTGCAGCAGCAACTTGAGGCGCAGCAGTGGCTGCCGCAGGTGGAGCTTGTGGTGGATCTTCAGCAGGAACTTCGGGAACTTCTGATGGAGGGGAAGAAGACGTTCGCCACCAGTCATCCCACTCACCTTGAGTCCATTCGTCCTCCAGTTCATCAGAAGGCAGACCAAAATCTTTGTCATCCTGTTTGATCCCATGCTTGTCTTCGTAAAGACGTATGATGGCTTCCACAAACTCGCTATAGCCCAAAGCTTCTCGAACCAAAAAGGCATGAATTGGTTCTCCTGGAGCTCGCTTGAAGGAAAAATACTGCTGACAAATAGCAGCAGCATTTGGAAGCGATTGCCTCACCAAAGGAGAAACTGCAAGTCGACGCAGATACTCCTTGGTGCCCCCAACCTTGTCGAAGTCCACATCTGGCCAAGACATCGCCAGAAGCCTAGCAGGCCCAGTCAGCCTACTCATCAGCTTCGAAGCGCAATGTCGCCTCTTGTTCTGAGGCGTGGCGCGGACATACCAACACACTTCTCGGGTGTATCGGCGCCAGCCCTTGGCTTGACCATCCCAACCAGGCACATGGTGCTCCTTCTCCATCTTGCCAAAGGAGACTGCAAGGAAAAAGCAAAGGCCCAGGTCGCGTCACCTGGAAGTACAAAGAAGTCAGCTGCAGCCAAAAATGCAAAAGCCCGACTGTCGCCGCAACGTCAATGCCTCAAGCAATGATTGCAGCAGCAGCAAGAGATTCAAAGGCCCTGGCACAGCCGCAAGTCCAGCGCAAGCCAATCCCTTGAGGATGTAGTAGCGCAGCAGCTGGAGCAACACTTGCTCCGCTACCAGTGTAGCGGGTGCACACTGGTAGCAGATTGAGCTCTCAACCAAATGGGGTTTCCACAGCCCCACCAATCAAACAGCACAGCAAATGAAGCGAGCGCAAGGCTCAGCAAATGTTTTCCATGCACAGCGGGTGTGCGTACAATCGCACCATCAAGTGCTCAAAGGGGCCCCTACAGACCCGTATGGTCATATGAGCCAAGCATCACGGAGTCATCCAAGTTTCAGATTGGCAATGCTGATTGGCAAAGGAAGGTACCTGGCAGGTCAGGAGCTGGACATGTTGCAGAATGTCATAATCCCAACTGACGAACTCCATCATTTTTCAGAGGGGTAGGGTAGGTATACCACCAACCAGATGATGAACTTAACCATCATTAACCATTAATATTAACATATATTAACCATTATTAACATGCAGTATATCAACTACAATAACCATCATCATTAACCATTATTATATAACAGTATATAACAACCACAATGGTAGGTTGAAACCACCAGATGTGTAGGAAGGTACCCGGTGGTACCCCAAAACCTCCAGGTCCATTAGGATCTCAACCAGGATCCCTGGGGATCGGGGAACTGTTGGCCATGGATTGGTTTAAGGGAAAATTTACAGGAAAACCCCATAGAGAAAATGGGAAAATCGATGGTTTCCGGTTTCGATTTTACCTGAAATCTATCCATTGATGTTGGCCATGATTTTTCTTGTGAAGGAAAATGACCATATTTTTGACATAGCCTCTGGTAAACATAGCTAATTAGATCTATTTTTTGTTGATTTTATATTGAAAAGAACCCTTTAAGATTCCTTTAAGCATATGATTATGGGACATTCCGTGACATTCCCTCTGTTTTATGTTATGGTAGCTATTGAAAATTGCAATTCATAGAGGATTTTCCCAGCTATAAAATGGTGGATCTTTCCAGTTCGTTATATTAGTTATGTGGCTGTTTACCAGAGGGTATCTTATATTAGGTTGGATTCAGAATGACCGAATGCAACATATAGGGATCGGTCACAACCTTTGGGACCATCGTGGATGTACCAGGGCTTGATTGCTGGGGGAATGTCCGGAGTGAACTTATCTTTTCCTGAGGCCATGGCTGCTTTATGTAACTCTTGAATACTCCTGGGCTTGAACTCTTGGACGGGTTTGAGAAGCTTCAACTCGTTTGTAACTTTAGTCGAACTTCATATTAGACGGTATCCAAGTCTTTTCTTGATTTTGGTGTCACTTTTACGTAGCCCGGGCTTGGCAAACATCGCTCGAACGTCGTTGATCTCTCTTACATGGAAGTTGGTCAGGCTTTACAGATGATTGCCCTCTGGAAATAATGGACATGTGTTTGATATGTGGTTTTATACAGGAATGTTTGGTTATTTATAGCTATGGCAAATTGCCCATTTAATCCATTTTAGTCCCATTTTGTTGATGATGTATGATAATTTAATCTCTTGAAAATGCCGAGCTTCCAGTTCGCAAACTGTGAAATTACCAGAGGGTAAGACTCATTCCCAAGTGTGAGAAGCTTATAATGTGTGAAACCATGCAACACTCAATGCCATACGCCATTTGGGGATGGTTTATGAAATTGGGTGTCCCTTTTTTTGACATTTAACAACCACTTATCACTTCAGTGACCACAGTGTTGCTGTCCTCATAATCCTGAATTGTCGTATTTAGTCTTTTGTCGTTGTGTTTTCCCTGTTTGGGGTCAACTTTGGATATAGCCACTGATGGTTACAGAGGACTAGATCCAACACATTGTGGTTTCCGTTCAGAACACAAGATTGTTTGTTTGCTCGCCATGAGCCTAAGTTTTTGTTAAGGATAGTCTTGTGAACGGAAAGTTCGGCCGTACTTAAACGGCTCAAAACTGCGGGGCTGAAAAAGCTTCAGCTGCTTCCCAAAAGAGATGGAGAAAGGACCATCTTTGAACCACAAATGGCATCAAACAATAATGCATTGAATATAGCCCGGCTCGAAAACTCTTGACCTTGCGGTTGAACTTTACAAATAATATATATATATACATACACATAGTGGTTAATACTAAGAAATCCAACACCCTGAGACATAATTTGTGGCTCCATTCGCAGCAGATTTTCAGCGACACCAATATCTTTCACGTCTTTGGAAAAGCCGGCCATGTCCCTTGCCCATGGCCTTCACAACCAGATGTCATCCGCATGCTGCTCTGGCCTATGTAGGATGTCAGGTGGCAACTGGGAAGTTTGGTGGGAATTGATGGTTTTCAGGGCTGAGGAGACATCGTTTTACCCTCTGGTAAACAGCCACATAACTATGGAAAATATTGGAAAATCACCATTTTCCATGGGAAAACTCACTATTTCGACTGGGCCATTTTCAATAGCAAACTGTTAGTCATTACCAATTACCAGAGGGTACCCTTTTGAATGTGTCACAGCACGGCTCAAAAAAAAGGTGGTTCCTACTAGCATATTTTTTTATGGCGGAATATCGGTGCATCCCGCGGAGCACGGATTTTTTTGGGTGCAATTAGTGAGGCCCCCCGTTGTGATGTTTACGTTAGTTTATATATACCCTCTGGTAAACATACAAAAAGCTATTGAACATGGCCATAGAAATAGTGGATTTTCCATAATGGTGATTTTCCATAGCTATGTTAAATTACCAGAGGGTAAGCCCCAGTAACTCGTTCGTTATTTGCGTACCATAAACCAGTTATAGTGAAATTGGAGTTATGTGAACCCCAACTTTTCACGCTATCTTTCGAACGGGGGCCTCACTAATTGTAATTATCTAAGTGGTGGGATGTACTGAATTGATTCCCGATATTGACCAGTGACTTTGGCTGGGGCGACGACCAGTTGGCACATTGGGAACTTCCGGAAGTTTCAGCGCTGGAAGAAAACATCCCGACCACTTTTTCTCCTTTACCAGCCTCAATCAAGAATTGTTGAAGAATGGCACCATGATCAACCCTTAAAATCCCTTGAATTTGATCACTGTTTTTTTTTTCTGTGAATGCCTGTATGTTGGGTACCTTGGAGGTATAATATCCCTTCCCGTGTTGTAAAAACATCTAGAGGAAACCCCCGGCTTAGATTTCGGTCCCAAAGATCTGGTGCTGCAGGTGCTGCTGATTTCAATCTTTGTTCTGGCTGATCATCAACTGTCAGATCCATCTGCCTTCCTGCGAGCATGTAGCAACCGGGCAGTTTATTAGCGTGGCCGAACACAAGCGTGACGGACCTTCTAAAAATTACCGGTTGAGCCTTCACTCAGAACTCGCCATCGGCTCCTCCAGGGTTCAATCATGTGTGATCCTTGTGGAGCCCAGTTGCCCTGAAGGGCACTGTGGAGCACCAAATGAGTGCGTAGAAATCCAATGATTGGCTCTCCTTGTGTTGGTCGGAAAAAATCACCCGGATCACTTGCGCATTTCAAGAAGGCTGTCCACTTGAGTAGTTTCAAATACCCAGGAGTTGGCTGATGATGTCGTCGGGAGTTGTACTAGCATACCATCTTGTAATTTGACATAAACATAGCCATGGAATTTGGCCATGATTCATAGCTTAATCATCAATACACATGGGATCACATGGGTACTTTTCCATGGCTATATTAAATTCCCTGAGGGTTTTTGGGACTATCAGCCCCTTCACCAGCAAATCCTTTAGGGATTTTTCTTAGGAACCAGCTCCTGACCCAAGGGTCGAAGCCACTAGTCGCTGGAGTTTGCATGTCAGAAGAGAAGCACATGTCCCAGGAGATCTAAAACTCTACAAGGTCTCGGTCTCAATACATACCCATGAAACATTGTCAGTTTTGATTTTCTTTGTCTGAAAAATCTGACAGAAACATGCGCCGTCGTCAAAATTTGTCAACTTTCATGTTATTATTGGCCTCTCCAGCAAACCAAAAAGCACATGTGGACCGTCCACCACTTCTATAGATCACTTCCTGGCGAAACCAAGGTAGTCTTTCCATATCCACAGTCAGATATTTCATCAACATGCACCAAACATCAACCTCAAACTCCATCAACTTCCATGCTGAACATTCAAACACCTGCCACATCTTTGTTAGTTACTTTGCATCCCTACGTTTTCCCATGTGTTTTTGCCAAATGCAATTTGTTGATGGACTAAATCACGATTTCCGTTGTTTCTCAACAGGTGTACGGTGTTAAATTCAAATATTCAATGGTTAAATGACAAGGTTTGTTTAGTGACATCCCCATTTGTCTGTTGCTTAAACGCACACGTCCAGTGCTTCCACTTGTTTCGAAAATCTGGTCGCTTCCCATGATTTGTGAGGCGACAACTCATGTCACGCCTCGCTGGCAGCGCTGCTTTGGATCTGCGTTCGAGTGCTGGAAGGACGCGAAGGACGTGGGAAAGAGCCGAGCTCAGGCACGGCGGGGCGGAGATTGCCAGGGAATTATGGCTCGAAAAATCCCAAATGGATGACTGGGACAACTATCGAACTAAATGTTTTTTTTCCAGCTGGCCATGGATTAGCGGATTGTATTTATTCTTCAGACATACTGTGATGACTTTGAGATGGTCCCCTGAAGCATTCCGACATATGCCGACTAAGACTAAGAAGTGTCAGAAAATACATCCACCTTAGCAGCACAGGCTTTGATGTCTTAAATCTATCTGGTTGGAGGTTTGGAGCATTTGTTATTTTTCCATATATTGGGAATAATGACCCCAACTGACTTTCATATTTGTCAGAGGGGTAGGTACACCACCAACCAGCTATTGTTGGGCCAACCCTCGATATCCCTTGGTCCATTCTTGTGCGCTCAGGGATGAGGACGTCAAGCTGTGTGCTTGAAATTTGTCTCTCAATGTTGCCTGGCAGTATTCCTGCGGCATGGGTTAACAGCAGGTGATGATCAACGACTGAGATGAAGTGGATACGGGCCAATATTGAAGGCCTGGGGTATCCTGGCACTTCTTATTATTAACCGAGCGGACATGAACACAAACACATAAACACCCAAAGGGGGGTTCTTGAAATCGGGTACCCCAAGTCATCAACCAAGTTATTCGTCATATTAGACTACTAGAAAACCAATGGTCTTGAGTCTTGACTGCCCTAATTTTTAAGAAGGCACCCACATGACTGGGATGAAATGGTTCCATCGTTTAAAAGTACTGTAACAGGTGAGTACGTTATCAGCCTGCACTTCACACATGAACTGTGCTCCATAGTCCCATTACAATTTGGCTCATAACATCTACAACACGCCCAAAATGAGGCTATTTATTGAGTCCCAATCAACAAGGTCTCTATTCAAATCTATGCAACACATATTACCCTTTGGTAAATAAACATAGACCCTGAAAATCCACAATGTTTAATGGAAACTATACTCTTCCAACCCCTGTCTGGGTCTATGTAAAAATTTACTGCTGGGTATAGTATCTGGTTGGTGGTTTGGAACATGAATTTTATTTTCCATTTCATATATGGGATGTCATCCTTCCCATTGACGAACTCCATCATTTTTCAAGATGGCTATTGCACCACCAACCAGGTATAATTTGTCATCCCCGGGGGATTTCATCCAAATTTGCTGCCGAGGTTGGTCGGCAGCTTGGTCGACCTCGATCACTTCGTGGCCGCTGGCGCCGCTGGACATTTCTCCCTGCACGCTGCGACGCATTTGACGCGACGCCCCGCGGGGCACAACTTACTCTGCTGCGGCCTGCTACCTGCAGCACCTTGCTGAGGGACGGGGAAGGAGCTCATTATGGAGGGGATTTTGTTGCAACAAAAATATGGTGATATACCCTCCGGTGCACTAGCATGACTATGGAAAACGGTGGAAAATTGGCTCTTTAATTATAGATGATTTATATACCTTGATTTACCTATTAAACATGGATAACATGGTGATTTCCATAGCTATGTTAGTTTACCAGAGAGTATACCTTCCGGTAAGCAAATGATGATGGCTGGCTGGAGAATGGACCATTTTTTGTTTGATGATTTTTGCAGCTAGAAACCCCCATTCGGTTGGGAAATTTTCCAGCTAGCCACGTTTGATTACTGAAGGGTAATTGGTTAAATTCTGTATGGACATATATATTTTATGGATTTTTATGGAGTTATTTTGTGAGAGATATTCCGCTAACGAATCATCGTATGCCACCCAATTGATTGTCATGTTTATAGAGAACATGATTTGATTATCGACTAGTTGATTTAGGGGAACACCATTTTCAGTCAAAACAAACATAACTTGGTCAACTATAGGTTTTATGGGGAATATAGCATGATACAACTATCTGGGTAAATTATAACGACCTCACTGCGACTTCACTATAATCATAGTTAGTAAGGGGAATCATGCCCAAATGGCCTTAATTCAGGTTAGTGAACTATTATAATTTATATTAATTTACCCAGATAAATGTATCATTTAGATATATTTATAATTCCCATGAATATTCCATTAATCTTTAATTTTGATGATTTTACCCAGAACAATATAGTTAATGGCATTTCATGGTGCTTATAAACCAACTTGTAATTGGGTGGCATCACTTTGTGGCAAATCAGTAGCCTCAGTGGCCCATGTGAAGGTTGGTTTATGTTGGTTCCATCATACTTCTCTAATGATATAAGATGATATAACTAGTTCAACAAACCAACATTGGGCTTACACATTATATGTTATATATATATATTATATGTTGTGTATATGTTATATATGTACAATATGTTATATATATATTGTTATATATGTATTATGTTATATATATATATGTATATGTTATATATATACAAACATATGATATTATATATATACATGTGTATAACAAACATTAACTATAACACGTTGGGCTTAAGAACTGGTCCCCCATAAGCACACATATTTCCCTGTAGCTGTTGGGGCACCACCTTGTACCTATGGAGCTTATGGGATGGTAAAAGAGAAAGGCTACGTTGGGTGGGTTTCGTAGTCATAAGTTGGTTCAAGACGACTTATCTGATCTGGTTGGTTGTTTGGAACCATGGAATTTTATGACTTTCCATTCAGTTGGGAATTTCACCATCCCAACTGACGAACTCCATCATTCTTCAGAGGGGTATACCACCAACCAGTTATTGTATAAGTCTAATTCCATTCCCTGTAAAGCCTTAAGTGAACCAAATAATTTCCACCAACTTGGCTGACTTGTCCACCTTGTGATGGGGTCTCTGCGTAATTCCTGAGGTTCTTTATTGCTTAACGCGCAGATGGCGGATGAGCGTGATCGCTGCTGGATTGCGTAACACCAACAAAAGGTGAAGCGAATGGGGTTCCATGAGGTTCCAAAGCTAAGCATCAAACTTTGGGGGAGACCTATTTTTGAACGCAGTTGGTACCCTCTGGCTATTTAACATAGCCATGGGAAATGGCCCATTTATAGAGGTTTACCTATTAAACATGGTGATTTTCCATGGCTATGTTAAATAACCAGATGGTATATTGACACCAATAATAAAGTTACTGTAAGAAATGGGAAACTAAGAAATAGTTCAGAAGTGAGTTGGGATTTGACGAATGACAGTGAAATCATAGATACTAAATATGTATACACATGTTCGATCAAAAATGGGGACACCAGCAACAGAAAGTGACTGACCGGGTACAGAGTTTGGATTTGACACAAGTGACTTAAGTATTGACCTTGCAATGCATCAAGCTGGGTAATAAAATGTCTCCACAAACTAGCCTTATATGACAGGTGTCATCCAATGTCTACCTCAACGAAAAGTGCTGTAGCTAGCTGCCTTTTCCACAGATATAGTGTTTGGATGTGCTGGGAAGATGGCGTTTCTGGCGTTGATCATCCCTTCGCGGATCATGTTTTAACACCCCCCAAGAAACCATGGTGGAATGTAGGGAATTGATGTGGGACCATAGAATGGTGGTGTAACATGGTGTAACTACAGAGGATGAGACACAAAAAAAAACAAAAAAACAGTTGTGTGGCTGGCTGTATCTGAGTCCAAGATATTGAATGATGTCACAATGATGTTCGTATTTTGCAATTTTATTTGGGGAGGGGAATCATTTGCATCCACATTTTCCGAATCCTTTTGCTATATGTAAAGAACAACTTGATAGATAGCCTTGAATAAATTCCTATTTTAGTGCTAGATGTATTCACTTAGGGTTCCACATGGTCCCACAAAAACATTGGGGAGACATGTAGTGTTGCAGATTGTGAAATTCTTCAGTACCCCAGTAAATTGACGTGCATGGATGTGGAAATTCCAACATGTGCACATCATTCCTAGGGAAATTCATGCATTTCCATATTACCTGTGTTTGTTTACTGGAGGGTATGGGACATGTTTTTCCTCCATGAAGCCACGCAGAAATTTCCTGGGATGTCCTGGGTGTGTCTGAACATAGGGCGCCGCTGAATCCACTGGTCTTACACCATTTTCAGATGCTCAAGAGTATCATATGGCTAGTCTCCCATTATGAACTCCAATGTATGTGCCATGACTACAATGTGAGGCCCCCAAGTAATAAGTTGGTTTAGATTCGCCCCAGTAACTAGTGCGTTATAAGTACCATAAACCATACTTATTGGAGTTATAAACCAACTGAACGCTATCTTGGGGGCCTCACATTGTAGGATTGGCAAATCCCACCGAAAAAAAAACACTTCAAGTTCCCAAGTTCCCAAGCTTTCCATATCCTCCGAGGTCTTCTCCGCGTATTTGGCGCATCTCTTGCGCGACTCCGTTCGCCGCGGCTTGACGTTGTGGCCCCAGGTGGATGGCGCACATCCATTACCCTTGGCGCTGGCGCCTTGGATCCAGTGATGTCATGGAGATGATCAGATGATGAGGGGTACCCTCTGGTAATGACTAACATAGCTATTGAAAATGGCCATTTATAGTGAGTTTTCCCATCAAAAATGGTGATTTTCCATAGTTATGTGGCTGTTTACCAGAGGGTAAAACATGGGGGATATCATGAGGTGATATCATGTGCAATGGAACATATCATTGGATACACAACTGAAATCAACTGAATATATCAATTGGGTGTGTCTGAAAATGGTGTAGACCCCAAACAAATATAACTGGTTGGTGGTTTGGAACATGAATTTTATTTTTCCATAATATATTGGGAATAATCCTTCCCAACTGACTATTATATTGTTCAAGATGGTTAATTAAAACCACCAACCAGTATAGTGTAATGGGTCAACAGGAACCCAAAAAAAAACATCCTCAAATTTCGGATGGATTAGATAAATCCATGATAAATCCATATTGGGGGATGGTCATCAACCCATCCCTGTTTTCGGGATAAATCCATGCAACCTAAGGATTCCCATTATTGCATGACCATGTTTTTTCATCGTGGCACCTGTAGGGGTTTATCCAAACTATACCCAACAAGCCCCCCCGGTGAATTGGACAAACCATCATTTTGCCCATGAAAGTTCCAGAAAGGGTCGTTTTGGAGGCCTCATCTTTGGACGCTCTCTAAAATTGCAATTTGGGCGGTATAGACAGCCTCATTTTCAGACACACCATGTTGTGGTACCTTCCCAGGAATGACAGCAATGACGATACTGATGCGATATCTCTGATCATGCAGACACTTTGATAGATCTAGTGATAAAATGTGGTAAATTCTATGAGAATCCCATTATTATTTTTATTAACCACTCATTGATCATTCTGATTTTTAGCCTTTCGAAATGGTGACATCCCATCCGCTGCGTCCCGGGGATCCATGTGGCACCCGAGTTTCGGTGTCATCAAAGGTGGCCAGCCCGGTGTCATCCCCAAAGCATTTATGGAGGTTTCAATATGGGTATGGGTCAAAATTAGGTACCCCAATAATTGGATGGTTAATACTAAACTAGACATTTCCATCTGTGGTCCCATATCGGTCTTCCATTTTGACCCACATCCATATGGGACAAATCATCACTGGGGGATTTTCCAGCCATGTTTGATGACACCGAAACTCGGGTGGCTAAGCTACGACACGGTGACTTTCCGAACCCCCGAGACGAACGGATCCCCTGGCACAGCAGATCCCACTAAACGGGTGTGTTTGGAAATGGCTAAGTTGCTAGGCATAATTAATATACATATATCATGATATATCATGTATTTATATATTGCATATGAAAAAAATACACATTGTAATAGGATAAAATGGTGATAAACCCGTGGAACCTAGTAATCACTAGTACCTAACTTTCAGACAACCCCTGTAGTCCTTCCATGTACTGGTAGTAGGTTTGTAAGCCCCATTTAGTATAGATATATCAAAAAGAACATAGTTTTTGGAGTTATAAACACACTTAGCATCACTTAGCCATCATAAATCACTTATGAATCCCATTAAATCCCCATTAACTGTTGGTTAAATCCACCATTTTTCCCAGCATCTTTGGTCCAACGGCACCACCTTGTAGGTGTTTGCCTTGTACTTGGTCCTGCCTTTGCTCTTTGTGCAGTTTGTGGCGCCGGCAAGAGCCAAGTTCGATGCAGTTGAAACCTCCGTGGAGGTTTAGTGCGGTCAGCGATGCAGGTTAGACATGAAGCTGTGTCCATCCAAACGGACGAAAATTGGAGGTTTTAACGTATGTTTTAACCATTGTTTAATGTTGATCCAAACAAACTGATCTGCCGAGCATCGTCGGATGGAAGCCATCAAAGAACATCGAAGCCGCCGAAAGTTGAAGCTTGGGATTGGTGACTGTTTGGTCAAATACCGAAGATCACAAGCTGGTTGGTGGTTTGGAACATTTTTTATTTTCCATAATATATGGGATAAGCCTTCCCATTGACTAATATTTTTCAAGATGGTTAAAACCACCAACCAGTTGGAACATGGTAAGCAGCAATGAAAACTTACACAATCAAACAGGGCCATTGATCGGCCACATGGCAAGCCATGACCTCTACCAACCCCAGGTTCATCCGAGACCGATTGGACAGAGTGCAGCGAACGGTGAAAATGAAAGGTGACGACTCCCCTAAAGTCTCCCTTGCAGAAGCGAATCTGGCTCAACTTCTCGACTACCCAGGATTTATCTCAAGTACTTCATAAGATCTTTATATATATATTATTACATAAATTCCCCCAAATATAAAACATATGTTCGATGGTGTTGTAGATATGTTGTTTTGATTCAAAACAACTTCTCTATGTGTATGTGCATCTACCTTGTTCTTGTTGTTTGTACCTTTGGAAGATTGTGTGGGGCATCCATCCCACAGATTGGCTTGTCATCTTTGTACGGGGACCGAACTTGTTGGGCGCGTTTTTTTAGTCCAAGTCATTCAATTTACTGGGATAGTAGGCAACAGACTAACTAGTATGTTTGATTGAGTCCTCAATAAGTATTTAAGTAATCCAGGGTTGACATTGTACAATGTAACTGGCCACGATATGATATTCCCACGGATTGCTACTGTAATGATCTCTGTAATGTTAGTAATGGGCCATCATATATCCCCAAATTACAGTAAGGTAGACCAATCTTCCAACCCCTCACTTGGCAGGGTCTGTGTTACTGTCAGGTGGAGATCGTGACGCTGGGAGATATTCAGACACCGGTGCCAGACTCAGGGTGTGAGTCAAAACCCGGGTGCCCAGGTGGTTTTTCAGCATTTTAACCATGATGTGTGACAAAACCATACAAAACCTGGAGATTCAATGTAGATCTACAGGAAGCCATTGTTGTTTTCTACCGAAGGGGTTCCCTGCAACATTTTCCGGCCACTTCTGGGAGACATAGGATACAGCCAAGTCTATCGCGCGGATGTTTGATGATATGTATATATATATACATGACTATATAGGTCCATAATGATCATAATGAAATTATATGTGCTGTATTGACATGAGGGTGAAAGCCCTATTTAGAAACAGGTTGCATGCTAGGGCCTTTTCTGCAAGAAATCAGATGCGAAAATCCCAAACATACAGTTGGATGATTGTCCTACTGTAACAATGCCAGTTTTGGCCATGTTTGGGTGAAACTTGATTTTTTTTTGGGTATATTTACCATTATTTCTGTACCCGGTAATCAAACGTGGCTGGAACTTCCCTTATCGAGTTTGATGATGTTCCCAGCCATGTTTGATGACACAGCAGACCGGGTAGATTCAACAACTGGCCACCGAATCTGTGGCGACCTCCAACCATATCAATTCGAAGTCCCGCGAGTTTAGAGAGAACATGTTCGATTGACATGCTTAATGATAGAACAACATTAATGTAACGACTCTTTTCGAAACTTAAAAACCGTGCTTTTTTCGGCATGGTAATGGATATTCCCCAAAAATCCAGTGCCAGGCGCCAGGGGACTATGAGATCAAGGAGAGACTTTTCTGTGATCTGGAGACAATTCGGATTAATGGGGATGACCCAATGGATTTATGCATTGATCCCATGAACAGTATCCATTAATGATAAATGACATATACATTCTTGGGATTTCATGGATATTTGATGGACATTTCATGGGATGAATGGGGATTAAATGCAATATGCAGCGAAAAAACTAATGTATATCCAATTTGAGTATATATCTGGAAAAAAAAGATTGCGACCCAATGTCACAACGCCAATGATAATCTGATAGTTCCTGGAATCCTCTCCAAACAGCCAACATTTCAGGTTTGGGTGTATTTTAATCATGTAATATATATATAATTATCATACATATATATATATTATGTAAATAAATCTATATATATATATATTATACGACATACTTACACTTTAGACATGGATGGATGGATGGATGGATGGATGGATGGAGGGATGGATGGATGGATGGATGGATGTTTTTATGGATGGATGCATTGATGCGTTGATAGATAAGTAGACAACTAGAATATGTCGGATAAGTAGATAGATCTTTCGGTCTTATGACCCCTTTTACTACCTTGGACCCATTTTTTTGGGTTATCACCTTAGCAGGTGGAGGTTACAACCAACCACCGTGGGGAGGAAGGAATCATGGTGGCCATATGACTGGTGAGTGGTTTCAGTTCTTCAATGTTCAAAGCCTGGGTGATGAAAACTCTAATTAGATGAGTTTCTTGTGAAACCAGCAATCAGTTCACATAAACGGAACGTTTTAGGATGGCTTCCAAATTGGCTTCCAAATTGGGTGCCATGGCCTCAATCGTAACAGTTCAACATAGTTCAACCAACCCGGAGACTTGGGTTTCCCCCCTTTCCGGATCCAGATATGTCCCGAGTCCCGACTCAGTGGTGCCTCACGACATGGAAGTTTTGAATAAAATCCTACTGGAAGAATGGTAAGTTTATAACGTTTCTATCTAAATAGGGTATTACCTTATTCAATTCTCGAAATTCGACTAATAACATTGAACACCGCTATATTGTTTTAGAGAACGCCGGGATGTTAGATCAGCCAGACATGACAGAGACCATCCCAATTGGTTGAAATTGCCGTGTCAGATCCATGTTTTTCCCCACATAGAACATGTCCATTTCTTTCCATGGATTTCCATGGATGTAGCCTCTGGTAATGACTAACATAGCTATTGAAAATAGCCCAGCCGAAATAGTTGATTTTCCCATGAAACATAGTGGATCTTTCCAGTTAAAAAAATGTGGCTGTTGACCGGCGACCACGCGGCGCAGGAACCGAGCTATCGCTCTCCTTATCGCATTCCCAGGCACAGACAAATGACAGCAAGAGATGGGGATTTCCTACAGTTATGGCCATTTATTAGTTATAACTGGTTATAAATGGGATTATACATTCTATAAATGGAGTTCTAAGTACTTATAACTGGTAAAGGGCCTCAACTGTATGAGGGTACCCCCAGTTCTCATCCATTTTGAGAAGATTTTCCATGATTGCTCCAATCCATTGTATGTAAATTATAGCCACAAGAGAGGGAAATTGGTCATTGACAACCACTTTATCAACCAAGTTCCCCCCCTTGTATTTGGGGTGTTGGGAGTAGCCTTTATAAACCATCCAGCTATTGGGGTACCAAAATGTTAGGAAACCTCCATATGTATGGGGATTTCCATGAGGAAGACTGCGATATGAGTGTTTTTTGATGGTTGATGTATTTTTGGTTGATGGTTGATGGCTTTTGTTGATGGTTGATGAGTTAATTAAACGTTTGGGATTGACCCTCTTTTAAAGGGAACTGACACGATTTTATAAACATCACAAAGACATGGGTATAATTGAAAACTGTTGGTTGGTTGATGATTAGTATGGAATTTATTAACTTACCCTTGATATGATTTTTTGGGACTATCATAATCCATGAACTGGGAATTCCATTCTTAACCAACCGGGATGGGGTCCTCAAACGATGGGTAAGTTGGGTTTATATATATATATATTTATTTATATATATATATTCATATATACATATAATATCATATATTCATATACCTATTGTATGTATATATATATACACATAATTATATACATAATTATATATAGGCTGAGTATTGGGTTTATGGTTGATATGTCGATATACTGAACTCGTCTTAGAAAAGATCGGGGGCCCCGAAGTTTGGCCCATCGATTTGGTCTCAGAACTTGGCGCCCGGAACGGCCGGTTGGGTAAGGCGGTGGATTTCCCGAGCTGATTACTGGAGGCTATAAATTCCAGAAAAACTACAGTTATACCCTCTGGTTATTTAACATAGCCATGGGAAATGACCCATAGAAATAGATTATATAGATGGTTTACCGTTTTTAAAAATGGGTGGATTTTCCATGGCTATGTTAAATAAATAACCAGATGGTATATCATGTTATATCACCTCATGTCCTGAAAAAGAACCTTAGTCAACCAAGTTTATCCAAGTTTCATAAGTTTCATGGGCTGTCCTTATAACCCATGAGCCAAAGCGCTGTGGATGACCCATGGCGCCAAACGCGTTCCCTGCGCCAGGTCGGATCATCTGTCCTTTGGCTCGGGCAAGACTCGTTTCACCGAGAAGCAGGAGACCAACCATCGACTAACAGCAGCCCAGATGGTACAGTTATGGCCATTTATTAGTTATAACTGGTTATAAATGGGATTATACATTCTATAAATGGAGTTATAAGTACTTATAACTGGTAAAGGGCCTTAACTGTACAATGTGAGGCCCCCCAGTGATGTTTGTTGGTTAACAAAAGCCCCAGTAACTGTTCACCAACTTTTCACGCTATCGAACTTTTGGCCTCACATTGTACCCTAAGATCCCAAAACGTCATAGCCATGGATGCTGGATGTTGATTCCCCCATAGAAGATGTGTAGTTTGACATTATGTGTAGACATGATTGTAGAGACGTTGTCATTGGGGTTCTACTAACTTGTTGCAAAGGGATCGTTACAAACCATTATTGGAATGGCTACAACACAGACAAGTAGAACCTGTTCCCAACCAGGGCTTTGACTTTGCTCAATTCAACACATATCCATTTAAATGGCATGTATCACTCAAGAACTGTCTTGAAATCATGTGGGGTGCCATAGCCACCACTAAATGTGTTTGTGAAGTGTTTCTTCACTGTCCCTGAGTGGCTACGGTTGTCTTCATATTGGGTGCCTCCCTCATCCAGAAAAGATACTTCCCACATGATCCATGAAATATTTCCCTACAACTGGGTCAATGTTTGGGGAAAGATTTAAGATTGTTAATTAATCACCCTCTGGTAAACTAACATAGCTATTGAAAATGGCCATTTATAGTGGATTTACCTATTCCAAATGGTGATTTTCCATAGTTATGTTAGTTTACCAGAGGGTATTCCGTATTCCATATAATATGACCTTTGGGTTTTATCAGGAGTCATTTGAAACCAATGGACACGGGTATGGTGCAGACTTATTGACTCCTGAGAAAACCTTGATTGGTCTACACGAAATCAAGCTTGAAGTTGAAGGTCCCTTCGTACACCAATCTGGAACTATCCACACACTTTCTGTGCTTGTTTTTGTTTGGGAGAATTCCATTTCACTCACTATTTGTCGAAGACCCATGTAACTCACTTTAAATTCATTATTATAGTGACAATTCACCGCGACGCAGCGCATTGCCCAGTCGTTTGACCTAGTTGATGATCTGCTTGTGATTCATTGGGATTCTAGTGTTGCCATGTCCTGTCTATTAAAATGTGTTTGTAGTCTTTGCGCTACATTTGTGGACGTAACATATCTACTGTGGTTACTATGTGTATATGTGACTATGACACTATAGACGCTGCACCCTCAGTCGCTAAGGACGAGTCAAACACTGTTGGTATCCAACCATCTGACAGTCAACAACTTTGTTTCCCAATGATCAGCCAAAATTTATCCAGGGACTTATTGAAACATAAAGCATCACATTTATTAACCTGTTTACAGGTTTGATAATTTTGGTTCACTTAACTTCGTTGCTTCAATCACATCAAATCCCGGATTCTTGTACTTAAAATCCCATTTTCTAAGTTAAACATCTCAGGTGGTGGGTCAAATCCTTGTTCCCTCGGTATGCGCAGCCATTCGCGACGCCGGTCCTGCTCCGTTGCGGCGCCATGGCGGAAGAGACGATGACGAAAGTGTTCCTTCGGCACTTGAAGGATGGCAAGGTGAAGCCCAGAGAGAGTCTTGGCGATGAAAAGGGACGTATCATGGAGTTCTAATGGAATGGGATTTAATGGTGATTCTAAATGGGATTTAATTGTGATTCTAAATGGGATTTAATGGTGATTCTAAATGGGATTTAATGGTGATTCTAAATGGGATTTAATTGTGATTCTAAATGGGATTTAATTGTGATTCTAAATGGGATTTAATGGTGATTCTAAATGGGATTTAATTGTGATTCTAAATGGGATTTAATGGTGATTCTAAATGGGATTTAATTGTGCTTCTAAATGGGATTTAATTGTGATTCTAAATGGGATTTAATGGCGATTCTAAATGGGATTTAATGGTGATTCTAAATGGGATTTCATTGTGATTCTAAATGGGATTTAATTGTGATTCTAAATGGGATTTAATGGTGATTCTAAATGGGATTTAATTGTGATTCTAAATGGGATTTAATGGTGATTCTAAATGGGATTTAATTGTGATTCTAAATGGGATTTAATTGTGATTCTAAATGGGATTTAATTGTGATTCTAAATGGGATTTAATTGTGATTCTAAATGGGATTTAATTGTGATTCTAAATGGGATTTAATGATGATTCTAAATGGGATTTAATTGTGATTCTAAATGGGATTTAATTGTGATTCTAAATGGGATTTAATTGTGATTCTAAATGGGATTTAATTGTGATTCTAAATGGGATTTAATTGTGATTCTAAATGGGATTTAATTGTGATTCTAAATGGGATTTAATTGTGATTCTAAATGGGATTTAATTATGATCTGATGGTGATTTAATGGGATTTATACAATGGTGATTTCGTAAGGGATTTCAATTTGTGATTTAAACATATTTATAAAGGTGACTTCATTAATGGAATTTAATAGTTATAGTATAATCTATAGATACAATATAAGTTCAATGATGGATTTATATATACTATTGATGGAATTTATAGTTCAATGATGATTTTGTGAAATCGTTTTAATGGGATACGGGATACCCTTGGAATGGATGAAGTCTCCGTACAGTCGGTGGGGAAAAAAAAACAACATGGCGACAAGTCGAAATTGGGGATTTAATGACCTAGTTACCCTCTGGTAAACATACAAAAAGCTATGGAAAATCACCATTTTTTATCGAAAAACTCACTATAAATGGCAATTTTCAATAGCTATGTTAAATTACCAGAGGGTACCTAGTGAATGGGTTCATAAGCCAATTTCTACTGGAAGGGGATCCTCATTTGTAAGTTGGGTGTTTCTAAGAATCAGGGAACCACCATGTTTAGCCATGTGAAGAAAGCGTCGATGAACACATCAATGATTTTGGGGTATCCTAGCTGAAGAACATCCACAACTACCAACGATTTTCCGTGTGAAGGGGTGGATTTCATGGATGTTGGCTCCCCACCCAGCTGGGAAAGGGCAGTCATTTTTACTGATGAGGCAAACCCAATAACTTAACACGCCATTTGCCAAGCAAAATAATCACGGAATGATACCACATAACCCTTAAATGCTTGGTGACTGGGATGGTTTGTCGCATTATATTTTCTTCATTATGTATACACCTGAAATTGATACAAACGGTTCCCCAATGTTCAAACAAAGCCTTAGAGGCTGTTCCCAAATCCACGATTCAACAAGAGATGGGATGGGTCTGAACATCTCTAATTTGGAGGCAGACTCACATCCTAAACAGATAATTGATAATTATCTGGGTAAATTGTAACGACCTCACTGTTCTCCCTCACTATAATCATAATTAGTAAGGGGAATCATCCCAAAATGGCCTTAATTCAGCTTAGTGAAATATTATAATTTACCCAGAATTATGTATATCTTCTGCTAGTTGCTTGATTTTGGTGCTGATTTTTGTTCCCAATCCTGGGCCCCAATCAGGATGGACTGCAGCATTCAGCAATTGCTCAGATGCTCGGAAAATTCTCCTGGGTCAACCTTGACCGGGATTTATTCACCTACTAACCGGTGAAGATGGCCAAAGCAAATCTAAGTTTTGCCATGAAGCAATCGAATGTTTGGGGAATAAGATAAACCATGATAAACCAGATTAATTAGACTAAGCTTTAAGCGAAAAATATGATCATGTTTAAGGGGAATATTAGTGGGACAGATTCCCATAGTTTTTTCACGAACCATTTCATCAACCTGGCCAGACCATGTCAGCAGGCATTGAAGCCTGGAAATCAGACTTGTTCCAATGTTTTTTTTTTCTGGTCCACCTATGTTACATTGAATGAATTACAGTACATTTTTGTTTGTTTATGTTTGTTTCCAATCTTTTGTCTCATTGCTTCGGCTGTAAAACCCCATATGATTTCTTTGATATCACAATAAGTTGGTTGTAAATCAGCAACGTTCGTTTTTTTTGTTTTTTTCGTGGGTCATCCTACATTGTTTGATTTGTATGTCCGCACACTAAACTGCGTATGGATACATGACCACAACAATGATTCTGTTACAGCAATATGAGAGAAATATCTCTAATGTTATAGTAATATAGTATTTGCTACTTACTCATGAAAATAGCGATGGTAACACTGACGCAACAAACATGATACACATGTTTCTTGTTGGTCCAGCAGCTTTCTCAGGGTCCAATGTAACCCTTGCTATGTTCGGATCATGCTGTTCACATCTTGCCATAAACGGAGACATCATAAAACTCATCCTTCTTGATTTTAGGTGTCTCATGTTTTACATTTCTTCCATTGAAGCTACCAATGGCCGCATGTTTCTACTTGTACTGGACTCCGACTGACTCTGACGTATGAGGACAGGGCTGCGGTCGCTTTCTGGCCCGTTGGAAGACTCTCTTTGGGCGCGTGGCACGGCAAGGGGCTTGGCATTCGACAGCGATGCTGCTTCAGGACGGGCCATAGGCTACGCGGGATGATCCTGGAGGGTTGCTTGGTGGCTTCTCCAAGGTAGATCAACGTTGAGATGTTCTAAGTTCTTGCCACCGGAAACATTCCAAATTCTTGCATCCTCCTAGGAAAAACACGATGCAGGATACGTAATTATGCAAAGTGTTCCATGCTGATGGACTTGGAACTAATTTGGCGTGGAAATGCGTGTGCGAATGGAACCAGACATATGTTTTGTTTTGTGTGTTTAATGGCATTACATAAAATACGATCCTATTTTGGGGCTCATTCAATGGGGCTATGATATATGCGATGGTTGATGTCAGAGAGGGATTACATAGGAATAGATCACATGTCAGAGAGGGATTACATAGGAATAGATCACATTGTTCCTCTGGTAATTTAACATAACTTAACGATAGCTATTGAACATTGCCATTTTATAGTTGATTTACCTATGGAAAATGGTGATTTTCGATAGTCATGTTAGTTTACCAGAAGGTAACTACTAAATTCCATTAATGGAGTCACCTTTATGGATGGCACTATTTACCAGAAGGTAACTACTACAAAGCCGTGCCTCAAATTTCCAGGCTTTGATGTGCCGAGCCAAGCTGTGGATGGTAGAGAGATGATCCAAGCTGTTTCTTGAGATCCCAGATACGAAGCGGGTTATAAGCATATGGTAACATATCGGAATCCATGTTTTTTTTGGAGATACAGTATACCATAGCAATATATTTACAATATACAGGAATTCATTTATATATATAAATATTATATTATACATATTTATATATTATATCATACATATATATATATATATATTATACATATATATATATATTATACATATATATTATACATATATACATATTATATATATATTAATTATACATATATATATATATATTGTACATATTATATATATATTGTACATATTATATATATATATACACATTATACATATATTATATATATTACATTATATATATATATTATACATATATATATATATATTATATTACATATATATATATAATATACATAAATATGTATATATATATATACATATATATATATACATATATATATATATATACATATGTATATATACATTAATATGGTTATGGTTTTAAAAAAATGTAGCCCATGTTATTGGAGGGTGAAAATTCTGTGGTCCCCCGCCTTGCTCGAGGATCTCCGACGAAGAGATTTGCAGCTGGACTTGGTGGAGCATCTGGGGATGGCCAGTAACGCCTGCGAAAGACACCCGGGCGAAACGCCAAACACGGTGATGGTGGGAGGGCTGTGGCAAGTAACTATATTAATAATTGTGTGTATATATATAATATGTAATAATAAATAACAATATTAATAATAATAATTATTATTATTATTATCTATATATCCCTACAGCTCCAGATCACTTCTCAGAAGGTATTCAGGTTTAAACCTGCTGAGGGAGGACTTTGGGCTACAATTGCCTGAGAATGGACTTGGTGACCCAGGCGCGTGGTCAGGCCATTTTGGCCCATAGGGAGGAAATCACAAGGGTTCAAATCACTTTTACTCGATCAGGCGCACAGTAGATGGTGAAACATTCACGCATTGAATGTGAAACCAGTACTGGTGATATCATATCACATCATTTTTCCACATACTTATGTTTCACACACACACATATATATATATATATTATATTTACCTGTGGATGTTGCTCTGCCATGGGACTTCAACGGGCATCTGCACTGAAAGGTGCCCCCTCCCCTTATGCTCTGCTGCCCTCCGTTTTTTTCAGTGTATTTCATGGGGTTTGATTGTGGGAATAATTCTAAAATGGATTGGTTTCCTGACCTGTGCCCATGGGCTATCTTCCCCCAAAAAAGTAAACTAGTGAACATACTGGGTAAACATCATTGGCCACATCACCAATCAGTCGGCCCTCCACAGCAGCACGGCTCAGTGCACACTTGGCATCCCCTGCCATGTCGCTGCAATGGAGTGAAGATGGGTTAGGTGGTCGGAATGTAACGGCCCCATTGAAGTTCAAGATCAGTGTTGCCCAATTGCATTCAAAAAAATGGAGCTTAAACATGTGGCAGTGCAATGTCCACATCTATGTGCACTTTTGTTTTCAAACAAAGTATCGCAGCCAAGGCTTTGCTTTGGGCATGTGTATCTTTCAAGGACTGCAAGGATATGTGTCCACCCAACAGCCCCCGATCATGGAAGACCCTGAAGCTCTACTGGTATAGTGTGTGCAGCACAGTGCATTCAAGTGGAAACCCTTGTGGCAAAACATCAATTGACATATTTTGACATGAACCTGCTATTGTTTGAACTTATCCCAACACATCCAAGGAGCGGAGCATTGTCAACTGGGAACGAGATGAAGACATGAGACCCATTGTTCGATCCCAAGATAGTTGTTGGATTTACACAGTAGCAATTGTGTTTCAATTATATAGTCCTGGTAAATTTTGTTCACCATGTGGGGCCGAAGGTCTATGACAACGACATTGAGCGGAACTACTTTCTTTTGAAGGAGCTCTTGATAGGCATTGGCTTCAAGTTGCAGCAGGGGAACCCAACACTAGCAGATTACCAAGTACCTTGGCTATATGGGGCCATATGGGATATGTTTACAACAGTGCAGTCAATTCATGCACATGACATGCAGTAACTAGTTTGATCAGCCTTATCTGGCAGTATCTGCTTGTAAATTTCAGGCTGGCTTCATCTACTTGACATCGACTGCCAACTACCACCGGTGCTTCTACAAGAAGAGAGGTGGAAAAGGTCGTATCAAGGTGCCTTGGATTCAAATCTATTCAACTCAGGAATACGACATGATTCCCAAGATACACTAAATATCTTGACGGTTGATTTATGTTTTGTACTTTGTGCAGAAATGTGAATTGAACCTCGACTATATAATATATCCCTACAAGCTATAACTCACCTATCAATTGACATGTGTATATTAATAAATACAGTGTGTGCAAACATGGTCTTGAGGTTTTGGTCCAATGAAGTTTTTCCATCACCCTCCGCTGCCCAGGACTGGTCTCACCTTGAGTCCACAAGGTGTAGAGCTTTGGTCACGCATCTCCTTCGGCTCACGTCCAAGACTACTGAGTCGAGGACATGCTGAGGAATGTTGGTAATATATTATATATATATTAATAAACTGTTTGGCTTGTCTGAATATTATATTATTCACTTGATATTATATATTATTCCCCACCTGCCAGGTGAGGGTTGTTAGATTTTATCAGAGTTGTTCTCCTCCTCTTCCTCGGCTAGCTGTCCTCCTCCTTCTCCTCCTCTTCCTCGCCTCCTCCTCCTCCTCCGCCTCCTCCTCTAATTTCTCCTCGACCATGTCTGCATCAACTTACCTTCCCAGCTCAGTGTGCACTGCTGGACCTCAACCTGGGACCTGCCCAGCTCAGTGTGCACCGCTGGACCTCAACGGCCAGATAGAATGCCAGAAGATATGCCAGATAGAAAGCTATAAGATATGCCAGATAGAATGCCAGAAGATATGCCAGAAGATATGCCAGAAGATATGCCAGGTAGAATGCCAGAAGATATGCCGATAGAATGCCAGATAGAATGCCAGAAGGTATGCCAAATAAAGTGCCAGAATGTTTGCCAGATAGAATGCCAGAAGATTTGCCAGATAGTATGCCAGAAGATATGCCAGATAGAATGCCGGAAGATATGCCAGAACATATGCCAGAAGATATGCCAGGTAGAATGCCAGAAGATATGCCAGATAGAATGTCAGATAGAATGCCAGAAGATATGCCAGATAGAATGCCAGAAGGTATGCCAGATAGAATGCCAGATAAAATGTCAGATAGAATGCCAGAAGATTTGCCAGTAACAAAATGTATAGGTCATGGTGGGGATCACACGAAGTAAAGTAATTTATTTTTTAGCAAAAACAAATGAACAAAACGGCATAGCATTATATTTTGCCCCATCTGTCACAGGAGTGGTGAGATCAAAGTGTTGAAGAAGATCGTGGTCCATTTCCAGGCTCTTTTGGGTGAGCCATAACACGGTGAGCTTCAAAGGTTGTGCATGTGTGTATGTATGTATCCGAGTGTCTGCTGTGTGTGTGTGTTCATGTGTTTTGTGTTTGCATGTGAAATGTGCACAGCCTTCAGAGACTCACGAGCAAAACTCCCGTGCAGGGTGGTGGTGCTGATCACGAGGTCCATGCACCTTTGGTTGAGCAGGAGTGGATTTTGATTTGCACATGCACTCCAAAACTGAAGTGGCCGTACATTCACACAATGAATTGACACTTGAAGGATTGGACACTCACACTGGTCAGGAGGATGATGGCCCTGACTTGGAGCTCGTGGTTGATGATGAGCCAATCATCGTGGAGACCAAGGCTTGGACTTCAGTTTTTTGACACGTTTTCATCCATGTGCTGTCACAGTGCCAAACCCAGTTTTCAAGATTGAATGATTAGAGTCTCAGTGCATATGTTTGCCATGCTAGGAGCCTCATGGCGATGCTACTGAAAATTTGATGAAATGTTTTGAGGCCATGTTGGTGAGCAATGTTTGCCATATAGTCTGCCTTTAGTTTTGAAATTGCAATGATTGGCAGGAAGTGGGGGCACTTCTATGGCCGAAGGCAGCGATCTGGTGGCAATTCGTTTGCTCATGTCTTGAAGTTGCATTGGCAACCAGTAAGTTCAGGGTTGAATTCAGCACCGTGCCATTGGCAGGATGAGATCAAAGATGAAGTCCAAGATGAAGCTGCTACAGAGCCGATAGAGGATGATGCTGTCCTTGCCCTATGTGCATTTAGCAAACTGTTGGCAGAACACTTGCTTATTTGTTTCTCATCTACTTTCATTTTGAGGCCAAAGGTCGAATGATGCCTCCTCCTGAGGCCATCATTCTCCTTTCCATGCAAAATGTTCTGAATGATTTGCAAGTGCTCTTGAATGCACATGTCCTACAACAGTAGTTGCAGGTTCCTGTGCGTTCACGTCGTGGTGCAGTGAAGGAGGTGGGGTACTTACCCAAAGAACAGTGCACTTACCTTTTTGATAATGATGTTTCACAGGAAGGATCTGCGAGTGCCTCTCCAGACAACCTTGAGGCAGGCCACATAAGTTTTTTGGAAGTTCACAGTTGGCCCACTTTACTATGTCCCAGTTTGTTCTGTGAATACATCAGCCCTGGCAGACACTACCATATGATCCTATGGAAGTGCCACCGGAAGTTCCTCCTGGTCCGAACCCGTGGGATACTGATGTGGAGGATGATGAGGAGCACTGGATTCAATTTAGCTGTGGTGCAAAATTGTTTAGTCACAAATTTGTAATTTATTGATGCTGCTTGATAAGGAAGGGGCCTTTGTTCCATATTCACGGAGAATCCGACGTTTTTTTGAGAAGTGGCCAGGATGCATGGCAGGGGCCCTACTCAGTGCAATAAAAGATATCTATATATTGCACACCAAAAATGCCAAGTGTGGTTGTAGACTACCTTTTACCTCAGTGCTCAGTGAATGTGCCAGGAGCCACTTGCAGCTGACACCAATGGTGGTGAAGCAGCATCAGAAGGTGCTAAGGCTGGGATATGATGTGAACCATGCATGGGTAGACACAAGGTTTTTTTTAATCTGAAGCCACTTGCTGAATTCAAGTGCGAATTCAAATTTCACCACATCAACATGTCAGGCTAGCAGCCTGGTGTCCCAACAAGCTGAACTGCGAGCTGACAAGCGACGGGAGGAAAAGGAGAAACCACCAGCAAAGCCAGGAAGAAAGCGCAAAGAACCCACTGAGCCCACAGAGGAAGCTGGTCTGGTTTCTAAAGCCCGTGGCAAACGACCCAGCAAGGAAAAAAAAACTGAAGTAGAACCTGCAGCAAGTAGTGCACCTGATGTGCCTGTTGCTGCTGCTGCCAAACGGAGGGCAAGGAAACAAACCAAAGCAAGTGAGGAACCAAAGGATGTTGAGGGAATGGCCAAAACGCCTAAGGGCAAGGGCAGGGGAAAGGGCAGAGGTAAGAGCAAGTCAGGTTACTCACCTGGCACCAGCAAACTGAAGGCTGACAGGGCCTATGAGAAATTGATTGGGTCTTGTCTCCGTGATATGAAGGTACCAAAACTTGGGGACCGAAAGTCCTTCACTTTGCCGTCCCCTGGGTCTGACAAGTCAAGTGTTGGTGTGGTCCTGTACAATGAATACTTCTACGTGACGAAGTGTGTCACACCTGTGACGTCATGGCCTGAAAGCTGCGCTGACTTGAAGGTGCCATGTGGCTTCGATTTTTGTTTGCAAGTTTGGTTTCATTACCATATGTGGGTGATCCCATGATTAGCTTTGTTGCATTGATCCCTGTGGACAGGTGGACACCAAGGGTGGTGTGACCATTCCTTGGTATTGCTCTGAAGGCGAGGAGAAGACTATGATTCGCAATGCGTGGGCACAAGCCAAAGTCTTGGCAGGGTGGGAAGAGGCCTGGTTGTGTGTGTGTTTGTGCATCTTGTACGTGCATGTACATGCAGTGCATGTCAATGGTACATCTAATTATAATATATGTGTTTTGACTTCATGATCGAACCATAACATGTACAATCCTTGGAGCTGTCCTGTGCCAGGTGTGATCTAGCTGACGATGCCCTAGATCTTCTTGCGAACATGCTGTACAGCCAGCTCTGAACCAACTTGGCCATGATGGGGACTTGAAGGGAAAACCACTACATCCCTCAACCTCACAAAATTGATAAGAACATATGTATCATGCTGGCTACTGAGCTTGCTGAAAACGCCCATCGGGCCGGAAAATCTTGGGTGTGTTTTCAACACACTTGTGGCTTTTGAAGCTGTGCCACAGCGCACAACAAGTTTAATTACATCATGCCTGTGTGTGGCATTTGGGGATACAATGGCCTTTGACGACATATATTGTTTTTGGGGTCAGTAAATACCTCCAAAAAAACATATATATATATATATTATATATATATATATAGTAAAACACATGTTATATTGCATTTTTTTACAGGACATGGTTCTTTACTATGTGCACTATATTTGTGTTTCAAGTGGGCCATTTGATCATACGATATTCCCAGATCTTTAGCTCAGCTAGTTGATCACTGGAAACGGGGAAAAAAAAGTCATGTGTTTGCAAACTAGACCAGCTCACTTTCACAGTACATGCTGTGCATGTTTCCCACATGATTGTCCCACATTAACTGGTCCATGTGCCTTCGCAGGTCGTTCCACATCGAAGCTGGCCATTGATCCTGCTCGCTCTCCTCGCCAAGGCCATGAAAACATATGGGGCCCAGCAGTCATACCAAACAGATCAAACAAGTTTTACTTATTGGAATTGGTCAGGTCACAAGATTGTCCGCAAGAATGTCTTCTTGAAAAACAAGTTTGGAGGTGCCCCCAGCTGTGCCCAACTGCATAGGGTTCACCTTGGAACTGATGTGGAACCTTTTTTCCCCATGTCAGCATATCACATCTTGGTGGGTGCATACATTTTTGATCAAGCTGGAAGGGTATAGAGATGCGAACATGCCCATATCCATTATCCATGGGTTCAACCTTGTTCAGAACCTTTACAGTTGAACAATTGCAGTGAATTTTCGAAAATGGACCATTGCGCCTTAAAAATGTCTTGAGGATTTTATTAGCAAGTGGTCAACTCCATGAACTAACAAATTATAATTTACCCTGACTGCACTGGGATAGCCTGGTGACTTGAGATCGGGCTATGGAGTCTCCCCGATCAGTTCGCTTGAGTCGAACCCAAGCCTGCGTTCTATTGGCAATTGGTTTTCCACCAGTACTGTGTTCAGGCTGCATTGGTGTTTTGTTTCTTGTTCATCAAGAGTAATTCTTGTACAGTACCACAGCTTTCCACATGAAATGAAACTTACTCAGCTGGTGGCTAGTGAAAAAAAACTTGTATTGGGAAGGGTACCCATGGAGAAATGAAATGTTTACTAAACCGACTCCCTCATCACATAATGAAAATAATTTCACCACGAACTTTGGGGATGGAGTTGGGGTTCGTTATGCAGGGGTATGGTGTTATAATAACCCAAATGAGTTGGGATATACGTTTTGTTCCTGTAAGTGTAACATATAACTAATATATATTATATATAATTTATATTAGTTTAAATGATATATAAATATAAATATATATATATTGCATTTTATATATTATATATATACACATCATAAGCTTGGTGTACATACGTGTAAAATACCACCCACATAAATAAATACATATGACATCAATTTATTTATTGGGGGCGTATCTGCAAACACCCCTGCACCAGCCCTCATTCTGCCCGATCTCAGGATTCATGTCCTTGATTGGATTGGACAAGACCTTGAGCGCCAGAATGTGGTGAGGGACCATTGGGGTTCTGCAGTTGGATTCTGTGTGAAGCCTGATGCTATGACCCATATGCATAAACATAGAACATATCATTGAGCTGGCATGCAGGACCTTACATCGGTGGAATACTTTTGTGGAGTTGAGACAGTGGTGAAAGCTTTTCGTTCTATCCTCGGGCAATGCAAAGTGTGAGAACAAATTGGGCACATGTATGTAGTATGCCTCACTGGCATGGATTTTACCTTGTGCTATTGGCACATTGAGGGGCAGAAAACTATGCAGCGTCCTTGTCTCAGTTTTACATTGGATGCCTATTACTTGAATTCAGTGTCAACTTGTTCCTACTCGACATATACATGAACGTCGCTATGTTGCCGTTAGCCAATCTAAGGCAGGGAGTTGATTTGACGAAAGATGAAGCTTTGCACAACCTGATGTTGCCTATGGGCCTGATGTGGGCATTCAAGCAAAGCTTGCGGTGTGTCAAACGTGGAATTGGAATGCTCGGCATACCATGCAATTCTTTTACTTTCATGTCCAGCTCTCAGCATGAAAGAACAGTATGGCAGCCATGGGGTCACATGGTACACCCATGGGTCATTGAAGGGAATTGCCTAGCAGCAAGAAGCTGCCTTATCATCATGCTTCTCATCGCCCGCTCTGTGTGGTGGTTAACGGAGAACCCGGGACAAAGTGCACTTCAGTTCTTCCCTGTCCTCCAGCATTTAATGGCGATACCTGAAGTACTTGCAATGAGAATCTACTGGTAGGGGGCTTGGTTTGGATGTAATTCGTTCAGTCCAATGCGATTTGCTTGAGTGATTTCTTGGGTTAGCCGGTCACTCCAGATTCCACCCAACTGTGCGTCCCAGGTACATGGGCACTCATGGAGGATGGTCGGTCAAACCCGAATTCTCCTATGGCAATGTGCATGGTGCCCAGTTGTGTCACTCAGTGCAGGTCAATGTTTACTATGACATGATGAATTCTTAAGTGTTGTTTGACCATTATATCGAACAAGTTAAGTTTCTGATGCTATATTTATATAAATGGAAACAAGTAGCATATGATTGTCAGTGTGGTCACATGAGGCCATGGGCACCTCATCTTCGTTTGCCACTGACCAAACTTGTGCGTGAGGAGATTCACAAACGACAGGCTTCAAAACAATGTGAAATGGTCAAAAAGACTGTAAAGAAAGATCCTGCAACTGGCTCTCAAAAAACACAAGTGTCGAAGTCTCAGTGGTACAAATTGAAATTCAAATGTGTCAGCATCCTGTTCAATGCATTTGACCTTGCTGTCAACTTGACCAGACATTTAGGTCAGGTGGGGCCCACATGCGTTCTTCAGCTGCTTATCCATTGCAATTCGGGCGGTTTGTTGCAAAAGAACATATCCAAGTTATGGATACCCGATTGCAGTCAGTGATTGACAAAAAACAGTCAATAAATTCATGATGAGTTTGTGTGGGAGATACAGTTCACACACCCACACACCATGCTTGCCAAAAGCACCCAGCGGGTTCCTCCCAGAAGTTGATGAACTGAGGATTGCAAGGCACCACTCCCGGACCTGCAGGCCATCATCAAGGGTGGCTTCCGAGATCCCTGATTGCAATTGTCTTGGGTCACCATGTATATACCTTTACACATCATTAATGTGTTTTGTGCAAAGGTTTTTATTCAAAGATACTGGAATGAGATAGGTGCCCCGAGCTCGAACATCACTGGACCATTTGTTTGAAACATGACCTTTCTAAAAATCAGTTCGTGGCTTGCCCATTGCTCAAAACACCCAAAAAAACTGAGGTGGGTGGTCTGTTTTTGGCATCTTTTCTTTGGGGGAATTTGTTTGATTGATAAGTTAAATGTTAACAGTACTATATACGAAATAAAATTCAAAACATAAGCAACATGTTGGTAGCTAGCATCTACGTGTATTCCACTGAAATAGCATATGCCTACTCTGGAGATATATATATATATAGTTGCATCAACACAAATATGTTATTCAACTGCTGTTTCTGTGGCACCATGTGCAGGTTAAAACCCAGGCGCGTGCACATGATAATGGTGTTGATCTTGATGTCGTTGATGCCTGCCAGTGTGCTGGCCGACCCAGGAACCACCTGACTGGGCACCAGCCCTCTTGGAGCCCTTTGTGGGGATGGTTCAGAAAGCTGCTGTGGCAGGCTTGTATATCCCAGACCCTAACATTCCAGTCCAGGTCAAACCGGACAAAAAAACTTTTGAGCGCTTAAGATCCGAGTTAAACTTGGATTAGTCCAATCAGCTGTATGGCCCAATTCAAAATGTCTGTGTGTGTTCCATATGATCTTGCAACTCTATGCATCTGATTGGATAGTTTAAATACATCATTTTCTCTATTCATTTATGTTGCTGGATCATGTGGTATTTTTCACATGGTAAATTTATATGCTTTGATGGCTTCATCGACACAAATTCTGTGTTGCCGGTCTACTCGCGTTTGAAAACTGGCCTGATGCTGGATGTTCAAAAATGCTCTATTTGTGTCCCACTGGTTGGACCCATTGGCAGGATGGAGTTTAGCTACATGCATGCATCACTCATGAGATTTCAGACTCTACAAAAGCAGCTTGGTGCAGGTGTAAAGAACATTCACTAGCTTAAGTGATTGTGCAGCCTCCATTTTGCTTGAACTGTGTGTTCACTGGGCACTTGGACAACAACCTTGTGCAAGGCCTGGACTTTCTTCTGTTGTTAATTGAAATAAACAATGCATCTACAAAAAAAAACACTATTTTTGTGATTTTTACTCAGCGTGGTTTTTGCGTGATTTTGCGTGGCAGTCGCGTGCTCACACAGTTTCCAGCGTGATTTTGCGTGATTTTTTTTTATCTTCAGGCTATGGGGAAAAATCCTCCCACGGCTGCAAAAAGCCGACCGGCTCCTGTGGACTAGCACTCAGATATCATTGAAAAAGTTATTGTACAATGGCATTATCAAATCTTTACCTCAATTAGATTGTTGCTACCCACACCTGCCATCCCAGGAGCGAACCCGTTCTGCCTCTTCCATGGATTCGTTCAACTCAGAGGATGAGATTGCGCAGTTAGAGAAACGATTGGGTGTGAAGTTGCCAGGTGTCATGGCAAGATATACATATTGATCTAGATCTATTCGATCCGTCGATGTCATTTGTCATTGCAACTTTCTAATGACACGTGTATTGAACTAATCCATTTATTTGTGTTTGAACATTAAGGTCAGTCACATGCCAAAGCCAAACCTGTAGCTACACCATCCAGGGCGGGGATGACTACTGCAACATCTGTGGCACTTGGTGGTGCAGCTGTTAGTGACAAGGTGAGGCCACGTGAACCAGTTCCTGTGCCTACAGCGTCAGCAAAGAGTACCCCTATCAAGTCTCCAGAGAAAAAGAAGTCCAAGGGTGGCATCGAGTCCGAAAAGGAGCCCATTGTGGAGGATCTTTCTGGGAAATTTGACAGTGTAGCAGATGGTGGAGCTGGTAAACCAACTGTTGAGACAATTGATCTCGATGAGTCTCCCATGACTGTTGGGGTAGGGGGCTTAGTAAATTGAGAATGCATCACTTGGTACCAAATGCATATGCACCACATATTATAATATATATATATAATTATATTAATGTCAGACCAGTATGGGATCCCTACATGTTAAAAAATAATATTTAATATATATTATATATATAACATATAAAACTATATATTATATATATTATATATATAATATATTATATATATATGTGTCATCTCCCCCTCTTGCCACTGCCCAGGTTCCTAAGACACCAGACCTGTCAGATCCTGCGAATGCCGTGCTTGATGCCCAGATTCCACCATGGGATCGCCTTCCAGAGCCAGAGACTGTCCCCGGTTCGATTGACTTGGGCTCCCAGGAATATCAACCCAGCTACTTGGATGACCCGACACCAGGTGAAGAAGCCTTTCGAAAAATGATGGATCGACCCTTGAAAGATGTCGTGTTTCCAACTGGCAGGTCTGATTGGGCAATTGAATTTCTCCGGGATGATGTGAAGCTATGGGTTCAAAGGCGACAGGAATGTGGTGACGTGGGGGAAATTGACCCTGCCATGACCCAGTTTGTTGACAAAGTAGTGAAGACTGGACAGATGTTGGAAAAGCTGTACAAAGAGGTTGAACCAGAACGTCAGGCACATGCCCTCTTCTTGTCCAAACTTGACCGTGCAGCTGTGGCCATGAAGGACATGCAGCTGCGCAAGTTCCAGGAACTCAACCCTGGTACAGATCCCCTTTCTTCGAATGATTTCAGTGAAAAGGTCAGTAAGATCCAGGAGTGGAAAAAACAAAAGTTGGAGGACCAGTTGAAGGTGCTTGATCGATCTGAACAAACCCTGAAAGAACATGAGGACCAACATGTGGCGATCTTGAACGAAATGATTCATGCTGCCCGTGCTATGTTGAACAGTCCTACTGTCGTACAACCAGTTCGAGTTGATGCTACAGCTGCTGACCTCATGGAGGAATTGTCATCCTTTCTTGATGAGAAGGCACGGGCTTCACATATATACACCTACTAGCAGCTATGGGTAAATGTTTAATATGTTTATATATGACAATGCCTCATTTTATAATATAGTTACATACGTATACATCTATATATATATATATATATGTATGTATATGTGTGCACATCCATATAGTCCCACACACACATACCCAGTAGGTAGTCAGTGGCCCTGCCTGCAGGCAAGCCCATTGCCTTCGACACTTGGCGAACGCAGTCCTCAGGATTTGGTTGATGACAATGAGGTCAAAGCCTACAATGGCCCACCAGAATCATGTCTGTATAGTAAAGTTTCTGCGGGCACTTGTTGTTGGAACCATCCACAGCTTTAGATCGATGTTATGTCTTTGATTGGCACCTCTGGTTCTGCACATCCAACCAAGGAAGCTACTGAATTACCAGGACCACCGACACCACATGTGGTTGCCCATGGAGCTCTGATGAGGCGACAGGACACAACACAGTTGGAAAGAGCAGTGTCTTGTCTGTTAAAACTGCATTGGGATGCAATGCATGAATGTTGCAAATATTTTTAAAAATAAACATATATTATTATAATTCCAAAATATTTTGTACACACACAAAATATATATTATATTTATATGTATTATATCTACTTCATCATTTTCCCCACAGAACAATCTTTACTTGTGCCCCTTTGAGGTCGCTTTGGATGATGACGAGATTGCCCGAGCCCAGAAGAACTCCAAGATGAGATTCTACAGGTCCCTGTCCAGTTGCTTGGTTTAATGACTTGGGGGTATATCAAATTGAGACCATATCAATGACACAACCTTTTGCCAGTTTCAAGTACACCTTTTTTTGTAGCAAAAAGTGGCGCCTTATTTTTGGGACATACCCATCTGAACTGTTGCCTGAAGTCCACCTGTATCCAACATTCCTGTGTGCATACACTGCTGCTAAGGTTCGGCTTGCCCAGCAGCTGTTGTTGATGCAGCCCGTGGCAATCGCAAAGGCTCCTTGGCTTGCAACATGGCAAACTTGCAACTTGAGGATAAATGCCATTGCTAAGCAATTACTTTAACATTGCCACATACATATATATATATAGTTGTAGTATATTATAGATATATGTAATATATATCTCAAAAACATGTTTACCACCTGGCCCAGATCGAGCTTTGATGGCCAAGTTGTACGAACAGTGGATCTCAAGCAATGAAGACTGGATGCAATCTAGCCTAGTGGTGAACAATGCCAAGTCAAGTTCGACACGTCGCAGGGGTCGCTATGTCATGAAGACCTTTAAACAATTGAGGGATCTTTATGGCGCTGCCGTGGCCAAGGGTCTGAGGGATGCCAAAAGAGAGCTTGAGGCAAACAAATCCAGTTCTGACACCAATTGCTATTGGATGGAGAACCCTGACCTCCCTGGAAAAGAGGATTGCTGTACTTGAAATTGTGCATGTGTGTTTGGAACCAGCTACATTCCCAAATGTGTTGAGGGGAAAAATGCAACGTACTTTTTTCTTGGTGGAGTTTAATAGATGAATGGATGGTTGGTTGTACATATGAATATGGGTATGAAATGTGCATATGGATGGATAATATGTAGATAGAGTGATCAAGCTGAGAGGTAGAGGGATAGAAAAAATATACAATATATATGTATATGATAAGATCTAGAGATAGGTTGATATTGCTACGTTAGGGAGCATATTGTTATATTTTTATATTGTGGTGATTTCTGTTCTGGTTCAACATGAAACCTTTTTTATTGCTGTATGCAGCTGCATATTCTCTAAATTTGTTGATATTATAATTCTATCAAATCCCCCTAATCCCATTGAGCAGGAACCTAATCTGATTGAGCAGGACTTTGAGCTCATCAGGGTCTTCGATAGCTTGGAGTTTGAAGATGAGACTGAAGAGACAGCCTACATGTCCTTGCAATCCCGTGGAACCCTGAACGAGGAACAAACCCGTCAGCTGATGCAGTATCTTGGCAGTGTGCTGAAAGCTTGGGGTGATTTCCTAGCCCAAACACATGTGCCAACATGCCCAACTCAATTTCTGAGGCAAGATTCCAGCAATGAACGCATGGCTGAGCTGTTGCGATCAAACACTCGAAGCCTTGGTTTGGGTGTGGCAGATGCCAAGGCCAAAGCTATGCCGGGCACACCGGGTGGACCTGGGGAAAAGCAACCCAAAAAGGTGAATCATCAACGGCTGGTTTCTAGCAAGATTGCAGCCATGAGTTCGAAAATGACTGACTGTATGGCATGGACTTCGAAGTTGGCAGAATCCACTACTCTGTTTCTTAGCTGGGTACCACCCAATCAACCAAGTTTTGAAATTCTACATGTTGTCTTTTAAAACAGGAAACAGCTGGTTAGTACTATTCCAAATAGCTAGCTGAGGTCTGACACCTTGCGCAATGGCTTCAAGGGGGAGTTGGAGGCACGATCCAAATCTCTTGGTGATGCTAAGATGAAACTTGAGGAGCTCTATGCCACGTGCTTGGATGAGGATGCCGTGAAAAACAACCCAGAGTTGCAAGGGAAGATCGATGCAGCTATTCGAGCATGTGATGCAGCTGTTACTTCATATGCTGGCACCTTGAGATCTGTGAAGACATCGATGGAATCTCAGCACTTAAAAGCAAAGGAAGCAGTACCCACACATACACACACTATGACAATGTGTATATATACATGATCCACGTAGTATATGTTGAATATGTCAATGCATGCATGTACAGTGCAGACCCTACTGATTTTTTCTTACACATGGCCCTCTCTCGCCCAGGACCCTCCACTGCCAAAGGCGAAACGAGCAGCCAAAGCGAAGAGTGCTCCTGCTTGATCATGTTGATCGTGGAGCTTTCCTGAAGCAATTTTGAGTTTGGATGGGTACGCATTGGGTGGCTTAGGAACATTCCTTTGAGGCCTGCGGTGGTATAGATATAATTGATGCTATAGCTAGCTATACATATTATATATATATACGGTTGAATCTATCACAAGATAATTTTAATATATTTAGTGGACCTGTGCCCCTGATAAATTTGCATACTACATGGCAACATCCCAGGTTGCAAGGAGTGAAATGCCATGCAATGCTGTTTCGGGGCCTTTTGGCCATGGGGTGGGGGTGACATACATACCCCTGAGACGTGGTGAATTACCACATTGCCCTCACCATGTTGGTGCTTAGGGAGCAGCATTTCGAATTGCGAGAAAAATGCACTTATGACTGAACTGAAATTTTTGGTTATACCTACATATAGATTTGGTTTTGGTAACACCTCTGTCACCCAACGCAGGTGCACTACAGTCACCACTGACATCATACCTTCTGAAGGAAGGTGGTCTTGGAGTGACTTGACCAAACAACAAAATGGGCCAACCAGTTGTAGCAAAGCAATGTCCAACCATGTGTGCACTTGTTTTTTCCATGGTTGTGTTCATTCCCATTTGGGAAACGCTAAGGAATCATCTTTCCGAAAAGTGCAAGAAACTTTGAAGGTTGTTGACCAGGAGACCGTTTGCCAACATGCATTTGAACAAATAGAAATACTTTGGGTGTTTGATTTACAATGGAATCTGCAGGAATTTCAGTATCAGTTGGGAATCAAGATGCCTGGGGCTCCATCATCACTACAATCTGCTGGGACTGGTGGGAAGCATCCTCAAAACATCAAGCGGGACATTCTCAGCAAGTTGAACCGGGTTGATCCTGGGCAAGGGGTTTCTGAATTCAGTATTGGGTGATTTTGTCCTTTGTGGTATCTCTGTTTTCCACCCCAATAAAATTGCTATAATATTATTTCAATATATATACTTGGCACAAGCTAAGGTTCCTATCCAGCACATTGATGTCCCAATGCTAGATGAACATGAACACGTGTTCCGAAAGTATCTTGGGCTTCCAATTCAGCCTGATGGAAATATATGTTGGAGAGCTATAGCTTGGGTCATTTTTCTATTGTGGTGAACCAGGTCACTTCCAATCATTCTACCTCACGAACTGATGGGTTGGCTATCCAAGCAAGAGCTCATACCCGAGTGTGCAGTGGATCCAGTGAGGGTGGCAGAATATTGGACGCATCTGAAATCAACAGAGTCACCCTTGAAAGACATGTCACCAGGACATCATGTACCTCTTTGGCTGTGGGGGGATGGTGCCAAATATCTGGTATCAGGTCAATGTTTGACCGTAATAGTGTTTGGGTTTGTTTTGGATGACGACCCGGATGTGAAGAACTCTGTTGACCGATGTTGGCCACTTTGCATTCTTCAAGAAGAACCTTGACATTGATCAGTTTGTATGAATTGTGTTTTTCTTTTTGCCCATCAACTTATGTTAGCACTAAAGGGCCAAGAGAAAACAACACCCTATTCCTATATGATCATGGTTTCCCCTTCACATATATTTCCCAATGTTTTTCCATATTTTCCCCTTAAGTCATAGAAAAATGGCATTGCAATTGTGTCTGTCTCAGCTGCACTGAGCATCCTAGGAAGAATCGGCTGGGTTCATAACTTTGAAGGCTATCCTGGAAGCTGTGCCCTGCCATGATTTACTTGCAAACAAGTTTCCAGCACGTTTGCCACCACTAGCTCCAGAAATGGTCCACCTTCCAAGATGCAGTGGGGCCATCTGCCATCTTAGGTGGTTGATAGCTTCAACCAACTCTATGCGAACGATGACATGATGGTGACCGAGGTGAGAGCTGATTGGAAGTTTCAAGCTGCCCCTTGATCTTTATGGGATTTCACATTTACCTGACAAATATTCCCTATGTCCCCTGAACTAAATCATTACATTGACTGTGTGGGAACTGTGCATTTGAGGTAACCAATCTCATGGCACTGGGTGTTTCTTGAACATGCTATATCAAAAGTAGTCGGGCGGATATGATAAGCATCGATATCAGTTATTCCCCACCTGCCACGTGAGGGTTGTTAGATTTTATCAGAGTTGTTCTCCTCCTCTTCCTCGGCTAGCTGTCCTCCTCCTTCTCCTCCTCTTCCTCACCTCCTCCTCCTCCTCTGCCTCCTCCTCTAGTTTCTCCTCGACCATGTCTGCATCAACTTACCTTCCCAGCTCAGTGTGCACTGCTGGACCTCAACCTGGGACCTGCCCAGCTCACTGTGCACCGCTGGACCTCAACGGCCAGATAGAATGCCAGAAGATATGCCAGATCGAAAGCTATAAGATATGCCAGATAGAATGCCAGAAGATATGCCAGATAGAATGCCAGAAGATATGCCAGATAGAATGCCAGAAGGTATGCCAGAGAGAATGCCAGATAAAGTGCCAGAATGTTTGCCAGATAGAATGCCAGAAGATTTGCCAGATAATATGCCAGAAGATATGCCAGATAGAAAGCTATAAGATATGCCAGATAGAATGCTAGAAGATATGCCAGATAGAATGCCAGAAGGTATGCCAGAAGATATGCCAGATAGAATGTCAGATAGAATGCCAGAAGATATGCCAGATAGAATGCCAGAAGGTATGCCAGATAGAATGCCAGATAAAATGTCAGATAGAATGCCAGAAAATATGCCAGATAAAGTGCCAGAATGTTTGCCAGATAGAATGCCAGAAAATTTGAGTAGATAATATGCCAGAAGATATGCCAGATAGAATGCCAGAAGATATGCCAGATAGAATGCCAGAAGATATGTCAGATAGAATGCCAGAAGATTTGCCAGTAACATAATGTATTAAATGTCATGGTGGGGATCACACGAAGTAAAGTAATTTATTTTATCGAGTCATGGGGTGATCATTTCATTAGCTGAGCAGGTCCTATCAACTTTTGATTTCATGAACCTGTTCATTTGGGTTTCAACAAACTCTCATTTGCTCTCTTCGAGGAATGGCTACATCTATCGGCATACTATAAAGCAAAGCGGATTTGCCATCTTTGTCATTGTGAGATGGATGATCTCACGAGCCCTGCGAATCTGTTTCAGAAGACCCGGAACCAAACCATGCAGGAGTTTTTCACTCACTCAGTGAAAATTGGAGTCAAAAGTTTTTTGCCTGATATGGTGCCAGTTCACAAAGCAAGGTTTGACGTTATTTTGCAACCCATATATTTTGGCCACCAGAAAACCTATTAATTAGTTGTCGGGGAAAAGAGCAAATCTTGGACATGTCCATCGTGTGCTGGCCCCCAGGTCCGATATTTGATCTTCCCATGTTCAATTTCCACTGCATTCGGTTCTGCCAAATGCATGTCCTACACCTTGGTGTTGACCTACTTGTGGCTGGGAATATCTTATATGCGATTCTTCATGATTACACCCTATGGGGTTCAGCTGATGATGCTTCAAACATGAAACTGGTCCGTGCTTATTCTGCATTCAAGTCCTGGTGCAAAAACTTCAAGTGGCAGCATTTTGCTGGCATTTAGTTGGACTATTTTTTTTATCCAAAATGAACTTGTGGTTAAATGTTGAAACCTGAGAGAGAATGACACTATGCTTAGGCACAGTATGCCAAGATGGTCAGAACGTTCTCTACGAAGTAGACAACATCCCTATCCTGAATTGCAATCAAAGGCTTGGAACGTAGCTTGGCTCCTCTTCTGGGTGGTTATTTGTACAACTTATACAATTTAAATGTTAGATCTCAGCCCCCAATAGCTTTGTTACTTCACTGGCAGGCAAGGGTGACAATTGCTTGGCTGGATGATCTCACTACGGGGCTTAGTCGAGATGATCCTGATGATGAGCAAATGGGATTGATGCGCAAGACTGTGACACTTGGCTGTGGGTTTTGTGGGGGTGATGGTATTGAAAAACATATTACCAGCACAGTTTGCTACATATAATTTTACACAAATGACTAGATCATGGTGCTTGAGGTAATCACTACACATGTATATATATATATATTATTTTAATATATATATATATATATCATGCATATGGATCTGACCCTTCTTGTCCTTGAGCTCTTCAGATCTGAATAGGACAACACCATGTCCCGACACTCAGTCATGACCACCATTTGGGCATGGGATGGCACAAGCCAGCTGGTTTTCTGGAATTCCTTTTCTGCTTCAACAGCGTCATGTGTCCTCACTCTGTGTGGGAACGATGGACGTCGTCCGGCAAAACAAGGGTTTTCTCCGCCAGCGCACTGGAGTCGCCAAGTCCAGTCCAGCTCTTCCCTGTTCAGCTTTCTGTTTGCCCTCCATGGCAAAAGGGAAAGGAAGGTCAAGGTCGATGTGAAATTCTCGAAGCCTGTTCTGGTCGAAGCACCAGGCTTGTTGCAGCCCTTCGCCATCAAATTGATGGGTTTATCATCCAAGTAATTTAAAGCATCACTCTTCCCAACCCACATCCATGTGATGGCCTCCACCAAGGAACGGGCTCAACAAGTTCCACAGGATGTCCGAGTTGAATGATAGATACCTCAGCCAAAGTGTTGCTTCAAAAATGGTGGCAGCTTGTGAGCTTTGGCTTTGCATAGCCTGCATGTTGTTTCTTTGGTTGTCTTGCGATTGGCTTAAGGGGTTATGTAATATGGACCTGCATGTGGCTTACTATCAGTATCATGTTGTTCAATATGCACAAATCAATGCATATCCAAGGACTCGAGTATTATTGCGTATCTCTCTCTTGCTGAGAAAGCTGTTGCAGCCCGTCAACTTCGATGGCCAGTTCGGCCAAAAAAACATGTGATCTGATTGCAACAAAAACAGTAGTGTTCAGCTGTTTTCTAGATGTTATCTGGGTCCCAACTTGCCAAGTTGCACCTTCACTGGCACCAGTTGGTCCAAGGCTTGGCAAGAAATTTCTGCCATCCAGTGGTTGGAAAGCTGCTCGGCATGAACGGCGAGCACATTGCGAGAGTGGTGTGATGATACTTTGTGGGCTGTTGATTGGTTTAATGTGAGCTAAGGGTACAATAGCCGTTTTGCACACGGCTTTCGGTGTGAAGATTTTATCGGCAAGCTGACCAGTGTGATCCCTGGAACGCACAAAATGCGCCGATTGGAAGAATCTGCATTGACTACTTGGTATCTGGGGTTTTTTGGCTTGACTTACCATATTTTCTCTCATGTGCCTTTTTTTTCTGTGGTCCCAATTACTTACTTAAGTGGCCATCTGAGGTTGAAGAACAAAGTTCACTCCAAAGCTTTCGATGGTGCAATCCCGGGATGACTTCAACAATTGCAAGCTTGAGCAAGGGGGAAAAATGAGATCGGATTGCGATTTGTTGCCTCATGGGGTGCATGTTAAATAACTTGAGGAATATACAAAATCATACAAAATCTACAATTTGATGAGCATGTACTTGGACCCAAAACCTCACTATATATACCCTAGCTCCCAGAACACTTCTCTGAATGCACTTGGGAGCAGCTGGGTATATATAATATATAATATTTATATATATAATATATAATATATATATAATAAAAATATATACAATATAATATGTGTAATGATATACAATAATATATAAATAATGATATTTATATATAATAATATAATAACAATAAATAAACATAATATATGTATATATATATATAATATAAGTTACATTATATAATATAAAAAATTGTGTTTATAATACATATATATATATTGTATATACACTTTACATCATGTTTGAATGTATCATTGTAAGAATAATGATCCCAAAAGAAAAGGATTTTTGTTGGGCGATGTTCAATGCTTGGAACATGGCAATTTGTTCCATCTGAAGCCCTGAAGCCAGTTATCATTTGTGAGTGGCTTTATCCAAGCAATTCTGTGGACATTCACTTTGGATAAATATCCAGAGGCAACTTGTTTGGAAGAATGGTTCGTATCTAATTTATCTATCAATATCTTTAGCGCAGGCATTTTTATCCAATTTTCCAAAGATGTTGGGAAAATATCCAGTTCAAACATTATACACACTAAAAACATTACATACATAATGGTTGTGATAACCATATGTTGTGGATTGCCTTATCCAGTTAGACAACTTTAAGCATCACTCTGTTGGGAAAAAACATGTTGATACAATAGCCACGCATGGATGGTGTGGCCTATTTTAGTTGCCAAGTCATTTGCAGACAATTACCCAGTGATAGGTAACACACCAATAATGGGTATTGAGGTGATTAAGATAGGTATTGATAATCCCCATATGAATCCCCAATCACAATATCCTATAATCACAGTTTCGTAAGTTTTATGGGGATTCAAGATAGGCACACCAAGGACTTGGGTCACCTGGGCGCATAGCTTGGGGATTTACATCTCGATGTGAAAAAAATCCATGCCATCCAACAAAGGGTTTGATCCCCAATGACTTTCGCATATATATAATACATATCCGGCATATCAGCATGTTGTTTATTTAACCACCAAGCCGCTATTTAAATCGTGGCCGTGGCTGTGTTTGTTGATGTCAACCTGGTCACCTGTGATCCACAACAGCGGAGTTCGCATTTCGGGAAGTTTCCGAAAAGCGACGTGTTTTCTTGATTTGTTCCTGAGACTACAGTTATGGCCATTTATTAGTTATAACTGGTTATAAATGGGATTATACATTCTATAAATGGAGTTATAAGTACTTATAACTGGTAAAGGGCCTTAACTGTAGAGCGATTATTTATTCCTCTGGATACTGATAAAGCAACCCGGGGTGTGCAGAAATCATTGCTATGTAATGAAGGAAAGATCATGAATCATGACGTGTTTATACTTTTTACGCCTGCTCCACTGAAGCACTGCAGTTGACCAAGATGTCCAGTTGTGTTTTTCTTGTTTTTTTACTCACACCCGTTCGCACTCCCCTATGGTAATTTAACATAGCCATGGAACATCAATTTGTTTAGTATATATATATATATATCATCTATCAACGGCAATGTTCATCCATCTTCCAGAGCTATGTTGAATGGTGATTTACTTATTACCTCCTTCCGCCATGTTCCATGGCGGAGTGTGTTGTGCCAGTTTCTTCAGAGGAACGTCACTTTTCATGATGGTCAGGATTCGGGGAAGCATCAATGGCAGTTGTTTTTTGTAATTGAATTATTATAATTCAGCTTAAGGTATTTACTGATTGGTGGTTTGGAACATTTGGAGTATTTTCCCATATATTGGGAATAGTAACTCCAACTGACTATATAATATTTTTCAGAGGGGTTGAAACCACCAACCAGTTTATATAATTATATATTCTATCATTATTCAATGTATATTATATATATATATATATACATAATATCTATATATGTTTATTTGTATATATATATATATATATATACATATTCTTATATATACTTATTCTTACAGATTCAGCATTGATTTCTCCTTGGCCATGTTAGAATTGCCGTAGAACCGTAGAACCGAAGGCGCTTCCCAAGGACAGGGCCAGTGGCAACGTTCGCTGCAGTTTCTCAGGGGCGTCGAAGATATGCGTGGCCTGGCGGCAGCGCGGCAGCGCCGATCTGCGGCAGTTGGACATCGTAAAAAAGATAGCCTCAGCTAGTCATCGTTCACCGTGATTGGTGATGGGAAATAAACCTGCAAATGGAGGTTTTGATGGGAACAGTTATCATACATACATACGTACGTACGTACGTACATACATACATACATACGTACGTACGTACGTACATACATACATACATACAGACACACAGACACACAGACACACAGACACACAGACACACAGACACACAGACACACAGACACACAGACACACAGACATACAGACAGACAGACAGACAGACAGGCAGACAGGCAGACAGGCAGACAGGCAGACAGGCAGACAGGCAGACAGGCAGACAGGCAGACAGGCAGACAGGCAGACAGGCAGACAGGCAGACAGGCAGACACACAGACACACAGAAACACAGAAACACAGAAACACAGACAGACAGACAGACAGACAGACAGACACAGACAGACAGACAGACAGACAGACACAGACAGACACAGACAGACACAGACAGACACAGACAGACACAGACAGACACAGACAGACACAGACAGACACAGACAGACAGACAGACAGACAGACAGACAGACAGACAGACAGACACAGACAGACACACACAGACACACACAGACAGACAGACAGACAGACAGACAGACAGACATACATACTTACATACGTATGCATCATCGTGCATCCATGATTTTTACCTGCTGCACATGAGATGCATTCAATCCCCTTGCCCGCCAGCTTTCTAAAGGATACTGTTAAAAATACACGTGACCTCCAAGATTCCTTTCCATTGGTCTATTTTGTTTTGGGAGTGTTTCATATTTGCCATATATGATCATAAATGTATGCATCTATTTAGATAGATACAATGTAGAGCCCCCGAAGATAGGTAAATTGGATGAATTTGGTTTCTAAACACAATAAGTGTGAGATTTGTGATGCATATATCCACAGCTGTATGGATGTTTTAAATAGGTTGCAGTCAAGTTTGACTCGGTTGCCCATGACAGATCATCAAAGAAAACGTTTTTGTTTGTATTACGTAGTATATCATCTTATATATAATTATATAAATATATTTACAGACAGGTTTATAACAAACAACCATCACAGAAAAAATGATGTACTACAAACCATATATTTTATCAGCCATCATATTATTGGCCATGAGGGATAATCGGCTGACTATACCCAGCTCTCAACTAAATAATCAGAACTTTTGATCATATCAGATGCGAAAATCCATCAAATCGATAATCAGAGAATCGACGTATCAAGGTATGATGGTAGTTCTTGGCCATCAAATTACATAATCAGCCATAATATTCATATTAAGCTGTAAGACAAAGAAACGATCTAAAAAATAATTTGTTATTTGCATAATCAGACCTGTTGATGATAGATTCATTGGATTGATTTCAGGGGAAATTGACAGGAAACCAATCATATTGATGGTAAAACCGGGGATGCATGGTGATTTTGTACGAGATTTCATGGATTTTCATGGTGTTTTCATGGGATTTAGTGGAAAATTTTGGGTGATCTAATTGGGTTAAGGGTACTTTCAGCATCATCCGGTGGACCGTATAACTGGTCAAATTTTTAGAAAATATCTCTTTGTATATGGCAAAAGAAACGAAATGGGAACTTACGATCGCCAAAATGTCAATCCAGTAGCCCGGTCCGTGGGCGCTCATCCTCCAAGTACTTGGGGAAGCATTCCAGCTACTTAGCCATGGAAGCCATGGGCCATAGAAATAGATGATTTTCCCAGCTAGAAACCTACATTAATAAGGGATTTTCCATGGCTATGTTAAATAACCAGATGGTAATGGATTAATGGCATGTTTTAGTAGCAGAACATGTGATTTCATTGGTTTAAACTGGATTCAGTGGGATTTATTTAGCCAAGTTGGCGCAAGGTAGGTTAAGATTTATGGTGGATCCAAGCATAGATAATGGGATTGTATAAACCACCAAAAAAGCTGGTGTGCATCTCAGGACTCGTAAGTCGGCAAATAACCATATCAAAATATATCAAATACAATACCCAAAATGAATGGGTTGTTTATATATATATATATGTATATGTATATACTATATATATTTATATGCATATACATATATATATATATATATATAATAGTTTACAGGTATGAACCACGGATCCTCTCTGGAATGCACATCCTTTTGTCACAGGTGTCTTTCTGCCCCGGAAGTTCCACGGAACCTGGCGCTTGGAAGAGCGGGGCCCGGCCGCGCGGCGCGCGGCCGCGCCTCAGGCGTGTTTTTTTTGTTCAGCAGCAACAAATTGGTGGTTTTAGCCATCAAAAAATAGGGGAATGAGGTTTTAACCATCATGTTAACCATCATTTATAGGGTATTTATGGGGTTTAGCTATCACTTGTGGGGGTTTCAAGCCCTGTTGGTTGATAAGGATAAGTTTGTCATATCATAGGGACTTTACATGTTTCATTACCATCAGCATGTGGAAATGTGTTGGGTGAACATTGTGGGAAGCACCAAAACCCTATGGGGATTCAACAATGATTTACGAGGGAATTGTGAGTTCTAACAATCATTTATGGGGTTTTAACCCAATATCGTGATTTCATAGGGATTGTATTTTTATATTGACACCAGATCTACCCCGGTTGATGATTAGTTCGTCAATAGGGATTTTAACCATCAACGTATGGGAATGTTCGTAGGGATATTGATGAAATTCTAGTCAAACACATGGTGAAACATGGTGACTTAACAATCAACAATATATGGGGATATAAGTAGATATAACTGATACATGATACAGCCTATTGTTGATGGGCGTTATAAAGAGTTATATACCACCTGGTTCTTGGGGTATCGCAATGACGCATATTTGCGAAACATATCAACCAACTAGTATAGTGAGATGGGATAGGGGTATTCTTAGCGGCTCGAATTGTGAACACATGGTGAAACATGGTCAAACATACTGAACATGTGATATATATATATAATGTGATATAATAAGCGTTTCTGAAGATGGGGTGTATGTCTTTTAAAGGACCAATTTTGTATAAGGACTATGGTGATTAAGCTTTGGAATTCGGGATACCCTATTTTCAACCCAATGGTGAAACGTGGTACTCGTAACTTCACAATCATGCGGATTGGAGTGTAAACTCTGTCGATTTTGGTGTATCCAATGGATCTTGGATTTGGGTGCGAAAATTCTGTAACGAAATGGCAAGTTTAACAGGGAACATGGTGCTTAACCAGCAGATGATGTCATTTTCAGGCAAGCCCAACTCGGATAGATCGATAGATGTTTTTACCTTTCAAACTGAGCATACGTTTGTGATCGTTTAAGTAATACGTGATACCTGATTTTTGAAAGGTAATTGTGGCACCCAAAGTCCAAATCCCCCGTCATAACAATTCTAAACCAAACATGTTAATGACCACAATGAAACTGCAGAATGGTAATTAAAGCACAGGACTAGTACTTGTGTGCTTGATGGTTAATATGGGGAATCCTCCCAAATATGGCTTACTTTCAGTTTAAGAAGGCCAGCAAGTACAAGTAAATGCATGTAAATAGCTAATCATGCAATTTTCGTAGCCATTCTAACATGTTTCACTATGCAATGCAAGGAGAGGTAACTACATGCCACAAACCTTGTGTGACTTCATAGTTGATCATGTTTCTATATTGGCACCATGAATAGTTGATAATACATAGTGTCATAGTTCTTTATAACAATTATAGTAAATTATAGTAATTGATAATCATAGTTCATACTTCTTCATACACATCTTTATAGTTAAGTACATGTAAAACAATGATAATAGTTAAGAATGTAGAAATAATAAGCATAGTATCCGTTTCAAACCTCCCCTTGGCTAGGCCCCTGATGCCCGGGAGCAGAAGCAACGCCTGCTGAACCACTTGGGTTGCACTGACCAGCCGGAGCTGTGCAGAAAAGCAGCAATGGCCCTGCGAGGTGTCGAGCAGTGGAAGGGATGCCCGGGATGGTGATATGTTTATTATTATGGGATATTTAATGGTGAATAATGGTTGATAATTAGTGTTTAATAGTGGTTAATAGTGTTTAATTTTTGTTAATAGTGTTTAATAATGGTTAATAATTAGTGTTTATGGTTAATAGTGTTTAATAATTGTTAATAGTGTTTAATAATGGTTAATAATTAGTGTTTAATAGTGGTTAATAGTGTTTAATAATGGTTAATAGTGTTTAACGATGGGATATTTCATGAATTAGCCGCTGCTGTCATCAAACGTGGCTGGCTGGAAAATCTCTAAACAAAATGTAGGTGTTCATGGGAAAATCACCGAACTAAATGGGTGACTTTCCAGCCAGCCACGTTCCATTACCGGAGTCTAATCTGTTTTCTGGAATTGAGTTTCGCAACCACATGATAGCACTGAAATGCACTGACATATATATATATATTATATATTATATATATATATATTATACTTTTATGCGTCAGTCTGTCTGAAAATAGAGGATACCCACAAACAGCAATTTGATAGGGAAAGTCAAGATAATCAGATAATCCTTGGGAATCGGTTGTACTCTATTTTTTCAGACAAACCCATGAAGCAACGCTGAAAAAATGGAAAAACAAGTTACCACTTGAAACTAGTAGGATCTGATTCTTCCAAGTTGCCATAGATATAGCTACCACAGCTAAGATAGGAGGGGTATTTACACTACCTAGGAGGGGGGACTTAAGGGCTGATATTGGTTAATATATCATTGGGTAGATATACTGGTGGTTGGTCATAGTTGTTTATTTTTTAGTGGCAACCCCCCAGTTGTGTTTGTTGGGTTGCAACCACCATTATAGATGTATCTACTAGATACCATAGAGTTTTCCTAGTCATGTGCACTAGCTAGGCTATTTAGGGGGTGCCACCTCATAATTTAATGTGTTCCTTTTTTAAGACAGCCAAGTCTTGGTATGTTTATATTATGTAGTGTTGTATGTTGTTTTAGTCAGTAAACAATGCACACTTGATAAAACATATGAATAATTTGCAGCATTATTATGTTTGGCTCGAACACTTTATTTTAAGTTGTTGAACACAGAAGTAAGTGGACAAACTACTGGTGAAGGGTAGAATGCATACTTCCGTGCTATGGCGGTTATATACTTATGAACTTGGGTGAATGGTAGACCAGTGGGTGATAAAATATATGTGTTTCCGAGCGGTAATTGCAGGTGTTTCGAAGATGGGGAGGAGTTGCAGCGTTCTATCTTGTTGGGGATAGCGTACTGTACCAACCTTTGGTGTTCGAACAATGACTCAATCGGTTCTTCTCGGAATAGTTCATAACCAAGGAACACTTGATGGTAAACTGGAAACACATCAATTGTTTCCCATTTTCATTATAAGCTGGAACCTTGATCCAATATTGATGCCATTTTTTTAATTCACTGATTGTTTGGTTGAAAGGTCCTGCTCAGGCAATAAGAATCAAGTGATGATGATGAGCCCAGGTAACTTCACCTTGATACCCAAGGAGTATCGGTTCCTTGGCCACAAGTCCGTTGCATGTTGTTTGCTACAAAGCGGGGACCCAAGATAGGTTGCATGTATGGTAGATTTATAGATTATATATATATATACACGATATAACTAGTGACTAGACTTGAAGAGGTTTATAAATCCACTTAGAATACACACAATTCAAACCGGGGGTGGCCACATGTCGGATTGCACAATGATGAGCTTCACAATTTTGAAGGGAAGGGTGTACTTTTTTCGTTGCTTCCCAAAAACTTTCAACACATGTAAATCGGGCAACGGTGTGGGTGATGCGTTTACCCGTTTGCCTTGTCTTTGATTGAGGGCATTCCTCAGCTGGGTGTCGGTCAAACTTGGGATGAGAAAATAATGATTGGTTGACGTGGACCCAGTGGCAATGATTCTAGTTGATGACATTTTTTTGGCAATACAAATCAACACTCCCCTCGCAATTTTGATAGTCCAGTTTGCTTATAATTCATATGGTATTCAACCATTCCCCCCATTTTAGTGACCTCCCAACGACGAAGATCTTAATAAGCTGAGCTGGCTAAGATCAAAAGCTGGCCTTATACGTAGTTGTTGGTGATGAAGATTTGCTCTTAAGAAGCCTTCACCATTGCTGTGAACCAATACACCAGTGAGTAATAGTTTTCGATAATTGCGTAATCACAATCCCGATGACACATATAGTATCAAATAATATCAAATAATGCCATACTTATTATGTTGCTTGAAATCCATATTATCCCCACTATATAATTATTGTAATATCTACTCATAATCTTATGATATACAATATCTATGGCTTATGATAATTCACAATTAAAGTCTATTATAGTCCATGATGTGTATGTTTTTGCTTACTATAGCATTACTGTTGTACGATCATCACAATATGATTGTTTTTTGATCGATTGACACTAATCCAGAAAATAGTGTTTTAATCAAAAACAATATGGCATTGAAATTTATCTGTATGTTTTTACCATAACCATAACCATGTTGGATAACCATGGTACCATGGTACCGTGGTTATGGTATGTTATGGTATTGATATTACCTGTTGGATGACCACTCCCAAGATCGCCTGAGGCAGATCATCTGTGCCTATGGACAGGTGCTTTCCTGGAAAGAGGCGTAACGGCGTAGCGGCGTAACGGCGTAAGCGCAGGAGAAAAACGCCCGGTTGGTTGATGAGGTCGTCTGGAATAGTCAGTTTTCAAAGGGATTTTGAGATGTTTAACCATCTACATATGGAGACAGACTGGTTGGTGGTTTGGAACATGAATTTAATTTCCATAATACATGGGATAATCCTTCCCATTGACTTTCATATTTTTCAGAGGGGTTGGTATACCACCAACCAGTAGATGTGGATATAACTCATAAATCATGGTTGGTTGATGATTAGGCCGCAGAGGAAAAACTCGGGATCATCACAATAAATACCGGGGCGACGATCCGTGCGGATTTTTGAAGATTTCTCAACCAGTGTTAACCGTTAACCCCTGTCTTTAAGGCCATGTATGTGAATCTAATTTGTGTAGACCTTTGCAAAGAGCTAGCTTTATATATGGGCTTGATATGGTTGATGATCAACCTGATCTAACCCGAAACGGGACCAATTCAGCACTCACAAAAATCCAAACATTGCATGATGAGAACGTAACGACAAGAATGATGAGTCTATTTGCGGTCCCGAGGATTTTGTAGGCATGATTCAGTGCCAGTAGTGTATATAAATGCTACCTTGCTAGGAATATGGTACTGTAGATGTATTCTTGTGTATCAATGTAGATGAGGGATACAAGAGACATATACTGTGTATATCACGACTTATGATCTTTATTCCATGTTCAACGTTCCTCCACCAGAAACCATCTGAGAGAAGACATGAAACATCCACCCTTTTGTGTGCTGACCGGCAGGCTTTGGGTGTTCTGGAAGAAATGAGAGCGAAGGGACACAGTCCAGCATTGGAGAAGCTCGACTTGGTCTCGTTCAAGCGTGGAGGTGCAAGGTGAAAATGAACATGGCTAACATGGGTTGATCTTTCACCGTAGAGGTGTAAGACCTTTTCGTATTTTGCTACCTCAAGATGATCAATGATTTTGAGCAACAAACGTCGAAGCTTTTGGGGAGTGCTCCAGAGCACTTGGAGTTGATACTTCGAGGGTCGGGGGTCGGCAGACAACCATGGTCCAACCGAAAACTCCGTTGAGTTAAGCCAACTCCAACTTACTGGGTTCAAAATGAGTGTCTTGGTGGCACTTCAAAAAGTCGTTTTGACATTGTGGGGTGATGTTCTTTCTTATGTAGACCCTCAGTTCTCCGACATTGGGTAACAAATGAGGTATTTACCCCAACAACTTGCTAAGTTTCCTATTTGAAACATAGGTAATTTGAGGGTCAACAAAGTGTATAATTATGTCTCCCAATCAACAGCGGAGTCACCTGAGGCATTTCGCTGGCGCGATGATGGCATGCGACAAGGCTAAGCAATTGAAGAAGCTCCTCATCCTTCTGTAGCTGAGCTTCACTTGTGGATCTTGTGGCCTGGAAGATGGCTGGAAGATGAGCTGTGAATGTCTTGAAATGCAACAAATCACCAACAAAAATGGGGGTATAACGGGTATATAATTATATCATGTGGTTTTGTGATGCTATACAGTACATAGATACATGTAGATGTCAGCTGGTGTCTGGTGGATCCTGTTGTCAGCTATTCAGTTAGGGACGATGATCCCAAATGCCTCCGATGATCCATTCACCGTTTTTTCCCAGGCAGGAGATGCAGAGAAGTTCAATCCTTCCAGATGTCATGAGCTACACGGTCTCTTGGATGCCTTTTCAAAGCCGTCGTCACAGTGGCGAAGACATGTTCAACGGGGTAGCCATGGGTCCCCAGAATTTGAAAAACAATCGCATTTCGAGGGATTTGATCCATGTGGATTTTATTACATGTGTAGCTCCAAAAATTCACATTTAATGACATCAAATCCCTAGTCATTGAATGACATTCTAGGGATTTGATATAAATGTGGATTTTCCCAGCACGAAACCTGATAGTCAATGGTTCAAGGGCGGACATGACTCAGGACATAAAACGAAACGACGCGCCACCGAGTCGTCAAAGCCATGATCAAAAGTCTACCCATATTGGGGGATGGTCAGGTCACCATCAATATGCAACGAAAAAATGGTCAGTTTCTGAGGATTCCCGACATGTTGGGATGGCCACCACCTATGAAAATCGAAAATGTGACCATGGCACTGCCATACCAGGCCTGCAAGTTGTGAGGTTGGTCCACCTCAACACGCAGGCATTCTATCATGATCACTTAACAAGGTTTCTGAACATTGTGGGAAAACCATGGAAACCCCCTAAAGCCACTGGCGCGAATCATCAAATTTTCCTCATTCAATGGTGATTTATTTGGTACACCCCATTCTTGAACGAACCCAAACCCTGCCTTGAAAGTGACATGGTCCGGTGCTCGAGGCGCTGTTGAGCAGCAGTGCCAAAGAAAAGCAATGGGCACCTGGGCGGTGATGAAATAGGTACCATGTCTGGATCCATGGGAAAATCTTGGGCAGCGAGGGATTGATACGGTAAATCATTTAATCGATCTTCAGATTTTTGTCCATTAAAATGTAAAATGAATCACTGGGTTACCTTCTGGTTATTTAACATAGCCATGGTTAAGCCATGGCCCATAGAAATAGATGGTTTACCTATTAAAGATGGTGATTTTCCATGGCTATGTTAGTCATAACCAGATGGTAAAATATGGTAAAATGATTAACTGAGTTAAGTCCAAATGCATTTGGATACTTTTTTGGATAGTTCACAGTCCAGATGTGATCAGACTTTTTCTTCCATGGCTTCTGGTTGTTGGGAGCCCGAGCTGGATTTTTCCGACCGAGCTGGCATACCTTGCAAAGAAGCAACAGCACGGCATGTAAATGACATTGATATACACATAATATAGTAGCCCCAAAAAAGATAGAACAGTAAAACCCCACTAAAATACTGGTAAATCTCTGTTCTATTCTTTTGGGAATTACCATACACGTGGAAATACGTTAGTTGTCATGACATACAGTCGTGACATATGGATGCCATGTATGATGATGATAGTTGTTTCATAGACTGATGGTGTCATCACGCTTCCTATTTGATAACATGTTGGTGGACGGGATGTTCCACCAAGAAGAATGAGAGCACCTGGGGTATCCCTTGATATCTCCCACTGATTTGTTTTGCGCCCAAAATGGGCCCCAGCATCGCAGGTCTGAACCAGATGACGTCAGATAAAACATTCCAGCACTACCCCTAATACCATTTTTGAACACTGCATTGACCAACATTAGTATCATTCTTTGGAGCGAACATTCAGGAAAAGATATAGTTTTCCAGGCAAATCTATGCCTAATCATTTGCACTTGTATGTATTACATGTAGTTATTTAATATATATATATATATAATTATATATATAATATTTTATATTATATATTATATATGAATTATATTATATATACTGGTTGGTGGTTTCAATTGTTTTTTTATTTCCCATAATATATGGGATGTCATCCTTCCCATTGACGAAGTCCATCATTTTTCAAGATGGGCAAATTGCACCACCAATCTCCACGTTCTGCCGAGGAGCTGGCTTTGAGTACCTGGTGTCACATGGAATTCGTGGACTTAATGGCCTGCAGCAAGGTGCGCTTCGGCGACTGGGAGATGTTGGCTATACATATATAGACATTTATGGTTGACTATACATATACAAATGGATATATATGTGTATATATACATATATATATATAAGGATGGCTATGATATATATATATATATATATTATACAGTACACATATATGTATACATCAACATCTATAAACATACTGTATATATATATATATGTATATCCACACATGTATATGCTTCTACGATCGACATTGAGATCTTGAGCGCCCAGAGTTTGCGATGCCTCACTTGCCATGGCTGAAAATGCTGTGGAAAACCTCATCGTTGATGGGAAAACACTTGGAAAACATGGTTCCTGTAGACTTTCCCACCAAGTATGCTGGGAAAGTAACCATTTATAATATATGCTTGCTACATTTCAATGCCTATACTGTAGTGATATGATGAAAGAGACCAACCCACCCCTACATAAGCATTTTGATGGGGAAAATGAGGCTCACAACCATGGGATAAAAAAGCAGAAAGGGGTGTTGTGAGCGCTAAAAAAAGGAACTTTTGGGGATATATAGCCTTGATACTATGGATGATATCATTTTTTTTTTCGCTCACAACAGCCTGTGTAAGTATTGTGAATCATTTGATAGACTAAGCAACCCATGTCCGCTGTCTGCTGTCTAACCCGAACTACAAAATCCTCCAACCCGAACTGCGCAATCGTCTAACCCGGATTGACTAGCGACCTGAGCGAACCAAAAAAAACAAAAAAAACAAAAAAAACAAAAACAATGTTTCCACAACTACTCTGATGTCTGGACTAGTTGCCAAATCTTTGGTTTTTTTGTTTTTTTTGTTTTTTTTGTTTTTTTTTGTTTTTTCGAAGTTTTGCATCCCAGGATTAATCCAGATTAATCCACATCATTTCTACTTCATCCCTTCTCTAACGCATCATCTGTCAAATAAGCAGTCATCTTTGTGTCACAGCTGTCATCTGTAGCCTTGCCTTTCTTTGCTTCGTCGTCATCATGGCTGACCTCTTCAACCAGGCGTGTGTAGCTGCAGGGTGCCTTCAATGCACGAGCTTGGAGCATCCTGTGGGTCGCGTGCTGGAACCGACGTATGAGCTGACAGCCTTGCCATTGAAGCCCATCGAAGGCAACACCAAGCTGAAGACTGCAATTGAAAAGGTGCTCTATGAACCCACGGAGGGTGATGAGCTGGATACCATTGCAGATCTGGTCAGCAGCAAGTCATACCAGAATCTTCCAGAGCCTTTGGCCCTCAAGGATGCCCTGCCCATACCCTTCACTTTCCAGCTGGTCTTCCGCAAGCAGAATGACACCACATACGAAGTCCTGAAGCATTACATCTTCTCCCAGAAGATTGATGTGCGCGGGCTGCAGCGGGTTGCTACTGGAGATCTCTTCACCATAGACTATGGCAAAAATTTCCGGTCAGGCTCTCAAGGTTTCCAGTACCTGCTTGAAAAGGTTGCCGACTATGCCATCCTTGCTTTCCAATTCACAGCAAAGCCCAAAAGCAAATGCAAGGAGAAGTCTGCCTTGGAGCAAGGCTTTTCCTACATCCAGAGTGAGGGCCCCAGGAGCAACATGAACAACCAGTGGACTGAGTGGGCAGAAATAGAGGTCAACCGGGAAGGAAGCCCAATCTATGGCTGGAACACTAGCTTGGTCAAGGAGTCTCTCAAAGGGTATGCCACTGGCAATGTCTTTGTGCAGCCCACCTTCAACTTCTATCTCACCATGCATGACCTGAGCGCCTGGTTTCTGGAGGATGTCATCTTTCCCTTGCTGCCAGACATGAAGAACAAAACATTGGTTCTTCTGAGAAATGCGGGAGCAGGGAAAACACCAGCTGCTTCGGCAATTGCAATGGCTTTCTCTGAATATTGGCTGTTGCGCGGTGACACGGCTGAGACCATGCAGCCAAGTTTCCGCATTGCCTCCAGCTTTGATCAGCTCCGTGGAGAACCTGGTCTTCGTGAGCGTCCAGACATCTTGGATGATGCTGACATGAGCCAGCAAGCCTTGCCCAAGTTGAAGGCATTCCTGGATAGTTCCTTGGAGGAAGCCTACACAGTCGAAAGGTGGACCACCACAAAATTTGTCAAGAACCAGCTCAGGATCCTTTGTGACAACCGGGTCAATGGCAAAGCTGAAGATAAGCTGAAGCCAGGAGAAAACACCATCCCGTTCAGTCACTTCTTGGACCTCATTGCTCCAGCTTTCCCTGATAAGGCTGAGAGGCAAGACATTGTGGCCTGTCTCAAGCGTGCACATTTCATTGTCAACTTGGACTTTGCCACCTATGTCCGTCCAGCTGGAATTGGTGAAGGTCCTGTTGCAGTGGTTCGATATCCAGAGGATGAGAACAACCGCCAGATCACTGACTTCATCTCTGCTGATGGCAAAAAGGTCATTGCTAACATGAAAGATGGAGACAACACACCTCCGACCGATTGGATGTCCAGAAGGCAGTGGTCCCATGATCTTCTGAGTTTGTGCTTGGAGACCAAAAAGACTATCCCAAGAATCCAAACTGTGCTACGGGCAAGTCCTTTTGGAGGAGAGAGAGTTCGCAAAGAGATCAAGCCGCGTCTGCCAAGCTCCGGTCGCTTCTGTGTCCCACCGCCTTCGGTTCTTCAAGTTCAGGAACAAGGTGTAGCACCATGTTCTTCCCAGAGCCCTGCTCCAACACCGCATCAGATTGCCCCAGCCTTGGTCAAGGTGAAGAAGGAGCCTGGCACCTTCCAATCATTGAAGAGGATGCATACAAAGGTCATTGAGCTGGATTCACCTTCGCCTCAACCAAAGAAGACGCAATGCCTTGCTGCTTCATATGCTGCCTCTCCAGCTTCCGATGGCCTCCCTGAAGTCGGAGAGCAGGATGACTTTGGCTTCCCTGGGGTTGGAGAGGGTGATGAGTGAGTGGCAGCCTTAGATTTTGGTGAAACATAGATCATTGGGTCTACAAGCTATAGGCAAATACAGCTTCATGTGGTCAAGGAAAAAGTTGTCCTCTTGCCTTCAAATGCGCCAAACAAACACAGTTCTTTGGATGTCATCATAGGCAATGCAAAACAAAATCACTGCACTTGATGTCCTTGCTCATAGTCATACTCACTTGTTCTGTCACTTTCCTGTGTCTGCAGTGCTGGGTTCCAAGTCTCCTTGCATAGTAGTCAGACAACATGGCGAAGACTCGTCAGTTGCAAGTGAAGACGCCTCGTCCTGTGAAGAAGGTTCACATCTACAAGTCTAGCCTTCAGAAGTGCTCATTTTGTCAACGCGCTCTCATTTGCAAGAAGTCCCGCAGTATTGCACAAGGGCGGCTCTTCAGCAGTGAGTCCATCACTGCCATTGCTTCTCAGGCCAAATATTGTCCAAAATGTCGGCTCTACATGCGCTGCAACTTTGTCTGGCTTGGAGGACAGAAGATCAATTGCATGACCTTCAACCAGCTTCAGAAGAGTGGGCTGTATTTTGTTACTTCCAACACAGCCTTCACCATGAAGTACCTGGAGCTATGCTACCTTCGTCTTCTGCGTGCCAAGACTAGCCCTGGTCAAGAGGCAGCTGTGAGGAACATTGCAGATGGAGATCATGTTGAAATGTTCTGGAGTGACTCCTTGCGCAAGCATCTGTTGCATGCCCTTGAGGGGTACGCAGTGGCCAAGCGCCAGCCAGATAAGGTTGTTGAATTCAACCTTGACTTTCCGGCCAAGACTGTGATCAAAATCACCAAGCCAATCATGCTCTTTCCTCCATCTGTGCCTGTGACTTCTGTTAGCTTTGATGGTCACTTTGGAGTCCATCGAGCTTTGTTGACACCTGTGGAGTCACCTCGACAAGTTCCTCTCAAAGGACGGCCCATGAAGTTGCTCTATGAGCATGACCGTTCCTGTCACTGTGCAAAGAAGGATTCCGTTCGACAAGTTCTACCCGATCGCACTGCTGGTTGGCAGTTTGCTGTGGACCCTTGCACTGGGAAAGTGCTAGGTGCCTATGAACATCGTATCAATGAGCGGAATGAAGATAAGGTTGACCTCCTTCAGCAGGTGCTCTCTATGCCCTTGGTTTCTGCTGACCTCTTGCTCCATGATGATGCATGCCACTTCGAAAGTTATGTCAAGAAGTATGAGTGTGAAGGCTTTGAGAACATCAAGTACTACATGGTTGATTGCTTCCACATGAAAAACCATCGTTGCTCCAAATCAACTTGGACCCCCAAGGAAAAGAAACGTGCCAAGAATGCCCGCACCAACATGTTTGAGACCTTCAATGCCTGGATTCGACCATTGAATTTCTTTCTCAATAGTCTGCGCCCGCATTCTCACAAATTTTGGGTGGAGGAAGCAATTCTCTTCCATAACCAATATGCTCAGCCCTTGTCATCTATCTTGTCATCTAGGAAGAATGCAAAGTCTCGTTCCATGCGTCCCAAGTAAAACTTGGCATTGTATATCACACAATTTTGTAAAGTCTTAGCTGACTTTGTTGAAAGCAATGCGTGTCAAAATCAAACCAACTTCCTAATTAAGATCACTTCAAGAACTAGTCAGTTTAGGATTAATCCAGATTAATCCTTAGTCATGTTATATCTTGGTGCCTTCACTAACATCTATGTCTCATGCTCTGCAGGCAGCAAACATGATGTGCTGTATAAAAAGGGCAGCTTGCATGACAAATTTTGGCGCTCACAACACCCCCCTCCCTAAAAAAGATATGTTGTTCCATTCAGTTGTGGCCCTTTACCAGTTCTAAGTCAGAAAGTCACCCCATGTTCTTTTTCATTATCACTCCATCCAAAAACCAACAAAATCACTGCTAAAGTCAAGGACCATGTTTTCCTCCAAAGTTGAGTTCTCCCAGCCATGTCACAGGTCATGTCGGCCTGCGCGAAAGCTGGGAAATGGTGGACCACCTTAGCTTTGCTTCAAGGCGTCTCCGAGCGTCGTTTGGTGCCGGATGAGGTTCTCATAGGCGCGCCAGGGATGGATACGGTGCCAGCTTGGAATCGCTAGGTTCTTGGTAGATACCCTCTGGTAATGACTAACGTAGCTATTGAAAATGGCCATTTATAGTGGATTTTCCCATTAAAAATGGTGATTTTCCATAGCTATGTTAATTTACCAGAGGGTATAAGATATGTCTGGGTCAATTTGATCACGACCGAACCCTGTTCGCCCGTTTTGCCTGGAATCATGGTTTATGTTTTTGGGAAATCATCGTTAAATGGTCGAACTTTTCAGGTTAGTGAAATATTATAATTTACCCAGATATATGGAAGATGTGGTAGATGTTTCAGATACATACAGTCCTACTTTTTGACTGACTGAGTAACCAACATATACAGTACATGCATACAAAATTGTAATATACAATTACAACAAAAATAGAACACAGAAATGATTTTAAATTTTAATCATCATGTTTCTTGGTTTTACATAGAATTTTGTTTATTACATCCCTTGAACTTTCTCTTTTCTCCAGGTTGCTCCATCTGAGAGCAGCCAAATTGGACCTAGTTGATTAGCTCTATTATCCCATGATATTCCCTTTGCAATCACCAAAATCATCTTTGCAAATCCCCTTACTAGCCTTACTCTTTATACCCCAGTATATAGATATCATTAGATATCCAAGTATATCCCCCGTCAGGTATCCCCATTTCTAAATCAACGTCAGGTATCGCCCTAGAGTCCCTCGAGAAAGCCCGGAAGTGGCAGAAAGCCCTGGCCCTGCTGCGATCCCTGGAGCCACCGATGCGCAGAGAGCCGCCGAAGGTGGGATGGTGATGGGAATTCAATGGTGACATGATACGATTTAAGATATTTGCTAGACAAAAATGCGATGGTTTCTGATATTTAATGTTGTGTTTAGTTATTATGATATATTTTTAAAAATTAATTCAGTGATTATATATATAATATACACACATAGAAACACGTTAATGTATTTTGGGTTTTTGACTAAATATGGAGAGTTTTTTCCACCCAAATTGCACCATTGAACAATGGGGGAAATGCGGTTCAAAGCCATTGGATTTTGAGAATTATCCCACTTAATTGGCGGACAAACCTAGATCAACGGCCATTTCAGGAACCTAAATTGGAGGTACCTACCACATATAAGGCCTATATAAGGCCTATGTAAGGGAATATCCCCACAATATATGGCCTTATATGGTACAGTACCTCCATTTTAGGATCCTGAAATACCCATTGACTAGATGTTAGGTTTTTGTTGTATCCACAAGGTGGTGCCCCCCCAGTTATGAATTGCTTATAAGCCTATTAACTATATAGATATATCACCAAAAAAACTGAGCTATTGGATTTATAAACCAACTTAGCTATCTTGGGGGTACCACCTCGCATATCTTGCATGATCAAAAAAACATAGACAAGAATGTTCAGAGATGTTGAGGACAACATGTCTGACGGCCCAGAGCCTCGCAGAAGCCGTTCAACTTTGCAGAGATATTTTGAGTTTAGTTTGTTGATAACACTTTTGAAACGACTATCAGGACCAGATTGGATAGATTGGCGAATTGCTTTCAGTTGTTTTAAAGTAATTTTGAGATATTTACCCAGGATTGTTTTTTCTCCATTGTTCTTTTTTGTCGGGGTACAAATGTGTTGGACAAGATGTCGAATTTGAACAAACAGTGGAGAAACATAGAAACATCCACACTTCGCGGTTGTTTATTCAGCCGTCTAAACAAACACAGAAGTAGAATGATGAATATGTTTTCCTTTTTTCACACGAAACCCTTTTCACGACGATGGAGTGACCTATTCCGGGTGTTAGTCACTGGAGAGTATCCACGTTGATTGCAGATTGGTTAAGTAGTGTACAGAAGATCCAACAAGTTTGCAGATCTTTGAGGATAAAATCAACAAAATCACATATTTAGCCATAATCGACCGATACTGTAGCCGGAAAACTCAGGAGTGTAGTTGGGATACGAGCAATTTTCAGGTTGATGGTTTTTACTTTCTGCTCTGTTTGTTGTTCCCCTCCGGACTCCTTACATAGGTTCAAGCACAGCATATCCCGGTAGAAATGGCAATGTTCTCATGATATTTGCGGAGTTCCATTTGCTAAGCCGCCACATTTCAGGTGCTGTTTCACCCATTTGCATCGCCAGTTCAAGACAGCAAAAGAACCAGAAAATACCAAACCTCGCAGTTGTTTCCTACTTTTGGTTGGCAGAACCCTCTCTTCCTCGAGGACTTCTTGGGAATGACAGCAGAAGAATGGGATGAACTGCGTCCGTGGGCTGAACGTGAGGCACCATGGACCTGACCTCCAAGGGCTATCAGGGGATCGCCGGGTTTAAACATACAAATACACATTGGTCATCAATCGTGGCAATGGAAAATCCAGAACTTTCCTAGGTGATCTTGCCAACATGCCGACGTATATTAAATGGGGGTTGGTCTTCATGGGGAAGATGTTGAGAACCCAGCAGCAGTGCTGCTGTGAATTGGTGCCGAGAATCGAATCTTCAGTCAGGGAGACGGCTGTGCCTTCCATCTGCAAGATGATCAAAACACCATCGGAGTACCCGAGTGCACCAGCTGGTGGTCTTAGTTCTTTTGGTATACCTTCTGATAAACGAACATAGCTATGGAAAATCATCATGTTGAGTATAGGAAAATCAACAATAAATGGCAATTTTCAATAGCTGTGTTAGTCATTACCAGAGGGTAACTCCAATTTTTCAAAGGCTTGTTGCTATTCTCTGCGAAAGGGCGCTCAAGTGATCTGGTATCATGTAGCCAATTCCAAGCTGCGTTCATGGCTCACTAGGACTTGCTACAGGAAACCACACGGTGTGAACCTGCATTCCATCAAAGCAATCCAGGAAACTAGTGTTTACCACCAAATCTACCCTGTGGTAACCAAACGTGGCTTGAGGGAAAATCCCCTCTAAAATTGTTCACGGATGTTTTACTGGGAAAACCGTCTATGAATGCTTGACTTTCTAGTCCACGTTTGATTCCATGAGGGTGCATGTTTCATGGTGCCAATGTAGGAGGAGGAGGAGGACATCATTGACAGTGAGATGGAAGAGCAATGGCAGCAGTTTCGGGTGCTCCATCAGATCGGCGATGCGTCCTGGACCGGACTTCATGGGAGCCAATGCGGATTTTATGGTATTCGTGGTGACATAACCTCTGGTAAACTGTCACAGTTTGCTATGGAAAATCACCATTTTTAATGGGTAAACTCACTATAAATGGAAATTTTCAATAGCTTTTTGTATGTTTACCAGAGGGTCATGGATCTCAATTGATCAACCAAACAAAACAACGGTGATTTCCGTGGGTGTTCATGGGATTTACGGACTCGGATTTAGGAAGTTTGCTAAGTTGGTGTACTTCAGGCAGAAATGATAACTTAAGGTTAACAAGAGCCCATGGGGAACAACTTAATGTGGATATTTGAATGGATTTCAATGGATCTTGCTTTTCTTAACCAACTTAGAACAATCGGGGACACACATTGTGGGTTTAACATGGGTTCCTTTGTCTGGCCACACCTAGGCGAGAAATATATGGACATAGTGATATCCAGCATAAAATATCAACTTTCTGCAGGGTATCTAAGACCAAACAAGATAGAAAAGTGTTTCCAGGATGTGATAGATGATGTTTGCTCTCCATATACCTCCATCATTTCCAGGTTTCCAGCGTTTCTATCTTTTTGGGCTTGAAAATCGCCAATGTTCTTCGTTTGAAACAAGCAGCTAGTGCAACGAATCTCCTCGGGAGCAGCTCCAAGCAGAGAGATGATTTGGATTGAAAATGTGGTCCTCCTGAATCGATGGATCCATGGATCAAGCATCATTATCCCAAAACCTCACTATCCCATAGGATCCATGCATGGTATATATGCTAACATAAAGGGGGTATATTGGTAAATGTTACCATATATCATATATAGCATACATGGATCCTATGGGTATGAACATGGCCAGAAGTTCGGGTGTTTCTAAATCGCCTAGCGCTTCGCTCCCAGAGTCCCAGAGCGCCATGCCACTGAGGAGAGGAAGGTTGATGAGGAGCTGGTGGAAACTGTGGATTTCCTGATGCTTGGCTCATCTTGGCTCAACGGCTCCGGTTTTTTGCTTTTTTGGACAAAAAATGGATGGCCATTTGGATGAAATGTCGATTTCTTTAGGCCGTGCCGGCCGTGGGCGTTCGACTTTTTAGAAGATCATAACATGACCTTCGAAGGATTTGGCCAAAAGTATACCTCCAAAGAGGCCAATAGGAGAAATGATGTTCTCAGCCATCAACTTGAATGTGTTTCCTTAATTTGTTCAGGTGCCAAAACTGTCGGAAATTTGCTGGAATGCTGTTTGGATCGATTCTTTTTGGAGTATTGAGTATCTTACACGGTTTATGTCATATCTGTGGGATGAAATTAATTTTGATGAATCTCAACATTGAAATGATTATGAAATATTATGAAGATGTTTCGTAAATCGATATCTATTCAACCAGGCTTTGGATCTGACTTAAACTGCTGGGAAAGTGTCGAAGGTCCGATGTGCCGGCAGCCGAGTGTATGGCAGATGTGAAGGTGAACCACATTATGTACGGCAGTACTGTGAGTGCTTTGTGCCGGGGTTTCTCAGCAGCAAGGGAGCAATCTTTGGGAAAATGGTGATGCTCATTTGGGGAATATAGCTTTGCTTAAGAGAAAGTACTTGTAAAGAGTTCAATCCCACAACGTGAGGCCCCCAAAATAGCTAAGTTGGTTTATAACTGCAATAACTATGGTTTATGGTACTTATAACTATAGTTACTGGGGCTTATAAACCAACTTATAACTGTGGGGGCCTCACATTGTAGCGTTGGGATGCTTTGGGGTTGAAGATCAATATTTACACAAACCTAGGATGCTGGTCTTCGACGACCTACTTAAAGTAAATTACAGCCACAATGGGGAAGAAATCGGTGATTTTACCATTTTATTTGTCAACGAGAATCCCTGATGTGAATGGCAAAGTTTAACCCGGCGTTGCAAGAAACCACCAGTGTACCAATTTACTGTACTACAAGGCGGATATATTAATGTTAATAGCAAGTTATCATGATTTTTGGAGGTACCCCGTGACCAGGTTGTGTTTAATCAGCAGGTAAATCTGGGGTTGACAGTCGCTGCAACCTCTGTGTGGGCTTAGCACAATTGCCAGTTCGCGAGTCCTCAGTTGAGCAGTGCTCAGTTGTGTTTTAGTGGTAGTAAAGCAATAGTAAACCATCCCCAAATTTACCATAAATGGGTTGTATAATGTTGTATGAACCATCAAACTATGGGTGGCCTATGATTGTTTCACTATGTTGTACTAATTGTTGATTTTATTTGTTTGAGGTCAAAAACACCAAGTGACTTTCTTAAGTTTCACGCATATTTTGTTGAAATGATTCACTGGGAATCCATGTAAAAACCCTGTTCGACCGAAACACCCTCAAGAAACCATAGTTTAGTAGATATCTTTAAAACATATGTGGGACCATGGAATGGGGGTGCAACTAATATGGGGGACTGGACGATTGCCATTCAAGAGGTTGATTTCAATATATTCCCACTAAATAAATCTCCACGTTTCTTGGTTCATGTTGGGATTCCCACCATTTTTTGGTGGGTTTCCTCCATGGCTGCGGAGGGCAGCGCCCCAAATTCTGCAGGTTTCCAAGTGGATCGGGCGATGCAACTGTTGGAGGAGATCGTCAATTGGCAAGGGGAATTGCGAACATGCTTCAGAAGATTTTTTGAAGCATTACTTGCTGGTTGGTGGTTTCAAACATGTTTTATTTTCCATAATATATGGGATAATCCTTCCCATTGACTAATATTTTTCAAGATGGTTAAAACCACCAACCAGTATTAGTCCATTCGCCCATGTCATATTGGCAATGACTTAAATGCGGAGGCATCACGCCGGAAAGTATCTCCAAACAGATATGTGTCGTGTTCCAGTCATTGATGAGAATCAAAGCGGATGCGGCGACCACATCACTTGATAAACGTTTGGGTTCATGGGGGATGTCACGAACTTGTCAAAGGGTTTCTAAAGCAACTTGAAACTGGGGGGGCCTCACCTTGAATACAGATGATTTACCAACAAAACATATTTGTTTTAATAAAAATGATTTTATCCTTAGCTATGCTAACTTACCCGAGGGTATCCCCAAGTCATTTGTCGGTTCATAACCCCGTTGACTACAATCTATGTCTAAATCCGATGAAATCTTAAGAAACCGTTCATCAAATCCCATGCAATCACCATCTTATTGAGGCTAAAACCCATGAAATCCCATGATAAACCACCATTGAATTCCCATGAAATCACCAGACAATCACCACAAAGTTCCATTGAATCATCATCAAATCATCATCAAATCATCATCAAATCATCATGAAATCACCGTGAAACCTTACTAAATCCCATCAAAAACATTAAAAAACGGGAAACGCTTCCCCCCTGCGGTCGCGAGGAGATGCGGCACCGGGGCCACCAGCTGAGTCTGCACCTCTTCAGCGCCGTCGCCAGTGGCTGCGCAGATCTGCGGCGCTGGTCGCAGGCCTTGGCGCTGCTACAGCGGTCCGACGAGCCACGCAGCTACTGGTGATTTCATGGGATTTACCCTCTGGTAATTTAACATAGCTATTGAACATGGCCATTTATAGTTGATTTTTCCATTAAAAATGGTGATTTTCAATAGCTATATGTTAGTTTACCAGAGGGTAATGGTGATTTGATGGTGATTTCATGGGATTAAACCGGACAATGTGGGAGTTCCCATGGGATTAGTTGTTGTCAATGGATGCTGATATCCCATCCACCGAATATATCCTAATATGACATTGGGAGTCCAATAGGATATGTGAATGAACAGCAGCCGGGTAGTAACTATGATATGATTATTTTTTATTCCCCTAATTATGTATTGGACCTGTTCGTTTGGAGTTCCAATAGTGGGGTATTTAGCATGTGGGAGAAGAGGTGAGAAGAGGTTATGATGGGGATCTGACAGACTAAAATGTGTTCACTACGAACGCGGGAAGAGAAGCTGGCAAAACATGGAGATGTAAGCACTCTGAGCTCTGGTCAATGGTTGATGAGTGTTGATGGCACCACTCGTGGATTTGTACCTTCCGTTTTTCCATCAATCATCTCAATCATCTCAATCATCTCAATCATCTCAATCATCTCAATCATCTCAATCATCTCAATCATCTCAATCATCATCATCATCATCGTCATCGTCATCGTCATCATCGTCATCGTCATCGTCATCGTCATCATCATCATCATCATCATCGTCATCGTCATCGTCATCGTCATCGTCATCGTCATCGTCATCGTCATCGTCATCGTCATCGTCATCGTCATCGTCATCATCGCCATCCATCGCCATCGCCATCGCCATCGCCATCGCCATCGTCATCGTCATCGTCATCGTCATCGTCATCGTCATCGTCATCGTCATCGTCATCGTCATCGTCATCGTCATCGTCATCGTCATCGTCATCGTCATCGTCATCGTCATCGTCATCGTCATCGTCATCGTCATCGTCATCGTCATCGTCATCGTCATCGTCATCGTCATCGTCATCATCCATTGCCATTGCCATCGCCATCGCCATCGCCATCGTCATCGTCATCATCATCATCATCATCATCGTTTTTGGATGACGTCCGACTTTGTTTTTCTCTTATCGTTTTTTTTGGGTGGTAAAACCGACGATCTACCTCCAAGTTTGGCTTCCCACCGCCAGCCGCTATCCATGGGTGGTACCTTCAGGCGCGACGTTCCCTTCCTCAACGGTATCCTGTGGGCCATGGGCCGTGCTGGTCACTGGCAGCGCGCGCTGGACCAAGGGCTGCGGCTCCTGCGGGACGCACAGTTGCGACCCAGCACTGCAACTGGGTGCATTAACTGGTTGGATATAAATGGTTACGATGTAACTATGGACGACAACCAGTATAGCAAGGAATTGTGATCCATGACTCTGGTTGAGGATATAGAGTCTTAGAGAATGGAGATATAATGGGAGAATAATCATCAATATATTAACTGCTTGGTCGTTTGGAACATTTGGATGATTTTGCCATTCAGTTGGGAAACATCATCATCCCAACTGACGAACTCATATTATTCAGAGGGGTAGCTCAACGCAATTTTTTCTGCTCGTTTCCTGGGTCCCCAAAAAAATGTGCGTGAGATTCTTTTGCGCCAACGAAGGTCTAGTATAGGCATTGTCATATGATATAAAGATGAAAAAATGTATGTCATGTACATATATATATATAATATATATATATATATGTATATGTATAACAGACATGTATGCCCAAAAACCTCTAAAGTATATGTTTGTTTCCATGTCTTTTCATGGGGATGCATGATCGATAGATGCTTCTGTCCGCGAAGTGCTGCAGTGTCATGGATGTCATCAGCTTCCCTGCATGGAGTTACCAAAATGTCATGCGATGCAATGATGGACTGTGCGGCTCCATCCACATGATATGAAGCAACGCAAAGGTGTCAAACAATTGCTAAAGTAAGACATCCAAACCTGTCTTCAGATATGATAAATGATAGCAGACACAGCTGACATGACCTGTGCTAGTCTTGTGTTGGTGCTTTGGCCCCATATGTACTGTGAGAACTGTATCATTGTTCCTTTCAACCAGGCTCAAACTGCGAAGCAATTGTTTCCAAAACGATTTTTTCCACTGCGCAGTGGATACACTAAGTTTTTTCAGGTGTTTTTTTGATCCTCTGAGGTAACCTTGAACATTTTGCTCACCAGTGCAATTGAAGCACGTGCCAGTCCTGTTGGCGTTAGCCTTGCATGCCAGCTGGCGAATCGCAGCTCGTGCTCGCCAGATCAAGTCACAGTTTCTTGGTGCCACAAGGTCCCCCAATCGATTTGGGCTAACTAACTAACGGTTGGAGGTTATAAACCAAACAAACATAAAAACGGGACCACCTTTTGAATAGATTTGAATCGAATTCATATCCTAGATCTTTAGTAACTGTACCCGCCGTTAGGACACACACACACACACGTGACAATGGGAGATCCCTCTCTGTTGAAATCAATCACCTGGAAATATCTCGGGAGTTAAACTAATGAGTAAAACATACCTATCCTGAGGGTTTTTGTTTAGGCAAATGATCAAATGATCTACAACTGTTGAGACGTTCCATTGTCAGGTTAGGTAAATTTAGCGGGAAAGTAGAAGAGGGGATTGTTAGATGGTTAGACAAAAATCCTGCTCATGGAATTTTCAATTGATCGAATTCCCATACTTCATGCTTTTTTACCATCTTAAACCCCTGTGATCTTCACTTGTCGCCTGCAGTGAGGCTGGTTTGTTGCGACAAATGAGATACCTCCGGCTCGATGTGTGATGACCGCTGCGCTTTCCTTGGGGGAGATTCCACTGGTCGATGTTAAAAAAATACGGTGGATTTAACGACACATACCATGGGGATACCATGGGGATATTTGGGGCGTATATATGATTTGGGTGAATCGAAAAATGGGGAGTTTACTCCAACATGGCAGAAATGGTCATGTAAAATTCGGAAAATGATGAGAAGACAGTTTTATTCAATGTCCGGGGTTGCCCTATCTTCAGACAAATGTCATCTGGCGTTCTTAACCAAAACTTTCACGCTGTTCCACCATTTTCGACCAGACATGACCAGATGCGTGGTTCCCCTTCGGAATGGTGAAATGATGGGCAAAATGGATATGGTGTACTATGGTTTTTTGCCACATTTGGGTATGGCTCAAACTTATACTCAAACTTACCCTCTGGTAAACAAACATAGCTATTGAAAATGGCCATAGAAATAGTTGATTTACCCATTAAAAATGGTGGATCTTTCCATAGTTTTTTGTATGTTTACCAGAGGGTAAGTCACCCACTCATTGGATCATTCTGAAGATCTCAGGTGAATTCTATCCCATCGCTATCCTTGGTGACTTCCCACGCTATCACGGTATCAGAAAATATACCCTGACCAATTCTGTGGGCCCATTGGTACGCCAATGGCTTGACTGAAAAACCGACTGACTGGCTGAGCTGCATGAGGGGAAAATGGTGAGACATCGCAGGGCCTGGGAGAAAAGGTCTGTTGTTCTCACATAGATATCTCCGGTCTGGAAAACTAAGAATGATATTTCCTGAACATATGTTCCCGAATAGATCATAGTTTCTCAGGTTTAGAAAAAATATTTCCTGAAGGGATCAAGAATAAACTAAAAGAACTGATATCGTCACTACTATAGCTGGCCCTTCACAAATCAATCCAACCCATGGAATCCATGGGTCCAATCAACTAATCAGCTGAACCGAGAACCATTGGTCCTCAAGTTAATCAACCAATCTTAACCAAGGATAATCTGTCCCTTAAATCAATCCAGGTCCGGTTGACTTCTTAAGGATCACTGGTTGACCGCTCCTTGTTTTTTTTTCCGAATGGGATTCCACAGCTCAAGCAAAGCAGCAACGCAAATATTAGCGGATTGTTATAAGGAAATGTTATATTATATAATGTGAGGCCTCCAATAACTATGGTTTATGGTACTTATAACTGTAATTACTGGTGTTTATAAACCAACTTGTAACTGGGGGGCCTCACATTGTATATATATATATATATCATGTTCATACTTGTTTTCGGTCGGACTGTGGAGTTACAAAAAACTGCGGGCTTCTGTGATTTAGCACTGATCCGTGCTGAAAATATGGACATTTTAAGTCTCACAGATCCAGCATTTGAAACCATTGTCCACCTTACTGGTGCTTAGTAGGGAATGGATGGGAATGGGGGAATGGGACTATTATTCATAATGATTGTGGATTATTCCCGAAAATTCCTGACGTAAAACGCACCAGTAAGCCACTTATCCACCTCAGCCAATATGCCGGTTTCAAACCACGTTGAGTTTCGGCACCGGGGTAGGATGACCATTTGTGATATGTGAAGTTATGCTAGCAGCTATATAAAATGTCGTGATTTCGCTGTTTGGCCAGTTCGCTACGATAGCTAACTCAATTTCATCCAGTTGGAAAGCCAATAGCTGGTTGGTGGTTTGGAACATGTTTTATTTTCCATATATTGGGAATAATCATCCCAACTGACGAACTCATATTTTTCAGAGGGGTAGGGCTCAACCACCAACCAGATTATTATGAACCATCATTAACCATATAATAACCATATATTAACCATTGTTAACAGTATATTAACCACAATGGTAGGTATACCACCAATGGATCCAGTCGTACCTCAAATTGGAGTGAAACCACCATGAAGAAAGTCTGTAAAGCCGGATTTAGGGCTTGTCTACCCCTAAATCTACTGGTCAATCGTGATTTCTCCAATAAAAAATCCCTAAGAAAAGGGGCCCTTCCCCCCATTGACACACCCAAGTCATATCAACTTGGTGAAATATATCCCACAAAATAAGATTCCAGAAAAATCAACCACATAAAACAATGGTTGAACCATAGCATTTTATGGTATACTTCTGTTATTAATTTTGGTTGGTAAAAAAGTTGGTTAGATATCACTGTCAAGTGCCTGCCCACGTGACACGGCGTGACACGGTCTCCCCTCGGCGCGTCAGGAGGTTTTCGCGGATTTCCAGCCTTTTGACGGACCCGCACCGGGCGACTACAAGTCTCCCGACCGCGTTTTTAAAAACCGAGTCGACGGGAGGTTGGACGACTTTGCGTTTTGACGATGTTTTTGTTGGTACGGAACAGGTACGGAACATGTGGAAGATATGGAAGACATGGCAAATGTGGAAAATATGGAAAATGTGGAAAATGTGGAACATGTGGAACATGTGGAAGATATGGAAGACATGGCAAATGTGGAAAATATGGAAAATGTGGAACATGTGGAAGATATGGAAGACATGGCAAATGTGGAAAATATGGAAAATGTGGAACATGTGGAAGATATGGAAGACATGGCAAATGTGGAAAATATGGAAAATGTGGAACATGTGGAAGATATGGTCAGACATGGAAATGGATCTCCCCCAGCACTGTGGATAGGACAAAAACCTAAGAAATTGACCAGCTATATGTTGTCCACCATATAAAGGACCATGGTCATAGTTGGGTTAGGTTATCTCAGCTCGCCACGATGTCACTGTCAATGGCGTGTAAATGGTCAGCAATGGTCATGATGCGGCCAGAGATTGGGTTAGAGTACCGAACATGGATAGAGGAAGTTTCTCTACAGTTAAGGCCCTTTACCAGTTATAAGTACTTATAACTCCATTTTTAGAATGTATAATCCCATTTATAACCAGTTAATTATAACTAATAAATGGCCATAACTGTACAATTGCTCGAGAGACCCAGGGTTTCATGTTTTTTGTCCCTTGAACCAATCCATTGCTTGAGTAAACATATGAAAAACAACCCGCACGGTTTGGGTCATGAAGAACATTAATTGCAAACACATGATTGTTGGTCATGATTTCTTAGTCAATAGATTACCCTGTTGTTACCCAACATTTCTTGACTAAGTAGGGTAATCATTGCGTCGCTGCAGTGCCTAGTACCTAGAGGCTAGCTACTACTCTCAGCGCTTTTGCAATCCGATAACTTCCAAATGATTAGCATGCAGCGTTGATAAGCCCTTGAACTAGGGTAGCTTCCTTATTATTGGCTTGTGTCACCCTCACCAACCGTAAACTATCCATTCTGGTTGGTCGTTACCATCATATTTGTTCGAAGAAACATTCCGCCAATGTTCCTGGTATTTCATGGTATTTCCTGTTCTCGTTTGCCCATGATAACTATGATCATATTGGATAATATCTAGCATACCATCATTTTGGGCAGTCTAACCCCTGTTGGATCAGGTTGGTGATGTTTTTTTAGGATTGTTGGTCAAATTAGTCACAGACCATATTTGAGCATTTTTTCGCCAACGCTTGGTTGATGATGAATCCATATGGGTATCCATCTGGGAATAGGGAATCCATGTCAACCACTACTCAAACAGTGGATGTCCAGCTTGGTTCAGAACTGGACACTGCTGAAATAAAAAATGGATCATGAGTTGCGTCATGTTGACATATCCCACTACTACCTCGTTATATGAATTATACACGATATTCATGGTTTTGATATTATGTATATCACACTATTTTACTATTCTCATCATAGGTAGATAGATACGCTATCACAGTACCATTATACAAATTCATCCATGTCACATTCTTCAATTAAATTATATCATATCATTGTATAACATATCATTTTATCAATATCTACACGATACACAACCAAATCATATCCCAGTGATATGCCCGTAAAAAAAAAGCAACCTTGGGGTTTCTTGGTCATTCCACGCCACGAGGATTCCCTCCAAGAGGCATATCCAAGGTGGCGCCGGTTTGAAGGACTCTTCAGCAAACATTTCTGCTTCGAGATATGATTTAAAGTTTTTGAAGGCAAGCTGGCAGCAATCATTGATACTAATACCACCGTTATTATTTTTGATGTTCCCATAATTGGGGGTTTTGGCAGCAGAAACATGTTATGCAGCAAACAGGGTTTGAAAAAGCATCAAAAGGATTCAAAAGGCAAGTTTTAGTATCAATCATGTGGAAATTTGTCAGCAGCAAAAATCCAAAAATGACGGTTGGATCTGGGATTGCGTATTGCTGAATCTACTATCGGATAAGGTATCTTTGGTTTAAAAAGAACACCACCCAAGAAGCGGGAGGATTATTATGATCCGGGGACGGGGTGAGCTGTGTGTCTGGTGGGTGCGTTCACATATTATTGGTTTCCGAGCATACAGAACGGATTATTGGTTGAGATGACGAGCTACAATATTTTGAGAAGGGTTAAAACCACCAACCAGTTTGTTGACTCATGACTGGGTCAGCAATTTTTAT